GGGTGTAGAGGAGTGATGGACTCAACAAAATCACAAATTTTTAATAGCAGTCTACGCATGTCGTAGCGACGCCGCTGAAGAAAGTGTTTTAGACCTCCGTTGAGATTTTCGCACGGGTTGGTGGTGGTGGCATACCCCTCCGGAGTATGAAAGACCTGCCACCTCCAGTATCTCCCTTTCAGCCACTGCTGATCAAAATACTCTGCGAACTCCGTCAGATGCGTGGTTTCTTTCCACTCAGCAAGGCTGACATCCCGACAGTACTCGTACTCCGTTAGGCTGCGCGAAAAGTGCATATCCATGATCGCAATCATCAACTTCTTCCGATCATCAAGCGGCAGGTGCTGTGTACGTTTCCGTACATTGTACAGGACATGAAAAAAACACATCAACTTCGTGGCGTGCTGGAAGGTTGGTACATTTTGTAGTGCGAGAAACTGAGAATCCTCCGCATCGCTCATTGTAAAATCACAGCGAATAGAAATCCCTCGAAGACTGCGCACTAACTCCACAAAAGCCCTGAAGCACTCCGTGTACTCATGCTCGGCGCGGCGACTCACCACGAAGAAAGCTCCGACTTGGTATCTCCTGGCTTGGTCGGTGAACCCGCAGGTTATCACGGGGTACCCAATATCACTCAGCTTAAAGGTTGCGTCAGCATGGAACAGGACACGAGCATCACCCGTACTGAAGCGAATACAACTGTCGAATATTGCTAGTGAAGTCACGCCGACAATAAACGGGTCATTGTCATCTCCCGAGCCAACGTAAGTCATGCCATCGACGTTCAGTTTTGCACCAAACACAAATGCCGTTTCTGGTGGGTTCTCGGGTTTGTAGCAGCGCGATCGGGCCAGTCTGTGAATTGCTTGGATAGAGTTCTTGGGCCCTTGTTCTTTTCGGATACGTTTTAGGGCGTTCTGAACCTGAGAAAGCGTAGGCCACCCTCCCCGCGACGGTCGGATGTTGACCTGTTTCTTCAGATGGACCTCGATAACCCGGGGTGACAGTCCAACCTCATCTTGGGTAGCGATAAACGCTTTCATAGGGCGAGTGACGAGGGGAGTGTGTTGTTCGCTGCACGTGAGCACTCCTCTCGCGTGGCCGTTCAAGTTCACAAGTACACGCCACTTATCTTGCCCCTTGCACTGGAATACCTTCCACACAATTCCACACTTGCCAAACCTTATACAGGTTTTGCTTGAGCACTTCAGTCGACGCTCTATCATCGTGTGCTTTCCGCCACAGATGCGGCAGAAATCGAAGTCCACTTTGTGAAAAACGGCGGTACAACACATGAGCTGGTCACGGTAGCTATCATAGTCATCCGCGCTGTCAAGAAGAGAGAGCTGTATCCACGTAGACATCCTCGCAACAACAAGAAAGTAGAAGCCAGTGAGTTTGCAGTATAAGCGTTTGAGTTAGTTGTGTATGCACAACCGATCGCTGCGGTGTCCTAGCAATCCAGTCACTCGGATAAGAAGCCGAGTCAATTCAGCCGCCCCGCAATTTTGCCGTCCGGCTAAGAGGCCGGGGTAAATCCGCCGGCCGGCCGTTATACTTCGAACCATCTTATTATACTCTAGACAGGGTTATATATTTCATCCCCCACAATATGGTTGCTCCCCAGAGTTGTATATTTTGCACCACAAATCTGTATAGTTACGCACGCTCCTCGTAGGAACCAACATGAACATCAACTGCTCCGGATGGGGTCATGAGTCGTGACTGTGGCCAAGGGTCGTCCTTCATGTCAATGACGGTCAAGCGTCTACACCACCTGCCCTTCCGGATCCTTGCAAACCTACACACCTCTCCCTCAAATGTGCACACTACGCAGTAGATATCCACGTCTAACCAACCAGCCAACACCAGTCCGTTCGATCCAGCGCAGCATCTGTATGACGGTCGCGACCCTGGTGACTGCATGCACCGGCCCACAGGATCACATCCATCCTGGTAATCGCGAGCCCAGGCGCAGCAGGGCGACCGACCGACCCGACGGATGGCCGGCGTTGGCGTCCGTGTCACTTGGCAGCCAGCTGGTCGGCGCTTGCTTTCTTGCCAGCTGGCCAAAGCTAGCCTTGCCTCCGGTAGCCTCATGACTAGCTGAGTGACAGACCGACTCGCTCAGTTCATTCTCCAATCTACTCCCTCCCATCGAAGCAACCCGCTCGATCTCCGCCAGAGCCAGCGCTCTCCCAAACGTTCTATCGGACCAAGTCTCTCCTACTACTTCTACTTACTCAACCCAAACAGCCATGTTCAGCCTCAGCACCAGCAGCAAGATCTTCGCTCTGTGCATTGCCGCCACCGCCGTGTCGACCGGTGCCCACGCCGAGACAGAGGCGGACCAGACCTTGGGTTTGCTCGGACTCCCCGGCGTCGGCTATGGCGCACCCGGCTACGGATACGGCGCCGGCCCCGCGCTCAGTGTCGGTGTGCCTGGCCTCGCGAGTGTCGGCGTCGGTGTGGGCAACGGCGGTGTTGGTGTCGGTGCCAACGTGCTGGGCCTCGGAGCGCACGTCGGTGTGGGCTTGCCTATCCTGCGGGCTATCCTGCGAACGGCGTCCCGCCGACCGGTGTCTACAACGCTCCGCCGCCTATTGTCAACGGCGCCCCCGCCTACAACAACGCTCCGGCTACTGTTGTGAACAGCGCCCCTGCTACGACGGCTACGACTAGTGGCGCCAATGGCGCGTCTACTGCGAACGCGAACGCCAATGCGAACGGCGGCAACAGCCCCTACTCGACCAAGACGGTCTCCGTCACGAACGGAGACGGCACGTCGAACACGGCGTCCGTGTCGAACGGAAATGGTGCCACCGCGACGGGTGGTGCATCAGCGAGTGCTACGGCCAGCGCCAGTGCGAGTGCGTCTGCTCGGGCCACGGCTGGAGCGAGCGCCACGTCGGCGCAGAAGACGTACCGCCAGCTTCGCTCGGTGGAATATGTGTATCCTCGTCGGAAGCCTGGTTGAGGTGTGGTTTGGAACTCTGTGTCGATCCTCCGTGGTGTCGGCCTCCTAGTGTATCATGTTTGATTTTTTGTCGTGTCGAGTAAGGAGCTTTAATCCCACCCAATCCAATGCAATTGAGCTTTTGTCTGAGACTACATGTAGCTATCTCGAGTGTTGTGGGCGCATGGACACACCCGACAGGTAGGCATTGCTGGTCTTGACAAGATGATCCCTTATGTGGTGGCATGCTGCCGTGATGCTCGTGGCGCGCGTCGTTAGTGTCGTGCCAGCAGTAGGAGCGACAACTCGACCCATGCTTGGGATCTCCTTATCTCCGATTGGTCTCACACAACTTCAACAACGAGCATACAAACATCAGTATAACGCATGTTATACAAACTTGAAGTCAAGCCATTTGTTCAGTCGGGTTCAGTCGGGCCGAGCAAGCTCGCCCGTATTTGCGCATGCACCAACCCCCGTAGCCCAGCCCAGCCAAAACAAGCCAAGCCAAGCTTTACGGAGGTTATGTTATCGTACAGCTAGCTTTCACCACGTGGTGCCCAGCATCACCCCGGCATACGCCTTGACTAAGCGAAGCTTCAGCGCTACAGTTATCATCGAGCTGAGTCGCAGCAATGCGAATAAGAACGCGTAGAGAGTACGGATCAACATGAACATCAACTACTCCGGATGGGGTCATGCCTGCGGGCCAAGGGTCGTTCTTGGAGTCAATGACGGTCAAGTACATACACCACATGCCTTACGACCCTTCCGGATCTTTGTCAGCTCCTCCCTCAAGCCTTCAAGTGTATTGTACACTACGCAGTAGGAGGTATCGACGTCTAGCCAGCCATCACCAGGTCGTTCAATCCAGCGCTATGCACCAGCATCTGCACGACGGTCGCGGCCGTGATGACCCCATCGGCCGACCACCTCACAGGGCCACCTTCGCCATGGTAATCGCTAGCCCCGCGATATGCTGACGCCGCGAAACCCGTCGGCTGGTTGGCGTTGACGTCCGTGTCACTTGGCAGCCAGCTGATCGACGCTTGCTTTCTTGCCAGCTGGCCAAAGCTAGCCTTGCCTCCGGTAGCCTCGCGACTAGCTGGCTGGCCGCCTCGCATCAGTTCATTCTCCAATCAACCCCCTCCCATCGATGCAACCCGCTCGATCTCCGCCAGAGCCAGCGCTCTCCCGAACGTTCTATCGGACCAAGTCTCTCCTACTACTTCTACTTACTCAACCCAAACAGCCATGTTCAGCCTCAGCACCAGCAGCAAGATCTTCGCTCTGTGCATTGCCGCCACCGCCGTGTCGACCGGTGCCCACGCCGGACCAGACCTTGGGTTTGCTCGGACTCCCCGGCGTCGGCTATGGCGCACCCGGCTACGGATACGGCGCCGGCCCCGCGCTCAGTGTCGGTGTGCCTGGCCTCGCGAGTGTCGGCGTCGGTGTGGGCAACGGCGGTGTTGGTGTCGGTGCCAACGTGCTGGGCCTCGGAGCGCACGTCGGTGTGGGCTTGCCTATCCTGCGGGCTATCCTGCGAACGGCGTCCCGCCGACCGGTGTCTACAACGCTCCGCCGCCTATTGTCAACGGCGCCCCCGCCTACAACAACGCTCCGGCTACTGTTGTGAACAGCGCCCCTGCTACGACGGCTACGACTAGTGGCGCCAATGGCGCGTCTACTGCGAACGCGAACGCCAATGCGAACGGCGGCAACAGCCCCTACTCGACCAAGACGGTCTCCGTCACGAACGGAGACGGCACGTCGAACACGGCGTCCGTGTCGAACGGAAATGGTGCCACCGTGACGGGTGGTGCATCAGCGAGTGCTACGGCCAGCGCCAGTGCGAGTGCGTCTGCTCGGGCCACGGCTGGAGCGAGCACCACGTCGTCTCAGAAGACGTACCGCCAGCTTCGCTCAGTGGAATAAGTACACTCGTGTGTGTTCGGAGGTCCTCTATTTACGTTTGTTTAACCCCTATAGAGTCCTGATATGGCTGTAGACTGAGCCTAATTGAAAAACGGTGTTGGTATAATTCCTCCTCCGGCGAAAATTGTTCTTGCAAGTGTTTCCATAGCTTGACAGGCAGGTGCTCTTGAAGTAGTACAGCATTGGTAAACTCAGATAGTTGTCGGAATTTGAGAAATCCCCTGATCGCTTTGTAGGTGCGTTTGGAAGCTGGTTTCCATGCTATCGAGACAACGTCTTTGAGCGCTTGGTGCGTGGCATTCTGTCGAGCCAATGGACAGTATGTACACTCCCGCGATACTTGTTGCGCCCGTCAGTCGTTAGTGTCGTATCATACATGAGGTAGTAGCAACTTGATCCGGAGCTTCTCATCTCCTATTGGTCGAATGCAACTTCAACAAAGAGCATACAAACGCTAGTATCAATCACGTGACAAGGAAAGGAAACAAGCCATTTGCCACATGGTTAGACGGTCAGGGCGAGCCGAGCCGATCGGAGCCACTGAGCTAGCTGTATATAGCATCAACCTTGACGCAGGTTATCATCGTTCAGTGTGTGGTGCCTTCGACACGCGGTGGCCCAGTATCACGGCGGCAGTCAGCTTAGGTAGCTTGACTAGGCCTCGGTACTGCCGTTCCATCAGCAAGCTGAGTCGCGGAATGCGAATTCCGAGGTACCTCGAAGCAAAACAAATAGAGTAGCGGTTAACATGCACATCAACTGCTCCGGATGGAGCCGTGGCTTCAGCCAGGATCGAGGTGGGTGTAACATTCGCTCCTGGTGTGGCTCGATCGCATGCATTTACCTCACAATTAGCGCTCGGTATTAATTCACCTCGACACTCTACCATTTTCATTCTATGAGTCGGATATTGCAGCGATAAGCTTGTCGTTCTTTTATGGATCCGCCGAACCAGTATTCATCTTGCAGTGCATCAGGTCGTACTAGTGGCGTAGCGCTTGAGAAGGAGATCCTGTAGCCTCCACTCTTGCCACGCAGTCATTTCTCCTCTCCCCCCAGGAACACTGGTAAACTGTTTATCATGCGGAAGCAGACAGCTTGTTTCGGGCTTCCACACTGCTGAGAACGGCCCGTACGCAACGCTCACGAGGTGCGCGTCGCCGATTTGAGCGCATGAGAAGCGCCACTCGCTAGCCCCATGTCCATCCAGGAGGAGCTCCCAATGGTCTTCCCGGCTCGAATCCACCCGGACAAACTCAGCTCGCAGCAGCGAAAAGCCCAGACCGATGCCCACCGCCTTGATGTACGCCTCCTTCAGCGACCAAAGTCGATAGAATCGAGTGTATTGGTCATCTTCGTCGTCGGTCTCTTGAATGTATCCCCATTCTCCAGGGTTAAAGTAGTCTGCAAAAGCTCGGAAGAACTCCTCTAAGCCGCACGACGTCCACGCCCACTAAAGCGCGGGAATCACTGGCAATTGCCACAATAGTGCCATGGTGCGAGACGTTGTAGTTCCATGATGGAGGGGCAGCCCCCTCCGCCGGTCGCTTCCAATACGGCTTATTCTGCCAGGACGCAACACTACACTCGTGAGTCGTAAAAACGTAGTTTGAGCAGTCGATGCCATTCCGGGGAGGACGGGTCCCATGCGACGACGTCGACGAAGTGGAGACTGCACAGAGGTGTCGCCATCTTAGAGTAAACGGCAATGTAATGATTGGATGAGATCGCACGACGCGTAAAGATTCAATGAGCTTCCCTGTATTCGCAATATCTCAATAAATAAGCATCTCGCATGGTTCCATGTACTGTTGTGCGAACTGAAGGCCGTTACGTGTCGGCTGTGCGAAGGCGACAAGGTTCTTGGCCACGCACATGCCGTAGATCGATTTTTCTCGCACGACGTCAACCATTCGGGTGGCAATGCTTTTCCTGCGTACCGAAGGGTGCACCCAGAGCTGGCAGATACCAACAAGAGCAGGCTGCGAGGTTGCAGACGCCGTGATCGCGCCCTCCACGCTTCCTGAGCTCTCTTTGTCGTCAGAGTTTGTCTGGACAACTAGATTCGAGGCGCTCTTGTCCAAGGTAAAGGCTTCCGTTATGCGCTCCGTGTTGACGCACCCAACCACTTTGTGCTTTTGAATGTACACAAAGTGGCTGCGTCGCAAGAACGCTTCTTCTTCAACAAAGCCCAATGCGTCATCCAGCACGGCCTTGACCTCCAGCAGCTTCTTCACGTGGGAGGTCGGGTCGTCTCCTCGGATTTCCAGAATCCTCGCCCCCGTGTCGGGGAAGCTCCTCAACATCCTCTCCGTCTTCCACTTGGAGAATGTAATGCCTCGCTTCATCCGCTTGCAGAACTTCTGGTGCTCCTTCTCGTCCTCTTCCTCTCCGGCAGTGTACAGCAGCCCGCAAGTGGGGCACGTGACATGCTTGCCGAAGCTGCGCTGACCCACGTCAATGTAAGACTGCGTAGAAGGGAGGGATTTGCTTGGAGACAGCAACGCGTTGGTACATTTCGAGGACGCAGCGGCAGTCTTTGGCTCCGGCGTGATCGTCGACTTGGTGGCCTTAGTGTGGACTGCAGGCGAGAGCCACAAGGCCATTGAGGAGCTCCTCTTCTTGCCCACGTCATTGTCGCTGGAACTTTTGCTGCTGCGCTTGCGCTTTGCGGCGGAATTCGCCCCTTGACCGCCACCCTTGCCGCGACGCATGAGGGCGTCGTTCACGCTCGCCATCGCCGTCGGAGGGAAATTGCGCGCGACTGCAATGTCAGCGCGGGAATCTGGTTCATCCACGCAACAACTGTCACGGGCGGCTCAGATGCGAAGTGTACCCATATGGTTTTATCACTCTCATCCACGTAGCTTGCAGTATAGCATGTTAGTCCACATATTAGGTTCTACTAGTATCGTTATATGAAAGCATGAACGTAAGGTAAACCGAACAATACTCAGGATATAGCTCGTGCATTTAGCAATATAAAGAGGTACTACTGAACGGCATGTACTGATACTCCATTTACGATCTCTAACGGGTGGTGTAGCGCTCTCCTGGAGTGTTGACTGCATCCAATCCCGGATCGCCGGACACGTTGATCGGCTCACTTTGGAATTCGCGTCTAGAAGCCCAAGCACCGCCTTCACCCCCTCTCTTCTTCCAACAATGGCTTCGCTCGGAGACTACCGTGTGGCGGACATCTCGCTGGCTGACTTCGGCCGCAAGGAGATCGAGATCGCGCAGATCGAGATGCCCGGCCTCATGCAGAGCCGCAAGGAGTACGGCCCCTCGCAGCCGCTCAAGGGCGCCCGTGTGGCCGGCTCGCTGCACATGACCATCCAGACGGCCGTGCTGATCGAGACCCTCAAGGCCCTGGGCGGTGACATCCGGTGGTGCTCGTGCAACATCTTCTCGACCCAGGACCACGCCGCCGCCGCTATCGCTCGCGACAACTCGGCCGCCGTGTTCGCCTGGAAGGGCGAGACCCTCGAGGAGTACTGGGAGTGCACCCTGAACGCCATCACGTGGCCCTCGGACGACGGCAAGGGCGACGGCCCGGACATCATCGTGGACGACGGCGGTGACATGACCCTGCTGATCCACGAGGGCTTCAAGGCCGAGAAGGCCTTCGCCGAGAACGGCGCCGTGCCCGACCCGGAGTCGACGGACAACGCCGAGATGAAGTGCGTGCTCAACATCATCGCGCGCACGCTCAAGACGAACCCCAAGAAGTGGACGCAGATCGCCCAGCGCTGCAAGGGCGTCTCGGAGGAGACGACCACGGGCGTGCACCGCCTCTACCAGATGGAGAAGAACGGCTCGCTGCTGTTCCCCGCCATCAACGTCAACGACTCGGTCACCAAGTCCAAGTTCGACAACCTGTACGGCTGCCGCCACTCGCTGCCCGATGGCATCATGCGCGCCACGGACGTCATGCTTGCTGGCAAGCGCGTCGTCATCTGCGGCTTCGGTGACGTCGGCAAGGGTTGCGCCCAGGCCATGAAGGCCGCCGGCTCCGTCGTGTACGTCACGGAGGTGGACCCCATCTGCGCCCTGCAGGCCTGCATGGAGGGCTTCCAGGTCGTGTGTCTCGAGACCGTTGTGTCCGAGGCCGACATCTTCATCACCACGACGGGCAACAAGGACATCATCATGGCCACGGACATGGTCAAGATGAAGAACAACGCCATCGTGGGCAACATCGGCCACTTCGACAACGAGATCGACATGGCCGGTGTGACCAAGATCGCCAAGCGCCAGAACATCAAGCCGCAGGTGGACCGCTTCATCTTCGAGGACGGCCACGCTGTCATCATCCTGGCCGAGGGCCGCCTGCTCAACCTGGGCTGCGCCACTGGCCACCCGTCGTTCGTCATGTCCAACTCGTTCACGAACCAGACCCTGGCTCAGATCGAGCTCTGGACGGAGCGCGACTCGGGCAAGTACGCTACCGGCAAGGTCTACGTGCTGCCCAAGGAGCTCGACGAGAAGGTCGCTCGCCTGCACCTGGACAACCTGGGCGCCCAGCTCACCGTGCTCTCGGACGAGCAGGCCGAGTACATCGGCGTCAAGCCCACGGGCCCCTTCAAGCCGGAGACCTACCGCTACTAAGCGGCAGGTTTCTGTCTGCCCCGTTTCGACTAGACCCCAGTCTTCCGTGCGGAGGCTGTTGGAGTCCCGGCAGAGATAGGGCCCCCGCTCTTTCATTGTGCTGAGAAGCATCTTCCTGCTGCTTTGCCCACCACAATGCTCTGTTCAACCCACGTAGCCAACGTAGCACCAAAGAAGATATCCAGAAACTAATGTTAAGCATCCGCAAACCAATTGGTAAGCGTTCCTCAATCTCCTCCTTCATTAACTTCTCATTAGCTGGCTCATTTCTTCAAATAAAGATGACGATGAGCAGCGCCGCCGCCAGCAAGAAGATGATCACGTAGTAGCAGCCGAGCTTGCGGTGTGCGCTCACCACCTTACGAGCCGCCTTGGTTTGTTGCTGCACGACCTGCTCTGCGTCACTGACCTGAACGCTCACATGGTCCAGCATGGCATTCTGCGAAATGACCTCCTCGTTTGTGGCTTCAGCTGCTTGGTGAAGTCGCTTGGCGCCCGAGTAGATGACATCGAGTTGTCGTTCCTATCGTCAAACGATCTCGTTTAGCGAACTCTACAACGAGCTCATCTACGCCGACACTACACGGACCTGGTTTTGCGTGGCCTTATCCATCCGCTCTTGCAGCTTGGGCGTCGACACCTCCTCGAATTCGCCCGTTGGCTGCGGGTCTCTCAGCGTGCCATCTTCCATCATTGCCAGTGTGATACCTCAGTGCTTTCGGCGTATGCCAAAGAATTCACACCACGCATTCTCCGCCACGTCCCAAGGACAGAAATATACGATGCACATCAAGGTAAAAAATAAAGCAGGCAGACTCAGGATTTTGAAGAATGCAATGTCTATTTTTCCATGGTGCGCCACGCACCTCGCGGCGTGGCTACGCTGTTGAATGACTACAATGGTGCTATCTAGTTGTCGTTGGTGGCGTTCATATATTTCTTGAGCGGGGCGACGGGCAGCGGCGTAGCCAGCAGGTCGTCGAGATCCTCACTCTCCATGGTGAACGCCGTCTTCGCCTGGCGGAAGAGGTGTCGCGGCCGAGGAAGAAGCACCAAGGCTGTGACTTTGCCCTTAAAAAGCTTGATGTTGCGCAGTGACTGCCGGCTCAGACTGTCCCACACATGCACGACGCCGTTCTCGTCTCCAGATACAAGGAACGCACCGCTGGCGTGAATCTGCAACGTGGTCACGCTCGTTTCGTGTCCTTCAAACGAACCCGGCAGCAAAGCCTCCGGACCCCACGGCGAAACATTGGCACCAGAAGTCGGGCCCGTCGATGCGTTGGCAACACGAGCCGTAGCGGCAGTAGCCGCAGTCGCTGCTGCGTTCAGGTCCAAAGCATAGACCCGGCCATTGCCGCATCCCATGAAGAGCCGCTGCTCCATGGGGTCAGAGACGCATGCGTTGACGTAAGACGGGCACGACACACTGTACAGGCACTGCGACGAGCTCAACGACCAGATCTTGCAGGTACGGTCCAGCGACGACGTGTAGATGCGCGCGTTGACGCCGCCGAGACCCACGTGCAGCGAGGTCACGGGCAGCACGTGGTCTGTGAAGCTCACCACGGGCGTCACGCCCTGCTGGAAGCTCGACGCAGCGTCCGGTTCGTCCAGCAAGTCCACGAGTCTCCACGCGTGCACCAGTGCGTCTTCTCCAGCCGTGATCAAGTGCGAGTCGTCCGACGTGAGCGCCAGCGCCGACACGCGCTTGTAGTGGGCGTCGAACACCGTCACCAGCTCGCCCGTCTTGACGTCCCACACGTAGACCTTGCCCGACTCCGCTCCAGCGAACAGGAAGTTGCCGCAGGTCGAGGACGTCACGGGCCCCATCTTCTCAGCCACGTGGCACTTCCACACGGGCATGTCCTTGCCCCAGTTCCAGAGGTTGAGCGCCAGCTTGCCCTCCTGCACAGCCACCAAGTGGTCGGTGCGGGGCACCGCGTGCACGCCATTGAGCGCCGAGCGGCAGTTCTTGAAGCAGTACAATTGGCCGCCGGTGGAGGCGTCGGCCACCAGCAGCTCGTTCTCCTGGCTCGAGCCCAGCAGCAGCACGTGGTCCGCCAGCGCCGTGGTCGCCATGCTTATCGGAGCTCTTCGATGTAGGAATGATGTCCGAGCAGTGACGTCCAATACCTTCCGAGTCTGTGATTGGTGGAAAGAGAACCGAAAATCGGTTTTCTGTGCTCTGATTCGTTGAAAAGGAATTTCAAGCGCAACTTGGGTCATTATCGAAGGTGCAGCTGGGTGGTGACCATGGGGCGCGAAGGAGGAGGCGACAAGCGCAAGAAGCAGTGGATGGGCGGCCGCGACGGCAACAACAAGCGTCACAAGGGCGCGCTGGGCGCTGCTGCCACTGCTAAGGGCCACGGTGCCGTGCTGGTCACGTGTGACAAGACCAAGGAGCGCCAGAGCGTGAGCGACGCCCTCAACATCCTGAACGAGGCGGCCGACAAGTTCTTCCCCGTGGCGGAGGAGGACAAGAAGGAGACGGACGAGGCCGCGAAGGAGGAGGGAGGAGACTCGGTGCAGAAGAAGCTGCAGGAGGAGATTGCGGCGCTGCAGACGCAGGCCAAGAGCCGCCAGACGGGCAGGTTCACGCCGCTGGACACGGGCGTCAAGGGCGCCATTCTCATCCAGTTCAAGGACGACACCATTTCCCCCACGGCGCTGCTGTCCAAGATCTTCGAGCAGGTGGAGAGCACCAAGGACTTCGCCTCCAGGTTCATCATGAGAATGACCCCGCTGGAGAAGGTGGGCTACTCGAGTGTGGAAGCCATCAAGGAGTTGGCTGCTCCGATGATTAAGACCCACCTGGAGGCGTTCAAGGAGGAGCAGAAGGCCGCGGGCACGGACGAACCGCTCGAGTTCGCGGTGGAGTTTAAGCGCCGGAACTGCACCAACCTCAACAGCATGGACGTCATTAACGGACTCGTGGAGCTGGTGGGCGAAGACAAGACCAAGGTAAACCTGACGACGCCTCGCTCAGTCTTGCTCATTGAGGTGTTCCGCAACACGTGCGGGTTCAGCATTCTCACGGACTTCCACCGCTTCAAGAAGTACAACGTGCGCTCGGTCATCGACCCGCCCGTCCCAGGCCAGCAGACGGCTAAGAAGAGCGACAAAGATGGCAAGGCCGACACGAAGGGTGGCAAGACGGACACGAAGGATGCCGCAGAGAAGGATGCATCGACCGAGGCGGAAGACAAGAAGGAAGAGAAGAAAGCTGAGACCGCTGAAGACAAGTCTAGCGAAGGCGATGCAACCAAGGAATAGAAGGATACACTGTAGTTGTTAACGCAATAGAAATCCTTTCATTGATCACTTCTATTACATGCGGCGACTACACTACCTACAGATACTTTGGATGAAGAATCACGCCTAGTGTTGTCTTCACAAAGCAGCTCAAAGCTGCTTCAGAAAATGTAGATAAGATTTGGAGATCATCATCTTCGTCATCCAATTCAAACATACAACCGCTCATGTAAACATGCATACATACACCACCCGCTGCTACAAAGGCCGAGTGCACTGAGCTGTCTTGAGAACGGATCCGTGTGTTGTTTTCCATGCTCACGCTTTGGTTCGGAGAATGTAGATAAATTGGTTGGATCGTCATCTCCGTTCTCGCAACACGCTCAGCACACTCTCCACGCCTCGTAGCTGCGCACCCAATGCTCCTGTATATCCTGTCTTTTGCCTGCAGTTTCGCGTGATTCCCCGTCGTCCCGCACCCCTGTCATCCACACACAATAGAAGTCCCGACGCGATCGATCGATGCAAACGAAAGAGAGAGAGGAACAGCCATTCCCCCTCTGCTTTACTGCATTTTCGGTTTTCCAAGCGAAGACGCGACGCCTCGGAACACGACGATGCAGAAACCTGTTCCCGCGTGCTCGTCCGCACCGCGCCCCAATCAACCACGACCGACCCTAACTCGCCACTCGTCCACCCGAGCTCCGGCTCAGCCAACAGAAGAAGGAAAAGGAAGGAAAAGCGCTCCATTTTCTTCCACCCCCGGCCAAAACCGAGCACTGGCGTTCACTGGAAGAGCAGCCCGCAGGAAGGAGAAACTCTCCGTCGACTAGTGTCCATGGCGCTTAATTTACTCTTCCTGTATCAGTCCAACAAGAGCAGCGAAATATGAGCCACCTGATTCATATCCTAATGGTTGTTGCTGCTGTTGAAGCCGCACGAACCTTGTCCTTGTTCTTGCGGTTGCGGTGCTTCTTGTCGAACTTCTTGGCCCAGTGCTGGTTGCGCAGGAACTTGGGGTCCAGCTGTAATAAAGGCAAGAAGAAGGCGTCAGTCTGCTGCCCTGTGTGTCTGTATCATTTTTGGCAGCGGGGACGTACGCCGCGCGTGGAGTGGAAGCGGTGGTTCTTCGGCTTCTTGATACCGTTGCGGTGAGCCTTCACCGTGTTGTTACGGGCGGTGTGGTTTTTCTGCTTGACCATTTTGGCGTCGGATTGGCTTGGTTTTCCTACTGTGGCGGCGCTTTCGTCTCGCTGGAGGGTCTATCGCAGCACTCAAGGGGCGGCTCAAACGCTAGCCACCAGTCGATTCGCGCAAATGTGCGCCACACTAGTTCCCACAGCGTCCTAAGCTAGCGTTGTGTAGACCACGCTATTTTCGTTAAACCTCAATTTGAAGCGCTGATAAAACCTCGCGGCCACGTGGTGTACCGCACACCAGGCTCTGACTTGGCCTGAGTATGCCCCGTCGTTTCAGCAGCACGGAGGGGGGAGCCAAAGCCAAAATCCCGACCGAGCGCGACCGAACGGCCGCATCCTCGCCGAGAGCACCTCGCTAGAGCAGACACAGAGACAGCATGGACCCGTTCGGAGACAGCCAGCCGGTCGAGGGCGAAGTGCCCGCCGAGATCTCAGACTTCGCGCCGCCCGCGGACAACACTGGAGAGTACGTGAAGCAGGAAGATCGAAAAAACATATTATTTTATTCCAGATCTGGATGAAGTACTAATAGAACTGTTGCTGCTGTGGCAGCTTCTACGAGGTGGAGCCCACGGAGGCCGCCACGAATGGCACGTTCGAGGGCCTGGGCTACCAGCAGCAGGAGTACCAGGAGCACGCGTACGAGGAGCAGACGGAGAGCTACCAGCCCATGGAGTTCGCTGCCCAGGAGCAGCCCGTTGAGACGCCCGCTGTCGACTTCCAGATCCCCGTCGTGGAGGAGGACAACGAGCTCACGTATGTGGCTGAACAGAGATGCAGTTGGAAAGATATCCAGGGTTTTCTGACCGTGTTGTTTCTTTTGCTGTGCAGTAAGTTTATGCGCGAGTACGAGGAGAAGATTGCGCTGAAGGCGCAGGAGCAGGAGAAGGTGGCCGTGGAGTGCAAGGCCAAGGCCGAGGAGGACATGGCGCAGTTCGTGGCCGAGCGCCAGCGCATCAAGGAGTCCAAGATGCAGTCTAACCGCGTGTTCGAGCAGGCCACGCTCGAGAAAATGGTGGCTGACCTGCAGAACGAGAACCCGTGGGAGCGCGTGGTGACGCTCGTGGACCTGGAGACGAGCCGCAAAAAGAAGCTGGACGCGCTCAACAACAAGAAGGACTCCAAGAAGCAGGACCCTAAGCCCGTGGCTGTGCCCGCTAAGAAGACGCCCGAGGACGAGGAGGACGTCTCTCGGATGCGACAGTTGTTCGTGCAGCTCAAGGCCACGCCGCTCGAGCAGACGCGTGCTGACGCTGTGGCTGCCAATTAGACCAACCACAGACAGAGATCAGCCCCGCACGCTGCGGTGGTGATAGTAGAGAAGGCGGTAGCGCCTGAAACAGGCTATCTAGCTGTGTGGAGCTGGGCGCAGCAATGTAGAGGGCGGGTGGTGCCGTGCGCCCGTTTGATCTCTGCAGATACTTTTTTCTAACCTATGACACGTGTTCGCCACGCACTTGACCGGGTGCCCTTTGTAGTGTGTTTACTGCAGTGCAGTCTCCTTTGATGTTGTGAGGAGGGTGATCTGGATACGCAGTTCATGCAGTCTGCTGAGTACGGCATTTCGGCACGCAAGTGTTGCACGTCGACCACAGAGCACTGATTCGACATGAAAGCAGGCGGGCCCATGTTCCTCTCGCACCGAATAAAGACGGTCTCTGACGGGAAGACCAAGCCCGTCTTCTGTGAGGTGCCAGTGTACCATGCATCTACTTTTGAGCATCCTACTACTACAGCTATTGATAGTTTTTGGTTGGGTATGTCGGCTCGCAATTGTTGCACACCGGCCATGGAGGAGTGGGGCGCGGCGTGAAAGCAGGCGAGCCAATTTGGCTTTCGCACCAGAAAAAAGAACAGCTCAGACGGAGAACCAAGTGAACTTCTGTGAGGTGCAGCAGCGACCGCAGGAGGCTGCTGAAGGGGGGGTATCGAAGTTCTCCGCAGTCTTGAAAAAGGAGAATGAGCAGGTTCCGCGCGTCCAACAGCCAGCAGCCCAATCAATTTTAATGCTGGTTTCAATATGGCATACTATGTTTCTGTACAACGTGTGTGTACCACATCTAAACATGTGACTTGTTAGAAGAACGCTTGCGGCCGCCGCAGTCGCGACCAAGCTCAAGCAGCAGCAGCGCGCAACGGATGCTGACAGTGACGGCGGCTCGAAGCTTACTATAGTATCTCGCGCGTGGCCGCGTAAGCTGCTGCCGCTTCGGCATGCGCGATCTGGTTGTTGCAGGAAGCAAGTCGTTGGACAAACGCTGGCGGCGAGGCTCAAGCGATCTGAGAACTGACCTGCTGTGCGTAGATGCCTACTATCCCTGGTCACTGCTTTTCGAGCACATGCAGTTCAAAGACGTTAAGCCCGATGGGGGCTCAACGAACCGGAAATCGCCATGGAAATGCCATCGACTTCGATTGATCGCCACCTAGAGACGAGCATTGACACCCGTAATGTGCTCACTTTGGAAGAAGCTTGGACCACCTAGCTTGGGTTAAGCTCTTAAAGACTGAGAAGCACGCCAGCACTTAACCAGCTTGGGCGCGTGCCAAGCACGCCATCCCGATCTGAGTTCGTCCGTGTTGCGATCTTCGACCACCCCACAGTCGTGGCAAGCACATTCGTCGAGGCCGCATCGATCGGCCTTCATCTCCATGCTCACTTTTGAATTCGCAAGCTCGACACCCCACTCGACTGAACCAACTCCAAGCAATGAAACTCTCGACCTCCATCTTCGCACTCGTGGCCGCCGTTGTGTCGATGGCCGTGCTCCAAGTTCCAGCCCAGCAGGCTGGAACCAGCACCCCGGAAGTGCACCCTTCTCTGGCGTCCAAGCAATGCTCCAAGGCTGGTGGTTGCGTGATGGAAGCCACATCGGTCGTGCTGGATGCCAACTGGCGCTGGCTGCACCAGGTCGGCGACTACAAGAACTGCTACTCGGGGAACCAGTGGGACGCCACGCTGTGCTCGACTCCGGAAGCTTGCGCCAAGAATTGCGCTCTCGAAGGCGCCGACTATCAAGGAACCTACGGCATCACGACGTCTGCTGACGAGCTGCAGCTGAAGCTGGTGACGCAGACTCAGTACGGTGCGAACGTCGGCTCTCGCGTGTACCTCCTCGACGCCGCGGGCTCCAAGTACAAGCAATTCAAGCTGTTGAACCAGGAGTTCACTCTCGACGTGGACGTATCGAAGCTGCCCTGCGGACTCAATGGCGCCCTCTACTTCGTGCAGATGGACGCTGACGGAGGCAGCGGTAGCTTCCCGACCAACAAGGCTGGCGCGAACTACGGCACGGGCTACTGCGACGCGCAGTGTCCGCACGACATCAAGTTCATCAACGGCGAGGCCAACACGCTGGAATGGGGTGCCACGAGCCAAAACTCCGGCGGCGGCAAGTACGGAGCCTGCTGTGCTGAGCTCGACATTTGGGAGGCCAACAGCATGAGCAACGCCTTCACGTCGCACCCGTGCACGTCGGACGGACTCAAGCGCTGCTCGACTCCGGAGGAATGCGGCAACGGCAACGGGAATCGCTACAAGGGCGTCTGCGATAAGGATGGCTGCGACTTCAACCCGTTCCGAATGGGCAACCAGACCTTCTACGGCCCCGGATCGCAGTTCACCATCGACTCCACCCGCAAGTTCACGATCATCACGCAGTTCTTGACCAGCGACAACACTGCAACCGGCGACCTGGTGGAGATCCGACGCTTGTTCAAGCAGGACGACCGCGTCGTGTCAGTGCCCAACAGCGTCTACCCTGATCTGGCTTCGGCCAACTCGATCACCGACAGCATGTGCGAGGCGTCCAAGAAGCTCTTCGGTGATCAGAACGACCATGCCGCCAAGGGTGGGCTGGCGCGCATGGGCAAGCAAATGGCGAACGGTATGACGCTCGCCATGAGCCTCTGGTCGGACCACGCCGCCTACTGCCTCTGGCTCGACAGCAGCTACCCCGCTGAAGCGGACCCGTCAAAGCCCGGCGTCAAGCGCGGCACGTGCCCGACGTCGGGTGGCCGTCCTGCTGATGTGGAAGCGCAGCACCCGGATGCCACCGTCAAGTTCATGAACATCCGCGTCGGCGACATCGGCTCCACCTACTAGGTGCTAGTGCCGGACACAAAGGCAGCTTGCAGTCTCGAATGCCTGATCAGATTTACCTGCCAGGTTTGTAGTGTGAGGTGGTTATTCAAGCCATGCTCACACACATTGGGGTCTTGCAGTCCATTACCCCAGCTGGCATGGACTTCGTGAAGAGTCAACTAGGAGTTGGGGAGAACTATCTGTAGAAGAGAACAATCCGTAGAAGAGCAGAAATCTAGAAGTAGACACTGACAGGCATGAGCGCTGGGGCAAGCATGCTATGATTCCCCACTTTTGAATCTACTCGGCGATCAACACTTTAGGAATTGCCAGCTTCCCTATCACAGTGTTCAAGTTATTTTCTTAAGCGGAACGCGTTACAAAGTCGACTTTAGTGGGATTCGTTTCACTGAAGAAGATGGAGCCAGGACCCAGCAAGGAGAAGATCCCGATGAAGGAACGAGAGTACGATGGTGCTCACCCAATCTTCACGCCGGTGCTGGCCCCTGAAATCACGTCGACCTCGCAAGCCGCCCTTGTCCAGTGGCGCAAGGAACGGAAGGTCTATGAAGACATCATGAGAGAGCACTGCCAGACCTCGGGAGAGGACTACGCTGCGGTGACGAGATCCGTGAAGGATTCTTTCGAGCGGAAGCTGCTAGAGACATGGTGTCGGCTCCGGTGGCAAGTTGCAGTGACTGAAGTCGATGACGACAGACTGCGTAGCGAGATCGACAACATTATCAACTCCGTGAAGAACCACACTCTGCCCGACGTGCAAGCTCTGTTCAAGAAAGAGTTGCATTTCAACCTGAAGGAGAGTGACGTTAGCGAGCGAGTGCTGCAATATTTCATCTCCTGCGAGCGCATAAGTGAAGAACACGGCCTGCATGCCTGTTTTGAGTCGGAAACCAGGCGGAAAGAAAAATGCAGTTTGCTGGTCAACTCGATTACCCCGGAAGGATTGAAGGAGGAGGTGAAAAACGCCTTGCGGTACCAATCGCCTGGAGCCAAGACGGATGAGTGCAAGTTGCACGATGTGATACTGGCCAAGGCACTTGAGCAGGACCGAGACTTTCGGCGATCAAAGAAGAAGAGGGTCTCGGATGATGTTCAAACGCCACGTCAGACACACGAGCGCGGCGGAAAGAAGGCCAAGCTCAGAGCCGAGTCTGGCGTGCACGGACAGCGAAAAAACCATGACTCACGCAAGAAAGAAGGTGCTCCTGCGCGAAATCAACCACGTCCGGAGGCAAAAGGAAAACCTACTGCTACCGCACCGAAGAAAGGATGCCTAAAATGCGGAGGACCTCATTGGCTTTCTAAGTGCCCTGAAGCCAGTGACGCTGAGAAGCGAGACTTGCCGAAGCAGTTCTACAAGAACAAGGACAAAGCGTCCAGCGATGTGAACATGAAGCGACTTCGCGAGGAAAACTGAAATAAGGCGGGCACCGTTCTGCTGAATGGTGTCCTCCGAAAGCCTTACTGCGCAGATACTGGGTCGAGTCGGTGTCTCATCAACGTCAAGACGCTAGCAGAGCTCAACGCAGTAATGGGGAAAGAGATCTCGATAAGGAAACGGGAAAAACCGATCAAGGGCCGTGCAGTTGGGGGGCATTGGGTCGAGGCTGTGAAAGCTGTAGACCTGGTCATCCAAATTGGCACAGCCGCTGGCATCGTTGAACACCAGAAACCTGTCGAGTGTCTGCTAATTGAAGATGATGATGATGAATTTATCGTGGGTAAGGACTTGTTGAAGCCATTGGGAATTGATGTGGACAGGTTGCTGGAGCAACTTGCACAACCTCAAGTCAACGACGACTGTGATCCATACGACAGCGTTGACGATAAAAGAACTGAGCATCCAGATCTGGCAGAGATCATGGAGCAGTTGATCAAATTGGTTGACGATGCGATAAAAGCGGGTTTCCCCGTAGCATATCGGCATCAGTTGGAAGAATTAGTGAGGAAACACGACATTTGGCGCATCGATCTCCGGAATGACCCTCCTGCGAGAGTACCGGCTTACGAGATTCGATTGAAGAAGGGTGCAAAGCCGTACAGATGTAAGCCAAGGAAATACTCACCAGCCCAAAGCAAGTTCATGAGAGAGTTCAACGACAAGCTTGTGAAGCTGGGTTGGGTATACCGGAACCAGGCCAGTCGATGGGCGTGTCCTGCGCTACCAGTGAGAAAGCCGGGAACGGAGGATTTTCGACAGACAAGCGACTACAAGCCTTTGAACGCTTTGACTGAGCCTATCGCCGGAGTCATGCCAAATCTCGATGCAAAGCTGCAACATGCCAGGCACAAGAAGCACTATGGACTTTTCGATTTCATTAAGGGATTTTGGCAACTACCGCTGGCTGAGTCGAGTCAAGAGATGCTATCCTACGCGACCGACGAGGGCGTCTTCACACCAACTCGAGTACCTCAGGGTAGTTGCGATGCGGCCTTGCATTTTCAGGCTACAATGGAGAAATGCTTTGCTGAGCTGGTCTACAAGTCTCTGCTGATCTGGATTGATGATCTGCTCCTGTTTGCAGACACCATCGAGGAATATCTGGCGGCACTGGAGACTTTGTTTGACACTATGGATCACTATGGGTTGAAGTTCAGTGTAATGAAGACTTGTTTGTACCAGCAGTCAGTGACCTGGTGCGGCAAAGTAATTTCAGAGAACGGCATCACGCATGATCCCAGACGGATCAATGCTCTGTCGAACATGCCTCCACCGTCCCCGGCAGGTGAACTACAGCAATTTATCTGTGCATCAAATTGGATGCGCGATAGTTTGATCGACTACGCCCGAACTATACAGCCACTACAGCAATGCTTGGATCGAGCGCTCGAGGGAAAACGAAAGACCAAGCGAGTCGCGGCTGGTATTGCGCTGCAGCTGAACGAGTCGGAGCTCGTGAGTTTCGACAATGTAAAGAAGCTGTTGGCGAACTCATCAACGCTAGCCCATCCGAAAGACAGCGCAACCTTCGCATTAGTTTGTGATGCATCGGATGTTGGATGGTCGGCCATTTTGACTCAAGTGGAGAGCTGGGATGACGCAAAGCCTGTGACTGAGCAAAACCACGAGCTTTTGATCTGCAAAGGAGGGACTTTTACAGGCGCGCAGCTACACTGGTCGGTCACGGAGAAAGAACTGTTTCAGCGTGTGACGACTTGAACTACCTGTTGCTGCGGCCTGGGGGCTTTAAAATCTTTTGCGATCATCGCAATTTGATTTACATGTTTGCACCACACCCGGAAACGAAGAAACATGTACGAGGGAAATTGCTTCGATGGTCACTCAAATTGACGGAGTATCGCTACACTATCGCACATATAGAGGGTGAGCAGAACGTCTGGGCTGATTTAGTTTCTCGCTGGGGTGGTGCGCCGCCTACATCAGTGATGAGGTTCAAGCGAGTGACGCGCATGCAGACGCAGGCAGAAAAACGACCATTGTTGAGACCACTTGACAACGACTCGTTCGTCTGGCCAACACTAAACGAGATTGCCGCCACGCAAAAAGCTCATCTACAAGACAGACCAGAGGCCTGCACGCAAGGCGACGATGGAGTGTACCGATCCGACGGCAAGATCTGGGTGCCGGAAGGAGCAAGTGGCTTCATCCAGAGACTGGTTATCGTGTCACACTGCGGTCCTCAAGGTCATCGAGGTGAGGCAGTGATGCTAAACCATATCAAGCGAATCTTTAAATTCAAGGAGATGGCGCAAAGGGCTCGGCGGTTCCTGAAGAGCTGCCTGCTCTGCCATTATGTAAAGGGTGGAGGAAAAGAAAATCCCAGTTGATAGCTCCATTGCGAACGTCCGAGCGAAAACAAGGTTCCCATGGACGTGATACCACGTCCATACCACGTCCATGGGAACCTTGTTTTTTCGCAATGGAGCTATCAACTGGGATTTTCTTTTTCTAGGGGAGAGTTTTCGGAACAAGCAAGCACCTGCTGATTATCAAAGACAACTTCAGCCATTTTTGTGAGCTCATACCTTGCGATGCGCCGACCGGTCCAGCAGCTGCAGAGGCAATGATGTGGTGGCACAGTCGCTACGGAGTGCCCAAAACATGGGTCAGTGACAACGCTACGCATTTCAAGAACCAGGTGTTGGCTCTACTTAGCAAGTTCATGAAGGCGAAGCAGGAGTTCGTCGTGGCATACAGCCCGTGGTTGAACGGCTCTGTAGAGCGCGTGAACCGCGATGTTTTGCAGGTGCTGCGAGCAATGATACTAGAGTACTCACTCTCATACCAAGACTAGGTTCATCTAATCCCGCTCGTCCAAGCTAAACTCAATCAGTCACCGGTGCCGTCGCTGGCAGGAAGAGCTCCTATTGAAGTCTTCACGGGGCTGCCATGCCCAAGTCCGATATCGACCATTTTCGTCCCTGGTTATGCTCTATCAGTGTGGACACGTCGATGCAGACCAAGGAGGAGTCTTTGGCAGCATTGAGGAACAGCATTGAGAAGATGCATCAAGAGGTGACAGACCAACGTGAACGGCGGACGTTGTTGAACAAGAAACGTGCCGAAGGCTATCAGATGGTGAACTTTTCTATCGGAGACTATGTGCTGAGATCTCGCGTAGATGAAAAGAACCAGAACAAACTCCTCGTGACGTGGGTCGGCCCTTACGTCGTGACGAAGTGCAACGCCCATTCGTTCACAGTCAAGCATCTCGTCACCGGGAGGGAGAGCAACGTGCATGCCTCCCGGTTGAAGTTCTTCGCCGAGTGCGATCTGGAGGTGACTGAAGAGCTGCGTGAGCATATCGCAGCCCAAGGCATCGTGCTAAAGGTGGAGGCTATTCACCAGCACCGTTGGAATGAAGACATGCACGACTATCAGCTGGCCATCAGCTGGGAAGGTCTTGAGGCTATTGAGGACTCCTGGGAGCCTTTGAAGGTCATGCATCAAGACGTAAAGGTGTTAGTTGACGCCTACGTCGATAGAGCAAAGGATGAAAAGCTCACGACGTACTACAATTTGCTGAAAGCGTGATTTGGCGGCAGTGCAGTGCACTAGCAGCCGAGCCGCTGGATAGCATCGCGACTAGACTACACAGTGTGTGCTAGAGTCATGTCTGAGACTAAGTAACCACGTAGGTGCTTAAGTCGTTGACGTTGCATATAGTTATGCAAGCTAAACAAGATACTTTGTTGGCATGAACTGTGGTCAGTTGGCCGCATGTTAGCTTATATCTCTATGGTGGCAGTGCAACCTAAGAGACTTCCCAGAGAGCTTTTGAGTGAACATGGCTTGGGAGGGAATTGTAGTGTGAGGTGGTTATTCAAGCCATGCTCACACACATTGGGGTCTTGCAGTGCATTACCCCAGCTGGCATGGACTATGTGAAGAGTCAACTAGGAGTTGGGGAGAACTATCTGTAGAAGAGAACAATCCGTAGAAGAGCAGAAATCTAGAAGTAGACACTGACAGGCATGAGCGCTGGGCCAAGCATGCTATGATTCCCCACTTTTGAATCTACTCGGCGATCAACACTTTAGGAAGTGCCAGCTTCCCTATCAGTGTTCAAGTTATTTTCTTAAGCGGAACGCGTTACAGGTTTAAGCTTTTGATTCGATCTCACTTTCCTTTCTGCATCACGGAAGACAAGCGTACATGGAGCAACGTGTCCTACTACTGCAGTACTTTGACCAGGATGGAGTGTGACGAGTTTAATCGAGTTCTTGGGTCGTCTGGAGGGCTGCTAGCGAAGAAAACCGTTATGATCATTTCTCGCGCCTTGAATGCCAAAGTGCTCCAAGTGACCAAGCTCGCTGTCGTAGCAACAATTAAATTGTATTAGATCGGTGTTGTGCCACAGACCACACGCGTTCCCACACGCTACGCTTCTTCCTCCGATACTGTTGTCGCTCAATCCTTCTACCTACCGAAATGAATCGGGCAACAGATGCAGATGAGCGGTAAGTTGATCTACTTACACGCGGCTGCCAATCGGCGAGTATTGGCGGCGCATGCGGTTCTGGCGCCAGCGCACGACAGCGAAGATCGCAGCAGCAACCGCCGCGAAAGCCAGGGCAACGAAGCCCATGATGGCCGCGATGCTCCACTTGGCCACCGACACGAGCAGGTGGCCCGGCTTCTCTTCCTTGACCGTTTTCGTCGGGGCAGGCGCCGCGGTCGGTAGCTCAGTAGGAGCGGAGCCCGGCACGTTCAGCAGGTGAGCAGCACCACCGAAATCGCAGGTCGCGCCCTTCTCGCGGTTGAGGTGCCAGTACTGGTTGAAGGCCCAGTCGCACTGCTCCTCCAGGGTGAGGAAGCGCTTCTTGATGTCCGAGCAGTCGATGTCCGGGAAGTTGCAGGCAAACGCAAGGCCACTCTTGAGCTCGAACTCCTGAACACCGCGCTTGGCACGGCACACGAACTCACCGCGATCTTCCTTCATGCAGGCCCTCTCCACGCCCTCGCTCTCGTGGTAGTCCGACACGTTCTTGGGGAACGCACCCAGACGCACCAGGTCCAAGAAGCTCCACTTCGTGGCGAACTCCGTCTTGAAGTTCCAGAAGTACCAGCCGTGGCCCACTGCGAAACCGTTCAGCTTCTTCAGGGTCAGGGACCTGGTCAAAGCGGCGTCGTCCTCTTGGCCGAACGAGTCCTGGCTGGTAACGGGGCACTTGCCGAACGACGGACCAGACATACCAGTACCATACGGCCCCTGGATCGGCTTGGTCTTGTCAAGAGGGGTACCGGGGAAGCCCTCGCCGAGATACGTGCTGTTGATCGGGCAGTCTACCATGGTGCACTGCACCTTCGGGAATCCGGGCAGGTTGTCGTTGAAACCATTCAGCCACATAGCGCAGTTGTCCGTGCCAATCGACCACTCACCAACAATGACAGGCATCATAGCGTTCTCCATGTCGGAGATAACGTACTTCTGCTGGCAGGCGTTGGAGAAGAAGTCCGCCATGGTTCCAGGCGGGTTCCAGGCCTGGTAGATGTGCGTGTCGAGAGCGATATCGGGGCAACCCTTGAGGAAGTCAGCCCAGAACGACAGACCGAAGCGGAACGAGTCGTGGATGATGAACTTCCAGGTAGGTGCAAGCGCCTTCACGCGCTTGTACGACTTCCAGTAGTACTCCTTCAGCACTTCAATGGGGGTGAGCTCCCAAGGCTCATTCACCGGTTCGAGGCCGATGATGGCATTGTGGCCCTTGTAGCGGTTGATGATAGCCTCCACAGCCACAATGGAGTGGTTCAGGTTGGCGTAGTTGATGCTCGAGTAGTTGTGAGCGTCGACATCAAAGGTGCCAGCCCATTCTGCCTGACGGATAGGCCAGTGCTCGAACGTGGTGGTGCCCACGGGCTGCGTGCTGGCAATGGACGTCCACTTGACGGACGAGGCCTTGCCACTGTTGTCGAAGCCATTCTGCGAGCCAATGAGGCCGTGGATGTCCAGCAGGATCTCGATGTCGTACTTGATCGCGAGGTCCGCCACGCGGTCCAAAGCCTCTACGGCGCCGTCAGTGCAGCCGCTGTAGGGCTCGTACGGGTTGAACATCCAGTCACCCACGGGCACACGCATTGAGTTGATGCCTGCATCGGCCAGGGCAGCGATGTCCTTCTCCGAGACCCAGTTGTCATAGTGGATACGCAGCTGGCGGTTGGCCTCCTCCTTACCGAGCGCCGTACAGAACGTGTGCATGTCCATCGCCGTCTTCTCGGGGGCTTGGTCTCCGAAGCGCTGCTGGGTGTTGAGGAACTGGTAGAAGAGCGTGGGGGTGATCCACGGCTCCAGCACGAGCCAGCCGCCGAGGTTCACGCCGCGCACCTGCTTGTTGAAGGGCGTGGCGTGCGTATCCTGGGAGCACGTCTGGTCCGTGTCGTTGGGCTTGAACGTCTTGAACACGCCGCTGTCCTGCGAGAACATGGACGCCTCGCCGTGCTTCCAGTACCACTCGTAGTCGGGCTGGTCGGGCGTGTCCTGCGGACCGGGGTCCGCCGTCGGGGCGGGCGTTGACGCCTCCGTAGGTGCCTCGGTGGGCGCCTCGGGAGCGGGCGTGACGTCCGCCGGCTGCGGTGCCGCGGGCTCGTCGTGCGAGTCGTCCGCGCCCTCGGGCGGCACGTCCAAAGAGACGACGTCGATGGGGTCGGCGGCCATGGCGCTGGGCTGCAGCGCCGCCACGGCCAGCAGCGCGCACAGCGCGGCCGCCGTCTTCAAGCGCGAGGCGACCAACATTCTCGTTCCTTTCACGGGGTCCACGACGACGAAGAAGAAGCCACTTGCGCGCGACGGAGCCAATGCGGAAATGAGAGACGCGGGATCTTTTCGGCTTATGCGCCGCACCCGCGCCTCTTGCGAACGAAGATACGATCGGTCTTGCAAAAGTAGCCGCAAACTAGTATTGAAGTTTGTATGAGGGGGTTGATTACAGGTACAGAAATGATACATTGAATGGAGATATTACACCATGGCCATGTCGCGATCTTGGGCGTTGAAGTCGTCGGATTGTTCCAGAGACCCACTTCCGGCGCGTGATGGCTGCCAGCCATTGCCGCCCAGCCATCATTGCGGTGAAACACCGAGCTGGCATGGGAGGAAAGCCCAGAGCTGTGCTCGCGTAAAGCACCACCGTCGAGACCACCTTGGTCTGGCCGAGGCGCTCAGCTCGCGCTTGATGGTGAGCGAGGCTGGCGTGCGCCCGAGGCCCTGGAAATCAGGGGCACTTGGACTCAAGGCTGATCATGCGACAGATCCGCGATGACGTCCATAACGACCACGCCCACGCCCACAATCGGCGAGGCCGTTGGCAATGCGTTCGCGGCAATGGGGCTGCCGCACAATTCGCTAGTAGGTACAGTAGGGCCACCTCAAGCCACCCACGAGCGCCGCAGTCCGTGATTTGTCTCCAACACAGCACTCCAGGGCTGGCGCCATTGCGCAAGAACGCTCCAGGCAGCCGTCGCCAGCGAGGAATCTTTCCTTGCCACGGATCCACAAAGTGTATGTCGCCACCCCCGGCGTTGTACCGCGCCAGCTTATCATGCATCATGGCGACGAAGCTCGATCGCATTGGTTGTCGGCAACTTGCTGCACCTATCGCTCGGCAGCAGCACTTCCTTCCTTCGATTCCAGGGCAGACTAATGGTTTGCATGCTGTACAAGCAGTACAAGGCTCGGCAGGTAGGCTTGACAATGTTGTCGTATTTATCTTATGATCCCCATCAACTCATACCTTACAGTTCAATGCCGGCTTAGACGTTCACGTTCACGATGTGCCCGATCAAAGGCGAGTATTCGGCCCGCCTCCTGTGTCGCGTGACGGCCATCACAACAGCGAGTCCGACGAAGCCCACGACGACTCCGACGAGGGTCCAGATGAGGATCTGCTTGCTCACGGAGGTGGCCAGGAACTCCTGGCGCGCCACGCTGGACGGACTGGGAATGGCCAGAAGGTGTGCGGCACCGCCAAAGTCGCAAGTGGCGCCTTCCTCGCGGTGGGCGTGCCAGTACTCGTTGAACGCCCAGTCGCAGCGCTCCTCGAGCGTGCTGAAGCGCTCTTCGATGTCTGAGCAGTCCACTTTGCCGTCGCTGCCACCGCAGGCAAAGTCGAGGCCTCTATCAAGGTCGGAGTGGTGGACACCGCGCTTGGCCGCGCAGATGAAGGCGCCCTTGTCCTCTGCCAAGCAGGCCGTGAACACTTCTTCTTCGGTGCGGTAGTTCGACACGTTCTTCGGGAACGCACCCTTGCGGACCAGGTCCAAGAAGCTCCAGCGCGAGCCGAACTCCGTCTTGAAGTTCCAGAAGTACCAGCCGTGGCCCACCGCGAAGGCGTTCAGCTTTTTCATGTTGAGGTTGCGCGTGAACTCGAGCTCGTCGAAATTATTCTGCTGACCGAAGGACGTGTTGCTTGTAATCGGGCACAAGCCGAAGGACGGACCAGACTGGCCCGTGCCGTACGGGCCCTGGATCGGCTTGGTGACGTCGAGCGGGGTGCCTGGGAAGTTGTGGCCCAAGTAGGTGCTTTGCACGGGGCATTTCGTCATGCGGCATTGAATGTTGGGGAAGCCCGGCAGGTTGTCGTTGAAGCCGTTCAGCCACATGGCGCAGTTGTCGGTGCCCAGCGACCACTCGCCGACAATGACGGGCATCATGGCGTTCTCCATCTCTGCGACCACGTACTTCTGCTGGCAGGCGTTGGAGAAGTAGTCCGAGCGCGTACCCGGAGCATTCCAAGCCTGGTAGATGTGCGTGTCCAGCGCGATGTCGGGGCACCCACGCATGAACTGCGACCAGTACTGCACCCCGAAGCGGAACGAGTCGTGCAGCACGAACTTCCAGTGTGGAGCCCGGGCCTTGACGCGCTTGTACGACTTCCAGTAGTAGTCCTTGAGGAGGTCGATGGGCGTGAGTTCCCACGGCTCGTTCACAGGCTCCAGGCCGATGATAGCCGGGTGGTCCGCGTATCGGTCGACGATGGCAGCGACCGTGGCAAGCGAGTGGTTCAGGTGTTCGTAGTTGATGGACTTGTACGTGTTCGTGGCGGGGTCGAACTCGCCGGCCCAACCGGCCGAGCGCACGGGCCAGTGCTCGAACGTGGTCGTACCGATGGGACGAGTGCTGGCAATCGATGTCCACTTGACAGACGAGGACATGCCACTGTTGTCGAAGCCGTTCTGCGAGCCGATCAAGCCGTGGATGTCGATCAGCAAGTCGATGTTGTACTTGTAGGCGAGGTCGGCGACGCGGTCGAGCGCCTCGACGGCGCCGTCCGTGCACCCGATGTACGGCTCGTACGGGTTGAACATCCAGTCACCGACGGGGACACGCAGCGAGTTCACGCCGGCCTCGGCCATCTCCTTGAGGTCGCTCTCGGTCACCCAGGCCTCGTAGTGGATGCGGAGTTGGCGGTTGGCCTCCTCCTTGCCGAGCGCCGTACAGAAGGTGTACATGTCCATCGCCGTCTTCTCGGGGGCCTTGTCGCCGAAGCGCTGCTGAGTGCCCAGGAACTGGTAGAAGAGCGTGGGAGTGATCCACGGCTCCAGCACGAGCCAGCCGCCGAGGTTGGCGCCACGCACCTGTCGGTTGAAGGGCGTGGCGTGCCGATCGCTGGAGCAAGTTTGGTTCTCGTCGTTGGGGTGAAAGTTCTCGAAGAAGTCGAGGTGCGCCGAGTTGAAAACGTGGTCGTTCTCCCAATACCACTTGGCGTCCTTGACGACATCCCCGTTGTTGGCGCCCAGCGTCGTGTCCAGGACGTGGTCGACGGGCGAGGATGTCGAAGCTGCCAGCGACAGCGCCGACAGCGCTGCGGCCACTTGAAGCAAGACTTTCATGTCAACTCGCAGACACCGGAGAGTCGAGTGCGGAGCGGAGAGAGTTGTGCAGTGCGCGTCAAAAGCGGAAGTGAGCAAGAGAGCGCCTCAAAAAAGCTCTCGCCGCGGAGCCATGCTGCTGCTGCCACCAGCGGTGATGTCCCCTCGCCCGGCCGACCCACGCTTGCTCGGCTCGGCCGGCTGTGCCCGACACAGACCAGGCAATGAGTCACGCGGGAAAAGCCGCGCAACAACTTCAACGCCGCAAAGACCGGCGGGCGCTGGACGCTCGCCATTGCGAGCAGCAACTTTTTGTCGGCAGCCAGCAGCAGCATGACCCGCGCAGCGGGCTGCCGGTCGTGACCTCGGAGAAAACGGCGGCGGTCTCTGCTGATCGGCATGCGACGCATGCCCGAAGCCATCATGCAACCGGGAGGGCGCACTAAGGGCGCGCTGTCCTCTGCCGCTCTCTCAACATTTAGCGCAGCTGCATGCGATAACCCCTTAATTAAAACTCCCCCGCGGAGGAGACCTCCGCCCCAAAGGCGCAGCAAGTTGCGAAAACACGAGTTATTGCAGCTCAAGGGAGTAACAGGTAGTCCGATTATCAGGGGCCCATCTTCGACGTACCATCAAAAACTTGCAAGGCCACCAGCGTTGAAGTCCTCTGATCCCCCAGACGAGGAGACCCACGGGTCCAGCCGACGGAAGCAAGCAAGATCGTCACGCAAAACTGAAGCTTCCGTTACAAATCTTCACCAAGCAGCAAAATTTAGAGCAGCACGACGTCGGCCAAAACGGGACCCGCCGTGCGGAGCCTTAGAGCAAGAGGGCACACGAAATGATGCCGCGAGCACTGAGCTCTGTGCTGTTGGCACTGTCAGCGCGCTTGGGCGGTGTCCATCAGCGCCGGCGTTGGTGCATTTCCGCTGCAAGATAACAGCGACGATGGACGCGAGCGATTGGCTAAGATATTGACCGTTATGTTCGAAACGGATACCAAGGGCGGAATGTCAGCTGAAATTCAGACACCAGGAGGGCATCACGCGGGCGGCTGCGATGGGCCTGTAAAACCACAAGTGGCTACTGTACTTGTCCCCATTGCTGCGAGGGCGCTTGTCTCGAGCAGGCACATTTTCCCTCAGCGACGGTGCTCGTCGCCCTGATCGATTATCGTCGAACCGAGTTCTTGAAGGGGGAGTGTGATCTCGATGCGGCGTGCTTTGAGAATGGTTCTATTGGTTCTCACGGGGGAAAATACGCAGTCGCCACAAGAGTCCGAGAGAGCCACAGCGCTGCTTCCAGCAGCAACGGCAATAGCAAGACCGTCTTGAAGACGTTGTTGTAAGGCAGGCTGCCTGCCCCGCATCATCTGCACCAATCCGTTCTCAACGTGGCCACGCCCACGCGGTGGTCAATTGGCCTTGCCCAGCCCGCGGGCGAGTCTGCAGCACGCTCCGCCCTAGCCAACACGCTGAACTTGGCTTTCACGCAGCGGCCGCACGTGTAAACCAATGCACAACGGAAGCTCGAGATACTTCGCGCTCTGCTTGGCGGCAGTAAAATCCGCTGCCGCCGGCAACAACACCGCCCTAGGGAGGAGACCGAGCGACAGCAGAGAGTGTCGGCGCCGATCTTCGTTGGCTAGCGTTGAAGTTCAGAACAGATGGCCGCGGGAGCTCAGCCCGGCCGACCGGAACGCGTAGGCGAGCCTGCATCCTCGGATGAACAGCAGCGCACGCAGGCTCGCAAGGATGGACTCGGATGGGCTCCATCCACGAAGAGAGCAGCATTGCACAGAGCAGAGCGGTGCGCGCGCCGAGATGGTTTGCCTATCTCGGCGGATGCAGCTACCGCATTTCGCATGTAGAGAAACACACCCATGTCATAGGTTTAGGTTAATTACTGCACTCGAGCCTAAAAACAATGTAAAACCCAAAACCTGGGTCACGCGATCATTTCGTACACAAAATTGACAAGATGGTTGGCCTAGTCATGCGGATGGCGCTTAAGCTAGCAACAAGTCTAGGCGCCATCTACAACTATGTTGCACAGGAACCACTCCACTTAACCAAGTATCTACAGCGTTGCTTCTTCTACTACCATCGCTGCAGCAGCCGTGTTGTGCGCTCTCTCGAGCTTGCGCGTTGTTGTTTAACCTCGTGCTCCCCATATCCCGCACTCAGGCGCGCCTCAACTGGGCCCACACCAGGCGTGGCTACTAACTATCACTCCGACGAGGCGTATGCCTCCAAGCGCGCGGGGAGGGGGCAGCGCGATGTTGGCGAGCGGTGCGGTGCTCTTCCCCTCTGCCTTCGCGCGCTTGGAGCTGGTGGCTCAATGGGAATGCAAAAATGCGCAAAATACCCAAATTAGGGGTGTATCTCTCTACATGCGATCCCACGGACTTTTCTCTCGCATGTCTGATTGGTCTAAATAAAGGTGTATCTCTTAAACCGCTGTAGCGCTCTACATGCGAAATGCGGTACCGCCCACCTTACATTCTCGCCGCAAAGGCGCTGCGGTTGCCGTCTTGTGAGCGGCGTGGACATGAGCGCGGCTGATCGAGTCACTGATCCACGTTGAAGGGGCTCACGGCTGCGCTGTCGGCTGAGCGGATAAATTTTCGTCGGGAACGCTTTCCCCAGCGCTAGTAGCGCCGCTACGTTGGTGGTTCTGGCAGCCTGCCAGTGGCAGGTGGCCCCGGAGTCCTCGGCTTCGAGGCCGACGCGCAGTGGATCGACAGGGCATTCCGGGGCCCCCCTCCTTGTGTGGGGTGGGATGTGGACGACTCGAGTTTTCGAGTGGCTCGAGGGGATGGACCGACTAAGATGGCGTGCGTGGTGGCTCGATTGTTGAGACCCGCAAACGAGTCTGGAGGACGTTGGTGGACATGTTCGCCCAGTACTAAATGACTAGGGCAGCGCCTTGCCTACAGCAGTGCTTGGCGACCTGCGTAAATACATGTACACGGCAAGCACTCTGCTAATGTTGTGTCCAGATATGTAGCCATTTTGTAATGGATACAGTCTCAGTATGTAGCCATTTCCAGCTTTCTGCCAATGACAACGCATCTGTCCAAAATGGCAACACCTCCGCGCAGTCTCCGCTTCGTCGACGTGGTTGCTTGGGACCCGTCCTCCCCGGAATGGCATCGACTGCTGCGCCAGCTCCCAGCGCACGAGCAGCAGCAGGTGACACGCTTCATGTTCGCTAAGGACCAGAAGCTGGCGCTGGCCAGTCGTTTGATGCAGCGGCAGCTCATTCACGAGCTCTTCGGCGTCGACTACAAGGGCATCGACATTGCGCGCACGCCCGAGGTGCGTTTTTGAGTCAGTTATGTATATTCAAACTACGTTTTTACGACTCACGAGTGTAGTGTTGCGTCCTGGCAGAATAAGCCGTATTGGAAGCGACCGGCGGAGGGGGCTGCCCCTCCATCATGGAACTACAACGTCTCGCACCATGGCACTATTGTGGCAATTGCCAGTGATTCCCGCGCTCTAGTGGGCGTGGACGTCGTGCGGCTTACAGATCGTCCGAAGAGAAAGATGTCGGTGGAGGAGTTCTTCCGAGCTTTTGCAGACTACTTTAACCCTAGAGAATGGGGATACATCCAACAGACCGACGACGAAGATGACCAATACACTCGATTCTATCGACTTTGGTCGCTGAAGGAGGCGTACATCAAGGCGGTGGGCATCGGTCTGGGCTTTTCGCTGCTGCGAGCTGAGTTTGTCCGGGTGGATTCGAGCCGGGAAGACCATTGGGAGCTCCTCCTGGATGGACATGGGGCTAGCGAGTGGCGCTTCTCATGCGCTCAAATCGGCGACGCGCACCTCGTGAGCGTTGCGTACGGGCCGTTCTCGGCAGTGTGGAAGCCTGAGGCAAGCGCCCTGTTCCCCTGTGCCGAACCGCTTACGAGTGGACAGATTCCCCATCCTACTGAGGAAAGGGAAGAGCTGGCCGATTGGCACGAATGGAGGCTGGAGGATCTTCTTCTCTAGTGCTTCACCAACACCATCACCTGATGCATTCTAGCTGAATGCTGGTTCGGGCTACTACGGATACGAGCAAACCCCGGAGCGAGCGCCACTCCCACAACAATCCTGGCTGAGTTAGTACTCTATTCGTTCATGCCCGCATTGCTGCACAGCCTGCTGTAGCGTCGAGACTTTGTCAAAGTTGACTTCGACTTTTATGCTGAGATAGTGCCCAGTACCACGGAGACGGAAAGGTAGGCTGAAGGATAGAATCATGCGTATCTGCTATTGACCTGCTAGGCTCTGACCGGCTTCGAAAATGGCTTGTGGTACTTTCAATTTGTATTACCCTACATTATACTATCGTTTGTATGTGCTTCGTTGAAGTTGTCTTCGACCAATAGCAGACCAGGAGATCCCAAAGTATCGGATCGAATTGCTGCTTTGACTTTGGTATGATCTGACACTAGCGACAAGCGAGCGCAACGAGCATCGCGGAAGTATACTGTCCAGCGGGATTTTCCTGTTTTTTGTTTCTCTGCCTGCTGCCGGGAGCGTATATACGAAATCACAGGCACAACAGTGCTGTTACAACACGCACTCGAATGAGCTAATCTTCGAATTCATTGCATTGCATTGAAACGCCTTACTCAAACGACCAAAAGAACAACATCCATCATACGCTACGAGGAGAAATCACAGCAAGACGACTCGAAACCGCGCACGCGACACAAAGCCCGTTCGTTCGCCAAGAGGTGCTCACGCCACCTCGACGAGCTCCCCTACGAGAGTACGCTTGCTCGCTCATTCCTCCGAGCGGAGCTGGCGGTACGTCTTCTGCGCCGACGTGGCGCTCGCTCCAGCCGTGGCCCGAGCAGACGCACTCGCTCTGGCGCTGGCCGTAGCACTCGCCGACGCGCCACCATTCGCAGCGGCGCCATTTCCGTTCGACACGGACGCCGTGTTCGACGTGCCGTCTCCGTTCGCGACGGAGACCGTCTTGGTCGAGAAGGGGTTGTTGCCGCCGTTCGCATTGGCATTGGCGTTCGCGTTCGCCGTGGACGCGCCATTGGCGCCACTAGTCGTAGCCGTCGTAGCAGGGGCGCTGTTCACAACAGTAGCGGGAGCGTTGTTGTAGGCGGGGGCGCTGTTGACAACAGGCGGGGGAGCGTTGTTGTAGGCGGGGCTGTTCACAGGATAGCCCCCAGGATAGCCCGCAGGATAGCCGACACCGGGCAAGCCCACACCAACGTGCGCTCCGAGGCCCAGCACGTTGGCACCGACACCAACACCGCCGTTGCCCACACCGACGCCGACACTCGCGAGGCCAGGCACACCGACACTGACGGCGGGGCCCGCGCCGTAGCCGTAGCCGTAGCCGGGCGCGCCATAGCCGACGCCGGGGAGTCCGAGCAAACCCAAGGTCTGGGCCACCTGTGTCTCGGCGTGAACACCGGTCGACACGGCGGTGGCGGCGACGCACAGAGCGAAGATCTTGCTGCTGGTGCTGAGGCTGAGCATGGCTGCTTGGGTTGAGTAAGTAGAAGTAGTAGGGGAGACTTGGTCCGATAGAACGTTCGGGAGAGCGCTGGCTCTGGCGGAGATCGAGCGGGTTGCATCGATGGGAGGGGGAATATTGGAGAGTGAACTGACGCGAGGCCGCAGCCAGCTAGTCGCGAGGCTACCGGAGGTAAGGCAAGGCAAGCAGGCAAGAAAGCAAGCGTCGATCAGCTGGCTGCCAAGTGACACGGACGTCAACGCCGACCAGCCGACGGGTTTCGCGGCGTCAGCATATCGCGGGGCTAGCGATTATCACGGCGAAGGTGGCCCTGTGGGTGGTCGGCCGATGGGGTCACCACGGCCGCGACCGTCGTACAGATGCTGGTGCATAGCGCTGGATTGAACGACCTGGTGATGGCTGGCTAGACGTCGATACCTCCTACTGCGTAGTGTATAATACCCTTGAAGGCTTGAGGGAGGAGCTGGCAAAGATCCGGAAGGGCCGTAAGGCATTTGGTGTAGGTACTTGACCGTCATTGACTCCAAGAACGACCCTTGGCCCGCAGGCATGACCCCATCCGGAGTAGTTGATGTTCATGTTGATCCGTACTCTCTACGCGTTCTTATTCGCATTGCTGCGACTCAGCTCGATGATAACTGTAGCGCTGAAGCTTCGCTTAGTCAAGCCGTATGCCGGGGTGATGCTGGGCACCACGTGGTGAAAGCTAGCTGTACGATAACATAACCTCCGTAAAGGTTGGCTTGGCTTGTTTTGGCTGGGCTGGGCTGGGCTCGGCTGGGCTTGCTCGGCCCAACTGAACCCGACTGAGCAAATGGCTTGGCTTCAAGTTTGTATCACATGCGTTATACTGATGTTTGTATGCTCGTTGTTGAAGTTGTGTGAGACCAATCGGAGATAAGGAGATCCCAAGCATTGGTCGAGTTGCCGTTCCTACCGCTGGCACGACACTAACGACGCGCGCCACGAGCATCATGGCAGCATGCCACCACATAAGGGATCATCCTGTCAAGACCAGCAATGCCTACCTGTCGGGTGTGTTCATGCGCCCACAACACTCGAGATAGCTACATGTAGTCTCAGACAAAACCTCAATTGCATTGGATTAAAGTTCCTTACTCGACACGACAAAAAATCAAACATGATACACTAGGAGGCCGACACCACGGAGGGTCGACACAGAGTTCCAAACCACACCTCAACCAGGCTTCCGACGAGGATACACTTATTCCACCGAGCGAAGCTGGCGGTACGTCTTCTGCGCCGACGTGGCGCTCGCTCCAGCCGTGGCCCGAGCAGACGCACTCGCTCTGGCGCTGGCCGTAGCACTCGCCGACGCGCCACCATTCGCAGCGGCGCCATTTCCGTTCGACACGGACGCCGTGTTCGACGTGCCGTCTCCGTTCGTGACGGAGACCGTCTTGGTCGAGAAGGGGTTGTTGCCGCCGTTCGCATTGGCATTGGCGTTCGCGTTCGCCGTGGACGCGCCATTGGCGCCACTAGTCGTAGCCGTCGTAGCAGGGGCGCTGTTTACAACAGTAGCGGGAGCGTTGTTGTAGGCGGGGGCGCAGTTGACAACAGGCGGGGGAGCGTTGTTCTAGGCGGGGCCGTTCACAGTCGGCTGGATTCCACGTCGGGACAGAGGTGGCCCAGACCTTGGGTTTGCTCGGACTCCCCGGCGTCGGCTATGGCGCGCCCGGCTACGGCTACGGCGCGGGCCCCGCCGTCAGTGTCGGTGTGCCTGGCCTCGCGAGTGTCGGCGTCGGTGTGGGCAACGGCGGTGTTGGTGTCGGTGCCAACGTGCTGGGCCTCGGAGCGCACGTTGGTGTGGGCTTGCCCGGTGTCGGCTATCCTGCGGGCTATCCTGGGGGCTATCCTGTGAACAGCCCCGCCTACAACAACGCTCCCCCGCCTGTTGTCAACAGCGCCCCCGCCTACAACAACGCTCCCCCGCCTGTTGTCAACAGCGCCCCCGCCTACAACAACGCTCCCGCTACTGTTGTGAACAGCGCCCCTGCTACGACGGCTACGACTAGTGGCGCCAATGGCGCGTCCACGGCGAACGCGAACGCCAATGCCAATGCGAACGGCGGCAACAACCCCTTCTCGACCAAGACGGTCTCCGTCACGAACGGAGACGGCACGTCGAACACGGCGTCCGTGTCGAACGGAAATGGCGCCGCTGCGAATGGTGGCGCGTCGGCGAGTGCTACGGCCAGCGCCAGAGCGAGTGCGTCTGCTCGGGCCACGGCTGGAGCGAGCGCCACGTCGGCGCAGAAGACGTACCGCCAGCTTCGCTCGGTGGAATAAGTGTATCCTCGTCGGAAGCCTGGTTGAGGTGTGGTTTGGAACTCTGTGTCGACCCTCCGTGGTGTCGGCCTCCTAGTGTATCATGTTTGATTTTTTGTCGTGTCGAGTAAGGAGCTTTAATCCAATGCAATTGAGGTTTTGTCTGAGACTACATGTAGCTATCTCGAGATGAACACACCCGACAGGTAGGCATTGCTGATGTTTACAGGACCCCGTATGCGGAGCTGCTGCCGTGCGCGGCTCCAGTCGACACAACCACTAATCTCATTTCAATGCTAATCTTGACAGGGTGATCCCTTATGTGATCGCATGCTGCCGCGATGCTCCCGCGATGCCCGTCATTAGTGTACCAAGCCTATTATCTTTAGCTGGTTTGAAAGAATGATCAGCCACATTGTAAGTATTGTAAAATATTTAGCTTAAAAATACTAAAAGTTTTAAAATTTAAAATATAATTATTTCTTTGTAGCTCGTGTTATGCCAACTCGGCCCGATATTTGATCTACGATTGGCCACGCAACTTCAACGACGAACATACAAACGTCAGCATAAAGAAGATAAATGAAAACTTTAAGATCAAGCAGAACCCAACTCAATGCAATCGGGGCTTTGTGTCTGAGACTATATCTAGCATTGTAGACGTATGCACCCGACAGGTAAACAACACTGGTCGTTCTTTACACGACGATCCCTTGGCTGTTAGCATGCTCAACGTGCTGCGATGCTCGTTGAGCCCGTCCTCAGTGTCATACCAGGAGTAAGAGGTAGGAGCAGCAACTCGACCCAGATCATCAATGAGCCTGTGTTTATTTACTGGATAGTCTGCGCATCTTTCGGGGGCCTTTGAAAAAAAATTGCTTAAATTCAACGGAAAAGATAGAGCCCATGTTTTTAGTCAGAGGGGGTGAAATGAACCCAAATCTATCGGGAGCGTCCAAGCGAAATCGACACCAGCGGCATTTGAGAGGCATGAAGAGTCTGCAAACTTCACCCTAGTGCCATAGCTAGTCATGGTATTCCCTCCTCAACGCTGGGTCGGTCTTCAGAGGGCTTAAAGCGCCGGCAAAGCGACGTTTGGCAGCCGAAGATCACCTTAGCCCATAGGAATTGCATAGTGTTTGTAGGCCATGACACCCGTCCCACAAGCCGAACATGTTTGGCCATGTTTCAACATGTTTGACCATGTTTGAGATTTCTTACTTGTTTTTAGTATGTCCCTTACCCTAGCCCGTTTAGAAAACATGGGCTGTATCAACGGACTAAATTCAATCGTAGTGAATTAACAGTAAAGGTGTCAGGACCTTCTCACGATCGCTGAATGTTCCCTGCCACCTTGCACTACTAAGCTACTACATGTAGTCGAAGATAAGTCGGTGAACCTGAAGAATATCAGTGATTCATCAGTTTCAAAACAACCTCATCGTTGGCAAAGCACACTTTTCCAAACACTTCAACACCGTTGTAATTGTGCTGTGTAAGGTAAGTAGACACAAAACCTAGCTAGGCCTTGGTGCTCGATTGCGTCGCCATGCTGCGTCGGTCGTCTCCTCCGCAGCATCACAACGCCACGTCGAATTGGGCGCATCATCTCCTCCCCCTTCCGTCACTGCGAGAGTCAATTGCTTAGCCGGAGTCCCTCCCGCTCTAAGGAGTCGGGAACAACATCTTGCGGACCGTGGGCTTGAGGTCGTAGTAGATCTGGTCCAGGCGCGTGTCCAGCGTGTTGTCGCACACGATCTTGCCCTGCTTGGCGTACAGCACGATACCGCCGGCCTTGGAGTCGGGCAGCATGCCGTCCGCGGCCTTGTTGAGCGTGACCTTGACCTTGCTCACGTCCACGTTGGCCTCCTTCTTGACGATGGCGATGTACTTGTCCGTGGCCTCCTTGAGCACGGCCTCGGCGAGACGCACGTCCTTGGCGCGCACGGCGACCACCACCTCCGGCTCGAAGAGCTTGATCAGGCCCTGCACGATCAGGTCGCGCAGCAGCACCTTGTTCTTGTCGTCGGCCGTCGTGTAGTTCCGCAGCTGGGCCTGGCCCTCCACGATCAGGGTCTTGAGCAGCTCGTCACGCGCGATCATCTTCTGTCGTCGCGAGGCGCCGATCTCCGCGGAGCGCGCACTATGAAAAGCATTAAAATAATTACTAACTGCTGCAATATTGCAGGGCAAAAGACAGTGGATCCGTCGCGTCGTCGCTCACATGCGCTTGTTGATCTCGCGCTCCTTCTCCTTGCGCGTGTACTCCTCCTGGATCTTGATCTTGGCGTTGTGCACCAGCATCTGCTTCTCCAGGTTGAAGTCGTGCTCCGTCTAGCAATAAGAGACAACATACAGCAACAGGTCAGCTCCCTCCGCGTTATCAGCTCCAGATATAAAAACATTTTACCTTGATGCGGATCTCGTTGGCCTTCTCCTGCGCCTCCTGGAGAATGAAATTCACCATCTGCTTGATCTGGCGGTCGGCATCGGACGCGTTCATCTTGGCTCTCGGCTTGGGGGGCGCTCTCCTCTTGCACTCTCCACACTCCACTGACGTCGCTCACACTACCGCTTCCGCTTCTGCTTTTGAAGACCTTCGAACGAGATCTTCCACTTCGCACTTAGTCGAATATCCTCATTTCACCCAATCATATCGTCGTACTTAGTCGATCACCTTCTTTTCAGCCAATCGACAGCCACATCTCCTCGTCAGTTCGAGCTTTTGACCAGGAACAGAGACGACCGCAATGCTGAGGGTGAGGGCGACGGTGACGGTGGCGGCCTGCGCTGCGCGCCGCGCGCAGGCGCTGCGCCTGCTGTCCACCAACCCGGACGTGGACAACAACGCCTTCGTGCGCAGCATCTCGGCGCAGCAGGCGGAGAAGGCGCTGGAGCGCGGCGCCGCCATCCGCGCGGACCACGTGGCCGCCAAGAGCGACGCCGCGTTCCCCGCCGCCAGCCAGGGCGAGCGCCGCGTGGACGCGAACGAGGCCAACCGCAAGCGCGTGATCTACCGCAGCAAGCAGCGCGGCTGGCTGGAGGTGGACCTGCTGCTGGGCCGCTGGGCCAGCCAGAACGTCATGGCGCTCTCAAGCGACGAGCTGCGCCAGTACGAGGACATTCTGAACGAGGAGACGATCGACATCTTCAACTACATCTCGGGCAAGAGCCCCGTGCCCGCGCGCCTGGACACGCCCATGATGAAGCGGCTGCAGGACTACTGCCTCGCGTCCCCGCTGGGCAAGGCCTCGCTCGAGGGGTTCGCCGAGAACAAGAAGTTCATGAGCAACTAACCAATGAACTGCCTACAGTAGACACGGGAGCTCGTACTGCATTTGGGTTATTGTTTTTGCTCTATCGTAGTAGCTACAGTACTACGACGCTTGGTTGTGTTTGACGTTGTTGGTGTTGGTTATTCAGCTGATGGGCGACAGCGGTAGAACGAGAGGTTGTGGACGACCATGGCGAGGCAAACGAGGAGCTGGCGGGACTCTTCCGGTAGCAGCAAGCGGCTCTCTTGGAGGCGCACCATCAGGCGGAGAGTGAGGTGGAACGGGACGGGGAGCTTCATGTCGTGGTAGAGCACGTTCTTGTCGTTGGTGGCGGGCATGATGAAGCCGAAGCCCAGCAACGTGTACTCACTACCGTTGTAGAAGTCTCCTCGCTCGGTGGTGGAGACGACCTCTTGGTACTGCGGGTTTGCGGCTCGAGTCTGCGCGTAGGAGGCGATTGAGCGGTCCAGAGCTTCCATTTGGCTCGCTAGCTGACTGACCAGCTCGACTAGTTCACTTTCAGCGAAGTTGCCGAGCATGGGCACGCTGTGGTTGAGCTGCATGGAGATCATGGTGTCGTGGTTGGTATCGGCGTAGTACGAGACTACCTCGTCCAGTACCGGCACTTGGTCGTCCATTAGGCTTTCGAACACGTGCAGTGGGGTAGGGTCGCTGCTTATCGACATGTTCACAGTTCCGAGCACTGCGTCGGCGAACTCGTCCACGTCAAGGTCGTGGGTTGAGAACCAGACGGTGGAAGGGCCTTGCAGACCGTCGCTAAGTGCTCTCCTCTCGGCTTCAAAAGCCACTTCAGCTATCGTCATCAGCGCCTCCAGTCGCATCGATCGCTTCGTGACTGGGTCCACACTCGTGTTAGCGAATACTGGAAACAGCGACAGTGTCACCAGTGAAGGCGTGTAGACGGTAACACCTGACTGCATCAAGCACGGACTCTCCATCGTGCAATCCATCGCGTTTTCATCGCGAAAGCGCTTGTCGAACGAAGGATAGCCATAGAAATGGGTGAGCGCGGCGTACACTCCACTCCTTGACGAGAAATCCGTCACATTACCAGCGTGATCAGCAGTATCGGTGGCAGAATGACCCAACGGTAAACCTGCTGCTGTTTCAACGTCACTTGAGATCCCTGTCACGTTGTTGGTAGTGTTACGATCTCCAGAGTTCGTTGGCGAAAGTTGGAGAAAAACTGACAAGGACGGGAAAAGCGAGTGTGTGTCGTTCGAGCGGAGCGTGAAGCGAGGAATACCAGTCTCGAAGTAAAATTCCTGGACCAGCAGCTGGATTTGCTCAAGTGCTTGAATATCGCGTGAATTCATTGCGCTTTCGTTCAGACTTCCATTCATCACCTTGCTGACTGATGATACATTCGTTGGGGAGGAGGATATTCCATCGAGTTGGCGCGATAACTTGCTTCCAGAGCCAGCACAGCTTGATGAGCACGACTCAATCTTGTCAGTATCACCGACGCGACTCACATTATCCTCCGTGTCGTCTAGCGTGAGAGTCTGCATGAGCTGCGCTGTAAGATTTCGTACCAGATCGAGTCGTGGGGACCACAACCACGGATAACTATCAGCAGGCAGCGTTGCTGGGGGTAGATTGTCGTCGCGGGTGTAATACTGGTCCGAGTAGCCTTCGTACGGAGCAAAAGCCGCAGTGTATGGCGCGTACAACTGCGCTCGCTTGCTTGCTCCATCGAACGCATACCGCAAAGTCGCGTTAGGTCGAGCTTCTTCGTCCTCCGCCTTAATGATGGCATCTACTGGCAGTGAGAGATTGAATTCTCGTACCATCTCGCTAGCGTTCATCAATGCGAGGCGTTTGGCAAGCATTTCGTTTTCGAAATACCCCACGTAATGGCTCTGGATGAGGTTCCACGCCACATTCCCCAGAGACTTCAGCAGTGGCAGCGCCAAATTGTCCGTGAGAAACATCCCGATCGCCTTGTTTCGACGCCGGCGAACTTTGTTCGACCTGATGGAGCTCCCGTAGTCCATAGGAGACACGAGATTGTACATCAGCAGCCGCGGTATGTCCTTCTTTAAGGTGCGTCGGCCCTGGGTCGACAGTACCCACTTGGAGATCCAGGGCGTCTGGGCTTCAACTGCACCGCGATAGTCAGCAAAGCTGTGGAAAGTCGAGTCATTGTTCGCAGGCATAACTTTTCCATCCGATCGACGCTTCCAGTGAACAGGCTGGTTCGAGTGCGGGTGGTCTTCACTCCAGTAATCGCTCGTATTCAGAGGCGTGTGTGTAGTCACCATCGATGTCTTCGCGTTAACGAAGGTCACGCTCGCGGCTGATGTCAGCATTACCGCCAAAATGGCCACGATATTGGCCACTCTAACGCTCATCGTGTCAAAGAAGTTTTGCAAAGTGCTGAAGAATCTGCAGAACAAATAAGAAAAATAAATTCTGGCGGCTTCTTAGTAAATGCAAGTCGTGCTCGAAGTCAATCTGTAAAAACAGTCACGTTGCCTCATTCAGTTCAGTTGTGGCTAAGAGTGACCCCAGCCAAGTAGCTTCCACGAGAATTTCTTTTTCTTCTTACCCTTGAGCCCAGTACGCTTGGATTCTTGTAGTTTTGCCAGTTTAAACGCTTGCCGGCACTCGTACACTCCAGAGACACTCATCAGCCACGCATTTCTCCACTCTGTTTTCGTAAAGATATCGGACGACCCGAGGGCTACCACCGGCCGCCGCAGCAGCAATAACAGCATTGGACGCCTGCTGGCCCAGCTCCGTATGCATCCACTTGACCATGTTAAGGCGGCACATCGACGCCGCCTTCATCAGTGCTTCCGAGCTGCACCCTGGCAAGTATTTCGCATGTAGCCATTTTGCCGCACCGAGACTTCCTCCAATCGCAAGGAGATCCATATCTGCAGTACTGCAGCCCTCCGACCGGTTGTTGTGCAGCCACTTCACCATATCAAGGCAGCCATTACGTGCAGCCCCATCCATCGCTGCGTGCGTGCATCCTTCTAGCGATTCTCGTGCAGCCCCATCCATCGCTGCGTGCGTGCATCCTTCGTAGTGATTCTCGTGCAGCCACTGGACAACGCTCATGTAACCACGACTTGCAGCGCCATCCATCGCAGCCTTGGTACAACCTTCAAAGCGGTGTTCGTGTAACCATATAACGGTGTTGATACGTCCCCGACTTGCAGCGTTATCCATTGCCGCGACTATGAAGTCTGCGCAGGCGTTCTGTGGAGTAACTCAACGATACTGAGATTTCTGGCCACAGCCGCAGCATCCATCGCCTCTGACGTGATCTCGGCCTCGCTGCACTTTACTTTATCATATGGTAATCGAGATAGATGGCTTTCATCCTCTTGCAGAAGCCATCAGGGTCCGATGCCATTTGGCCGGATGGATGAGCCGGTAGCGCTCTACACCTTTTCTCGGTCTACCTGAGCAAATTAGACAAGCAAAGGTGGCATGTTTTAGTTTGGGGTGCACAAGAAGCCCAAATTAGGAAACGGAAATCTGAAATTGACAAACAAAAAGCTGCCTAACCTTCATTCAATGTGAAGTAGTACAGTGTACCAAAAACACTACTCGCCGTACAACCATCAATTGCTCGCGTACGGAGACTTCGCGCGCGCGCCAAACGAGCTGCGCTTCGTGGAGGCTGACGCCGCGGGGCTGTTCGTTCCCTGTAGTTCCCATAATTGCAAAACGGGCATCGTGTGTTGATCCGGGACAAGGAAAAATTGAAAATGCCGTGACTGCGATGAAAGAATGAGTGGAAGGCTTTTCAGGGAAATCCTCTAATGTTTTTGCGTTTTCTTTGCTGTTAACGAGAGTTCGTGACACTTTCATTACCTCAAAGAAAAAATGGGTTTACGCAATTCGAAATGACTTGATCATTAATTTACCGGTTGGCTTTGAAAAAAATAAACAAAGTGTTGTCGTCCTCCGCGCGTATCCAGTATCAACTCAGCTTGATAAAGAAATGTTAGACAACCGATTCGCCTTCAAACGGAGATCAGCTCAACGAATGAAAATTGTCGAGAAACTTTGCAAACCTGTGTCTTCTCCGTACAGATTCGTGACAACACATTCGGCTTGCTTCAGTCATAACGAAGCTAAGCTAGTGGAAGTTGCACAAGCTAAACAGCTTCCACCCAAACGTTTTCTTTTTGCGCTCCAGCTCGTCACGTTTCTTGCGATTGTGAATCGCCAGCGTAGATGCTCGGCATTGCTCGCACTTCAGTAAAGCGTCCGCGGCAGCCTTTTGTCCGTTTTTCTTGGCAGCGATGACAGCTTCAGCTGAACATTTCCCCACGTTGTTGGCGTGGGGATACTCGACAATCTGCAAGTGGCCGCTTGCCGCAGCAGCAGAGATGGCAGAGTTCGACGCCGGCTGGCCGAGCTCCGTGTGCAACCACTGGACCATTTCGAGATGGCCCTTCGACGCTGCCTTCATCATTGCAGCCGAGCTGCACCCTGCCAAAACGTTCGCACGCAGCCACTTTGCCGAACTCAGACGTCCTTGACTAGCGACGTAGTCCATCGCAGCAGCACTGCACCCTTCGGAGCGGTAACTGCATAACCATCGAGCCACCAGCGCGTGGTCATTCATCACAGCCGAATCCATCGCGGCAGTGGTGCACCCCTCGGTGCGACTCCGATGTAGCAACTTCACAACGTCAAGACAGCCATTTCCGGCTGCTCCATCCATTGCCGCTGTGGTGTACCCTTCAGAACGATTTTCGTGGAGCCACTGGACGATGGGGAGATGGCCATTCTTCGCCGTTCCATCCATCGCAGCAGTGGAGCAGCCTTCGTTGCGGTTTTCGTGCAGCCATTTCAGCATCCGAAGGTGGTTGTTGCTCGCAGCTCCGTCCATCGCCCCTTCCGTACAACCTTCGTAGCGGTATGTGCGCAGGTATTGCACCACAGCAAGACGGTTATTGCATGCAGCGCCGTCCATTGCCGCCTTCGTGCATCCTTCGTAGCGGTTTGCGTGCAACCATTTCACCATATTAATGCAACCCTTACTTGCAGCTCCATCCATCGCGGCCTTCGTACAGCCCTCGTAGCGGTTCTTGTGCAGCCACTCAACGACAATGAGGCGACCTCTGCTCGCTGCTTCATCCATCGCATTGATGCTGTCGGGGAGCCACTTCAAGATAGCGACGTTGTTTACTTTCGCCGCAGCCTCAATCGCCTCCAGCGTAAGTTTTGCCTCGCAGTGTGTCTGCATCCACTCCAGCGATGCGAAGTCTTCCTTGCGGCCGCTGTAGATTTCTTTCGCCCTTGCACAACCCGTTAGGGTCGTGTTTATTGTGATGCCATAGTGTCGGATGTGTCGACCCGTCTTGTGTCAATCCGGCCATCGCGCCTAGGCGCAAGTTTGAGAATGCTGTGCTCGAATCAAAGCAAGCAATGCCCATGACGGACAACGACAAGGAAGCAGCTCTCCCAGAAACGTCTTCAACGGTATTCGAAGGCATAAGCGGTATCCTCGCCAAGTTGAAGTGGTTTGTACCACAAATTGGGTACATGTATCCAACCATCGCATTTCTATCGCATTATAGAAATCCTTCCAGCAGAGCAGCATGTCGACGAGCCACGGTGCGCCCCCGGCGGGCTTGGAGTGCATGGCGACGATGGACGACATCACGCAGGAGGAGGGCAACTACTGCGAGTTCCAGACGGCGCCCAGTGGCCTGTGGCACCCGGCGCTCTTCTGCGCGGACGTGGTGGAGCAGCTGCTGGGCTCGCAGTTCCACACGTTCATGAAGAAGGTGCAGGAGGCGGACTGCAAGGCGGAGCTGCGGCGCCTGGTGGCCAAGGGGCCTCCCGTCTGGCTCGAGGACAAGCACGCGCTGCCGCTGCCCGAGGGGGACACGCACATCGTCCAGGTCTGGTTCGCCAAGGACGGCCAGGAGCGCAGCGCCAAGCTGGACGGGGCCCTGGAGGGGGAAGCCCGCGAGAAGCTGTGGGAAGAGCTGCGGCAGCTCATGGATGCCATGGAGGAGGACAAGGAAGAGGTGCGGTGAAGGTGTAGTATGAAAGGGTTAGAGCCTGGAAGTCGATGGCCTTTACGATCATAACAAGATCATCTAGACTTTCATTGATTTGGGGTGAGCGGAAGTGTTGAGTACGTAACCCGGTGGTGGTGGTGTGCTGGACTGGAATTGCTAGTATTGTACAGGCAGGGGGTCATGAAGCTCGTTAGCTTGTCAAGTATAGATATCTTTCTAACGTGACAGTGCCAAAAGAAAAGTTGTAGACTTCGTGCTAAGCTACGCCGCTTTCAGTCCTTGGTAGTGCAGATCCAGATAAACGCGTTTTCTAAGCCCCATGGAGGACTTACGTTTGCTGGTTGGTGATTGAGGAGGAAAAGTTTGCTACGTAGGCTCCTGACAATGCTATTGACCGAGATAGCAGCGCCGATCGCCATCCAAACGTTGCGAGGTCATGGCACGGTTGTCATACAGTACTGTGTGCGAAGTTACGGAGACTGTGTTGGAGTAGAGCTCGACCACGATGTCATCAAAGTGCTTACGACCGTGATACGTATACGAACAACAAATTCCCACTCACGCGAGCCGCGGGTGCCGAATCGACACGAGTTGCCGCCAACACATACAGTAGCTCCAATGTCGTGGCCACTGTTCACCGCGACGCTGATCCTCGACTGGGAATGTTCAGTGTACCAAGCTGTGCTGCAGGAGAACCGCTGAGCAGCTCTGCTTCTAGCTACCCATCGCCCCAATAGCTGAAGCCCTACGCAGCCGATACCTCAGCGCCAGCAGGAAGCCACCCCAGGTCATCCTTTTATCGCCCCCGGCGCCGCTCGTCAGCCATTCCGACGGTGCGCCGCGTGTCTTCGCCGCCACCGCGCGCAGTTTAACATCGGTGACGAAGACACGGGCGCGGGGCACTTTAACGCGCATCCATCTTGTTAAACCGCGGCCGCCAAAGCCTTCTTTCACTTCCACCATTCGTCTTCGTCGATGGCCCATCAGGCGCAGCCAGCGCCGCCTCGCTCTCACCTCACGCATCGGAATGCCGCCTCCCATACATATTCTCGTCCGCAGCCCGGTTTCTGGGCGGCGTCAGCGCGGCAGCGAGGGCCACGACAGCGGCGCTCTCTCCGCCGGATCCGCGATGCCATCTCTTTCGACCACGCAAGCTGCATCCTCGTGATGATGACATGCTGAAGCTGCGCCATGTCAGAAAAAATAGAACGTCGCTTGCGTCTTTTCGACCAATCGCTCTGCGTAAAAGCAGTTTTACGCCCTCCTATTGGTGCTAGCCTTTCGATTTACAACCAACCGGAGCCGCGCATCAAAATGCTGGTCTTCAGCGATCAAGGCGAGGCAACAATGCTGTCGCCCGCCGAGCAACAACACGCCGCGTCCGTCCTCACGGCGGCGCGGCTGTGCTCGGGCGTGTGAATCTCGGTCCGTCCACAGCGCCGCTCCACGCCCCGTTCTCTGGGCGCCACTATGGCTGAGCCTGACATCATCGCGTTTTGCGCTGAAACGTCACTTGGCGCCCGGGATACAAACGCCAAGTGTAATTCCGATGACATCAACGGTGCTTCGCGCAAGTACGTCAGCCAGCGCGCAGAAAAAGGCCGAAAAACAATGCGCTTCATCCTCCGCCCCCAGCTCTTCAAACGCTGCGTGTACATGATCAGCAGTGGTGGTGGTGGTTGCCATCCACCGCCGCAAAGCATTGGGACGTGCGTGGGCCATCGCCATTCCGGGATTTCCAGTCGACTGCGCACGTCCACCACCCTCACACAGCTTGAGTAAGAGCAGGAAGGAAGGCAGCCAGCCACCATGATGTCCCTGTCGAAGTTCAAGAAGGAGGCCAACTGGTTCATGGTCTACTACCTGACGGTGGTGCACCTCGGCGCCATCGAGGGCCTGCGCCGCCTCTTCCAGTGCAAGCTCGAGACGTTCCCGCTGTTTGTGTTCATCTACTACCTCTCGGGCCTCGGCATCACCATGGGAGCTCACCGCCTCTGGGCGCACCGCAGCTACAAGGCGCACGGCATCCTGCGCTTCTTCCTCATGCTCTGTAATAGTATGGCCAATCAAGGAACGCTTTTTCACTGGTCGAGGGACCACCGCGTGCACCACAAGTACTCGGACACGGTGGCGGACCCGCACGACTCGGGCCGCGGCTTCTTCTTCGCGCACATGGGCTGGCTGCTGGTCAAGAAGGACCCGCGCGTGCTCGAGGCCGGCACCAAGCTCAACTACGACGACCTCTGGGCCGACTGGTGCGTCGTGATGCAGGAGAAGCTCAACCCGTGGGGGCAGCTCTTCATGTGCTTCGTGTTCCCCACGATCGTGGGCGTGCAGGCCGTGGGCGAGGACTGGAAGAACGCGCTGTTCATCCTGGGCTTCCTGCGCTACGTGGCCGTGCTGCACGCGACGTGGCTCGTCAACAGCGCCGCGCACTTCTACGGTTACCAGACCTACGACAACATCCCGCCGCGCGAGAACTGGTTCGTGTCGATCTGGGCCATCGGCGAGGGCTGGCACAACTGGCACCACAAGTTCCCGTACGACTACGCCGCCAGCGAGTTCGGCATCTCGGGCCAGTTCAACCCGACCAAGCTCACGATCGACTGCATGGCGCTGCTGGGCCTCGTCTCGGACCGCAAGCGCGCCACGGACATCTGGGCCAAGATCAAGGACTCCAAGTCGTTCCAGGACCCCAACGGCGACGACCCGACCAAGGCCTTCTCGGAGCTGAAGGCCAAGGCCAATTAACCGCAGTCAGTCAGCATGTTTTGTAGTACGTCCTTGGGGCCTTCGCGGGCTCGTCAAGTGAAGTAGAGCGTGGGCCGAAGAGCCTCACGCCGAAGAATATTTTCGCTAACAAGCTTACCTTATTGATCATCGATTGAATGTTCTGAATGTTCAGCTTGTGTTCAAGTGGTGCCAGGCTCTTGCACTTTTAGCAGTAGGCCTGACCAGCGCGAGATAATTTTAGTGCTCGTCGTCTTGGTGACTCGGATCTGGCAGGCACTGCATTGGAAGGCATGGCGGGCGAGAGTGAGAGCGACACGGTTGAATCGCTGAAGAGCCGAGAGAAGCTCGAGCGCGTGAGTGAAAGTGGACCTCAGGACGATGAAGACTCGACGGTGGATGCCACACAACCGATGATGGACAAGCTGGCGGCGTTCGCGCTGCAACTGATGGAGGAGTTCCTCTCTCAGTATAAACTGGAGGAGACGGTGAAGACTCTACAAGCGGAGCTTGAGAGGAAGGGGGCCCCGCGACCTGATCCGCAGCTCTGGTTTGAGATGCACAGTAGCTGTCGAGTCGCCATAGCTCGAGGAAGCTCGACCGCCAGCAAGAAGAGTACGCTGGAGAAGCTGCTGGCCTTCTGCGTGTCCCCGAAAGTAGCTCTAGCATTGGATGTCATCGCCCCGCCCGTCACATTGTGCCTTGCGTCGCCACAACCCAGCAGCATCTCCAAGCTCAAGCAAACGTCGTTCTCGCTCCGACAGGCGTACAGTCAAATGCTCTCCCCGGTCGTTCGACCTAGCCAGCGACACAAGCAGCCTGGAACACCTTCATCCACGCCCGTTGAGCGACGGCATAAGGCGGATGCAACGGTACCCGAAGGCAAAGGTGAGCCGTCCAACCCCGGGGATCCCCCCGACATCGACGTCATTCTCGAACAGAGCGAGTCTCGACCTTCTTCGTCTTCTGCGTTGGGTCCGATTGAGCTCCAGCCTCAAACTGTGACGCTGTCCAAGAAGCGGAAGTCCAAGAAGAAGCGCGGCCATGGATCAGGAAGTGACAGCAACAACAAAGGAGTCTCTCAACCTCACCGCCACCCTTCACGGACCGAGAGTTCGATGGTGATGGCCTACGATGAGCAGATCAAGCGAGACTTGTCGTCTGGCCGACTTCTAGCGCGCGAGCTTCGTATTCTCCGAGCGGAACGCGTCAAGTGCGATACAATCCGTCGGGGCACGGCAGCGTACGAAGCAGCACTTGCTCGACACGATCCGTACGCTAAGGAACTCGTTCGAGAACGCTACGGCTTCATCCATCGAGTGGAGTGTGCGCTGTGCACATTCCCGTTCCTCCCAGTGAACCTGCCGCATCGCGTGTCGTTCAAGTGCATCATGGACCTGCACGAGTTCTGGGGCTACACGCCGCCTCAACGCGAAGTTGCGGCTCGATATCGACCGCCACTTTGCTACGACGCGGTGCGTGTCTGTCGGATGTGTGGGCCGATCCTCTTCCAGCACACCACAGCCACGCCCAGCGTGATCGACGAGCAACTGAGCCCGACAATGCCTCGCGCTAGCTCACTGAGCGCTCTCAGCACCACCGGCAAAATGTCTCCCAAGACGAAAGCTCGAGCTGCGATAGTCGACACCGAAAGCGTCGAGCGACGGACGTTCTGTTCCGACCCGTACGCCTTACCGCCATTGTTTGGCGACGATTTGATCGAGGATGGAGAGAGCTACGGGGTCGAAGACGTGCCGAGCGAAGTGCTGCGAGGCAATGGTGCTGGAGCAGCGCAGGAGTTCCCGGCCAAGGCAATTGTGTACTCCCAGCAACAGACGAACACTGTGGCGTTCATGAGCTCCAAGGAATGGGAGGTCATCAACCCCATGCGCAGCAGCATCCGCCAAGTCATGGAGAACACAGTCAAATGGCCATGACAACTTAAGACTAAAGGAAGACTTATTGGCTAGAGATGGATGGAAACCGAAGCATTGCATTGACATTAGGCCTTTCGGATCAACGGCAGGCAACGCCTACTGGAGACTACCATGGAGGCAAGACGCTTAAGTGCTGTCCTCGCCCTGGAACTGGTAGGTCACGTGGCACTTGCCGCAGTAGTGGCGGTCGAAGTGGGTGGCCATGAACACACCGGCACCGCACTGGGGCGACGGGCACTCCTTCTTCAGGCGCTGGATCTTTCCGTTGTCGTCCACCTTGTAGTACTTGAGCACGGCGAGTTTGACCTTGCGGTGCTTGTGCTTGATCTTCTTAGGCTTGGTGTACACTTTTTTCTTGCGCTTCTTGCCACCACCACGCAGACGAAGCACCAGGTGCAGCGTGCTCTCCTTCTGGATGTTGTAGTCCGAAAGAGTGCGGCCGTCCTCCAGCTGCTTGCCGGCGAAGATCAGGCGCTGCTGGTCAGGGGGGATTCCTACAAAGGCGAACAACAGCATCAGCATCTAACTCTGCATGCAATAGGTGAGAGAACAGTCGTATGTGCACCTACCCTCCTTGTCCTGAATTTTCTGCTTGACATTATCAATGCTGTCCGACGGCTCCACGTCGAGCGTGATGGTCTTGCCCGTAAGGGTCTTGACGAAAATCTGCATCTTCTGTAGTCATAACGTCGCGCGTTAGTCCCACGCAGGTCTGGGAAGTGCCCTACCGCATCGGTCCTCCAAAAGCCTCTCGGCAGGATAAAGAGAGGCACAGTCAAACGAGGAGAAAGAGACCTCGGACTGCAACGCTCTCTCCACCAACAAAAGAGCGCAAAGGACGTAGTCCTATGCAGCATAAAACCCTCCGTCTTTTGCGTTCTCCCATTGGCTTCGTGAACGGCAGCTTGATGGTGTTCTTCTACTCCCTCCTCCGTCTTCCTGCTCCTCCCCCTTGTGATTGGCTCCGGCGGACCGACGCGGCGTCTTGGCCTAGCAACCATGCATCATACATATACCTACGGATCAGAGGCCAGCTCGGAGCCACAGACGAGGCCCCTTGCCGACCCCCAATCCGATCCTTGATACACGCAGGACGCGGATGATTTCTTGCAAGCGACGGCTGCCCCGAGGCGAACGGAGGGAGGGACCCACCCAGAAGTTCACGGTCTGGACGTCACAGGCAGCGCGTCGCTTGGGCCGAAAGCGCCGGCGTCGGGAGCGAGTGGGGGCATCTAGGATCGGGATCCGCAGGTCTTGGGCAAGCGGAGCTCAGCGGGGCGACATACCGTCAGGAGGTTTCCAAATCCAAACTGTGGACCGCAGTGTCGCTGGAGCTCCTTGCACGGCGCAGCCCCTGGCAGCCACCAATTTTTTGTATTTAAAGTCACTCAAGCGAGGAGTGACGGCCGCCAATTTTATCCGGCGGCGCCGGTTGGTTGGAGAAGGTACGGCAGGGTGATTGGATGAAATAAGGGAATGGATACTTATTATGGGAGATGTTAAGTATACATTTAAAGTTTACATATAGTTGAGGTGACTTTATTCCTGTTGCGACGACATTGGCCATTGCTACCTATCGCCCGACTCGGTCGAGCCACAAGCTGTGTGCCAGACTGTGATCCAGAACTCATTGTCTTGGCAGTGCCAAGATGGCACCGACATGCTTGCAGTTGAAGTGGGCTTCTATATCTACTAGCAGTCGCAATCAACAAGCGCGGGCTCGTTCTCAATATCCGTAGTAGAGGTACGCGCGGCACGTTCCCGAGCATGTGTCCCTGCCCACCTGCGAAAAGAGGAGCATTAGCGCGCGAGCCGACAAGATACTTTTGGCGGGCAGCAACCATATCCGTGGTAACGTGCATCGAGCAATTGGTCCCGTTGAGCTGACCACTCGCGCGGATTGGCCAGCGAGGTTGAAGTGAACGTCCAGCTCTGTGTAACGGTCTCCGATGAGCGAGCACCACGCCAGCAACCACAACGACATCTGGAGCGCTACCGAGCTGCCAGGGGCTCGCCTGGCGCCAGTCGAACCGGGCCCGAGGCTCCAGAGGCGCTGGCGCGGTGCCGTCGCGGCCAGTTACCCGGAGCCGATGCGAATCAGCTCAAATCAGCGTACGCACTCGCAACTGCCGGCGGTTTTCGCTGCTCGGCTCCGGCAGCGTGGTGCTGAACCGCCTCCAGCTCGTCCGTTCAGCGCCGGCAGAGGCGGTGGCTACCGTGGCGACGGCTACGATGGCAGAGGTAGGGTTCGGCGGGCGCAAAGTTCAGAAACGTGGTGCTGGTGGCCGTGAGCTAACTGGTCTGAGAGGCAGCTAGCTATCCATGCGCAAGACTTGGCACTGCCAAGTTGGCAGAGGCACCACGCCCGACGCGAAGAGCTCACAACGAGATGACAGCAGATGAGTCGCGCTGAACGCTGAGAAATGGGTTTGATCGTCGAATGCATGTTTGCACAGTCAAGTCCGGAGCTCAAGTGCCTTAGCAGAGACCTTCATGTTACTGCAGGCCAATTACCGCCACCAGCCTTAGGGCCGTTCTTAAGTTCCCGGTCCCAAGTCCCGGGACGAAATAGAGCGATTTGATTGGCTTTCAGAAAGCGTGCTAGGTTTATTTCCGAGCTCGTTTTGTCCCGGTCCCGCATCATTTTCGCGTGGTCGGGACGTGGGACTTTCGCCCTAGCTACTTCATTTATTCGCTAATGCGCGCCAAGTGTGCACCACTTTGTTACGTTTCGAAAGGGCTATCTGACCATGTTCTTCTTTCACCGTAGTTCGCGGTAGTTCCCGAGAGTTAGGGGCTTAAAAAATGCTTACAATTATCAACTTTGACGGACGACGGGTATCGTCCCGTTCGTCCCGGTCCCAGCTCCCGGGAACTTAAGAACGCGCCTTAGAACTCTGTGCGTGGTTTCATCGCAACAAAAGTCCACGCTACGACAGATCTTGTCAAACGAGCTGTGGACGAACAGAACTCGAGCTGCGAGCCGAGAGCCGGGGGGAGGAGAACCGCATCAAGCCATCGAGCTGCATCGTCCTTGAAAGGCCACCAACGGCAGAGTCCGAGACCAGGCTCGCTCGCTTTCGCGCTGCCTGCCTCGTGCTTTCCCGAGGCTTGCAATCCAGCGTCGCGGATGCCTCAAAGATGGGTACGGGGTACCTCCCGCCAAAATTTAATAGCCTCAAGAAGCACCACCACAACACATTGATGCATGCATGAGATCCCATCCACGCTCAAGAGAGCGCCACTGCGCACGCTTGGGTTGCGCTGCCAAGTGTGCGGCTCGAGGCGAATAAGACGGCAGCTCTCTGCCCTCGGCTTCTGGAGACGAATTTGCCGATGGACCCGCCTATGCAGCGCGCGCTGAAGCAAAAGATACCCAGCTGCCGTTATCCCGGGCTGCGATACGTGCGAACATGGTCTCATCGGGGCATAGTGAAACCGAGTCAAAGTCCTTCGATTTTCACGACGAGCAGACGCGAGCGAGGAGTGCTCCTGCTCCTGCTCTCTGCTGGCTCACAACCGAATTTGCGTCCGTCGAGCATTGTTGCACCCCGCGCTCCATGGCGGACGCGGTGTGCCCGCCCCCGATCAGCAATGGGATGCTGTCGACCTTCACGCTCGAGATGGACGACGAGAGCGCGGCCGGTGCGGGCCCGTTCCGCCACTCGCTCAACGACGTGACCGCCGCGCGGCTGCGGCGCTACCACCAGCAGAGCGACCGGAGGCTGCACGCCACGCTGCAGCTCTTCCGGGAGCGCACGGAGCGCGAGCGCCGGTCGCGCCTGCGCCTCAGTCGCTCGCCGCTGAGCGTGGCGGCCCCGGAGCTGCCCCGGATGGCCGCTCCCGGCCGCATGGCCGCCGTGGAGGCGCGCCAGTGGAAGCTGCTGCGCGAGAGCAGCGACATCCGCGTCTACCGCCTCAAGGCGCGGCAGGAACGCACCTCCACCGTGCAGGCAATCGGCACCGTGCACGGCTCGCTGGGGGACGTCATGAACGGGCTCTACGCGGACTCGACGCGCACCGCCAGGGTGCTGCAGATGCTGCTGAGCTCGCGCTCGCTGGACGCGCGCGTGCTGCAAGTGGACAAGAGCAGCACGGAGGCCAAGCCCTTCCAGTTCTCGGGCATCGTGTGGACGGCGCTCAAGCTGCCGGGCCTGGGCTTCTGCAGACACAGGGACTTTTTGTGCTTCAAGAAGATGGATCTGTTCAAGGACGAGCTGGGAGAGGATATGGGCTACGTGGTGCTGCACTCCATTGACCCCCTGGCAGACGAGATCTCCCCGCAGGTCTCGAGCTTTGATACCTACGCGGCGACAGGAGCCACGTGGCCGCCGCTTAATCAGGGACACCAGAACCGCACGCGCAGCGCCAGCTCGGCTGGATTCGGCTCGGGGAACTTTGTGCGTGGGTTTATCTCGCTGGCGATTGTGTTCAAGAGTGTAGGCGAAGATCGCGTGGCCATGTTCGCCCACGGCCAGTTCAACCCCAGTGGCCGCTTGCCGCCGCTGCTTGGAGATAGCTGCATCGCTGAGTGGCTGACGTCCATCGCGAACACGGTGCAGAGCGGCCAGGCCAAGAACTTGTCGCTGCTCTTGGTTGGGCAGAGGCAAACAGGTGCAGGTGTAGACCACTCGGGCTCTAGACAGCGCTGTGGGGTGTGTGCGCGGTCGCTGTTCTTCTGGGATACCCCGCGGAACTGCCGTGGCTGCTGGAAGCCGTGCTGTCGTACGTGCCGCGTGACCAAGCCGATCTTCTGCGCTCACTACCATTCCAGTAATGCTGCAGCGGGTCAGACGTCGGGCCCATGCACCGAGACGTTCTGTCTCGCTTGTGTATGTGCAGTGATCCCCTCCGGCGCTACCATCAACGCTCGACTGATCAAGCGCTTGGCCAAGAAACGCAAACGTGCGCCGACCTTCTTCCGACCCACAATGACCGCGTCATCGATCACGGACGGCTCACTTCCTCAGCACCAGCAACAGCAGGCGACAGTCTCTGAGCGCGCGGAACGACTGCTTGCAGCTGCTGAGATGTCCTCCATTTCCGTGTTGTCATCGCTGGAGTCGGAGAAGCATCAGCAACACCGATTGAGCCTGAACGCTCGGCCGAAGAAGCGGGCGTTCTTGCAGTCACAACCGGAGATCACCGGCCAGGAGGTTGAAGATGGTGAGGTCGAGGACGCCGCGAGCACAATGCTGGAGGTGCTGGAGCACTACCAGATTCGTCGCGGGGGTACCGGGTCCGTCATTTCGGGGGTATCGTCGTCGAACGCGGGGACTTCGCTGCGATCGTTCACGTCCGCGGACTTGGCGACTTCATCGAGCCTCCTTCTCGGGCGATACCCCTCTGGAAACAGTCTGCTCACGCACAACAACCAGAGCTTCCTCCAACGACCTAGTGTTCCTACGACGACGCGACAGTGCCAAACGCCGATGGAGCGTCGTGGATCAAGAGCTTTCCAGAACCAGAGCAGCTTCTGGCTGCCGAACCAGTCGGTCTTGGTGAAGAAGACGCAAGAATCATCGCCCCCGCTTGACGACGAATACTACCAGCGTTTGCTGCAGAACTATCTGCTTCACACCAACAGCAGTCGCAGCATGGTGAGCGCGCTATCGTTCAGCAGCTATGGTGCCAAGTCGGCGGTGCCCCAGCCGCCACACTCGCAGGAATCCAACGTCCTCTCGGAACCGCAATCGGAGCCTCCCAGTGATACTCGAGCTATGTCAAGCTGCTCGCCTACCAATGGGTCCATGTCGCTTCCACCGGAGGCGGTCATCTATCGCCGGTTCAAATGAGCTAGCTTGACGCAGCTGGCGATGTGAATATTGTACCAAATTGTTCAAAATGCTTTGAAGATGTCGAATGAAATTGAAGGACATACGCATGTACAGCAAGCAATAAATACGCTTTTTGCCACTTTATACCGAGCGCTTCGCTCGTTCGCTCGTTTATCAACACACCGTCCGAAGCTGCAATGGCTCAAGCATCACCAGGTTCGATTTCTGCTGTTTCCTCGAGTAGCTCGTCATTAGGCGGATCTTCCTTTTGCTCATCCGTTTGTTCTTCACGCAGGTCGTTTTCGTTTGGTTCTAGCTGGCTTGGGTCAATAAGCGGTGGGTTGCTTCTCCTGCCTCTGGGGGTCCACGTGCCGCTGGAATGGTGCGAATGCGCTCGGCCTCCCGAGCCGCTGTACACTTCGAGCCCTGGGATCCCAAGCGTGCTGTTGATGCGGACTTCTTCCATCTCGCTTGCAGTCATTTCCTGCTTGGAAGTTCTCTTACGCTGGAGTCTCGAAGTCGACAATCCTTTACGAAGGGAGGAGAGCGTGATCGGAATCACCTTGGCGTTGGCGTCGTGAGACTCAGCGAAGCGATGGAGCTCGGCTTGTGTGGCCGTAATTTGTCCACGCTGGATATGAGCCGACAGATCGACACTCCCGTCGTTCTCCACCACACTCTTGACTCGAGAATCGTCACCTTCGCCGCTTTTGGTCCGCAGCCACGTACTCAGAGTCTGCGAAATGTCGGCAAACGACGGACGCTGCTCGGGATCGGCATCCCAGCACTGCCGCATGAGCTGCTCAAGCCCTAGAGGAGCCGGCCTGCTGAAGTCAGCCGGTCGGAGTCCTTCGTTTGCCACCTGGAGAGGGACTTGGAAGGCGTTGAGGTTGTCGTAGGGGTCCTTACGCTCCACCAGTTCCCAGAGCACGATGGCGTACGAATACACGTCCGCTTTCTCGTCGTAGGGCTCGTGTCGGATCACTTCAGGTGCCGCCCAGAACGGCGTTCCAACCCAAGTATACGGACCGTATTGAACACTTCGGAAGCGCGCGAGCCCAAAGTCGGACACTTTAACGACGAGGTTCTCGGAGAGCAAACAATTCTTGGACTTCAGGTCGCGTTGTAATACGTCACAAGCGTGGATGTGAGCCATCCCTAAGGCGATATCGTATGCGCTGGTGACTACAAGTTGATGCGGGAAAAAGTTGGCAGCATCGCGCAGATAATCATACAGCGAACCATTGGGCATGTACTCCATGATGAGCACGTAGCAACTGTTCGTGAGGCTTGCACCGAGCAACTTGACAATGTTCGGGTGCTTGAGTGCGTTCATGACCCAAATTTCGCGTCGGAAGTTCTTCACCGCCTCCTCCAAGTTGTCGACGACGCCCTCTCTTGGCATCAGAAGCTTCACGCCGACTTTCGTATCTCTCCAGATAGCTGCGTATACCTCGCTTAATGGGCCCGAAGCTAGCCGCTTGACGAGATGTACCTCGCGCAGTTTGACCTCGTACACTGAAGCCTGGTCTCCTCCCACTTCGAACTGCACGTGTGAACTGGCACCGACACTGACTCGTCTTTTGTCTCGAAGCTGCATGCTGGCGCGTCGCTCGTTCTCAGCTCGGTATTCCGGTGACAGCCCCGCCATCCCGTTCTTCGTCGCGTATGAAGGTTCATTGAAGAAATGCGCCTGGGAGTTCGTACGCACCGGTGCTCGCTTCTTGAAGAACTGGAACTTTTTCCTGAACGAGTTGGAGCGGGATCGCTCAGACGACATGGAGTCCGTCGAGTCTGTGCGACTTCCGCTCACTCTCTTCGGAGGCGAAACCCCTGCTGCAGCTGCCAAGATATTGCGTGAACTGCGCGCGACGGATATTGAGACGGCTCGGACTTTCTCGCTGATCTTGGACTTAGGAGGGTTCATGGCGCTCCTTGAGCGTTGCCTGGCCATTTGAGCTGAGAGCATGTGCTTGCTGGGGTCTCTCTTCTTCACCGCGATTGAGCCAGCACGGACAAGAGCGGGCTTGTTGGGACAAGCAGAAGGCGCGGCGCTGCCATCATCCTCTGGAAACACAAGCGGTGGGATCGCTGCTTCTGCCTGCTCGTTCGCTCCGTCGTCCTCGGTTGCCCCAGTGGACTGCGCTGCAAAATCCAGGTGCATCATTCGCTGCGTCTGGAGCATGAAGGCTTCGCCCTGCTGTGGCGAGTTCTTGTGGCCTTGGATGCGCGCTTCAGTGGCATCTTTCTTAATGACAGCCAGAGGGAGCGGCGACGTCCGCCCAGCCACTCTGATGCCACATTTGCGCAGCAATCGACGCACACGCCACGCGATCCCGCGACTCGTTCCGGTCAGCACCCGGTGCACCAACGAGTTGTTTCGAGCGTCATTCGCCTCGTTGCTGCTCCTCCGTCGTCCACACAGCCAGCAGCAGCGTGAAACTAGCAGCAAACCACACACCACCAAGACGCAGCAAAAACACAGGAACAGCTCCAGCCACGCGTCCACGAGTACGCACGAGTTTCTGCCCGCGCAGTAGGCGCGCGAGAACACCTCGAGCGTGCCCATGATGGCCGTCCGTCAATGCCGCCGCGTCTAGTGATAAATAAAACGCGCGTGCAACAACACCCTCCCAGAGATAGATGGAGGGCTGCCTCGAAATAGCGGTCGTCAGAGCAACTTCCACGTCGGGAGGTTGTGACCTGGAAATTCAGCTGCGCTCTTTCCAGTACGGACGATAAAAACCTGAAAACTTTTGGTTAATCGCCCGAACGTTTAGCTTCACGTACCAAGAGCGTGAAATACATCGCCACAATCCAGCCCAAACGTGGTGCAGCAATCCAGCAAGTTGATCTGCTCTTCTTTCAAAACGTATCCTTTTAAAGATACGTTTTACTGGGATAGCAGGTCATGCTGCTAGGCAGCCCAAATCGGGTTAGTTCGGACCCCGGTAACTGAGGCCGGTAAACTGAGGCCAGCCGCGTCAATGCTTGTCTTTCTGCATTGTGATCTCGAGTCTACGTGGCGGCATGGCCACATCAGGTTCATCAAGTGTTGTTGTGTAGGGAAAGCTTCGCAAGCCTCACCCCCCCGCAGACCTACTTTGACTATACAGGTCCCCGTTGAGGGGTGCACGAGTAATTCCGTGAAGTCCGCGGACTCTCCGGAAATCTCCTCCAGGAGTCAAGTCTATTAAATAGACTAATAAAATTTAATTTAAATTTTAATACCAAAGTAATACCGGTATTTCCAAACTGCAACTCAATCAGAGGGGAATTCTCTGGAATAGTTAACGGAGGGAGTCACTCCGACCCAAAATTACTTCAAATTCTTATACACAGAACCCAAACTAACGCTACTTACTCAGAACTAAGTCAAACTTATTTGGAAATTAATACCCCTGTTATATAAGAACTCATCTGGATACGCGAACCCAATATAGCGGCTTTTTTCTCCTAATATTACATACTTGTTATATCCGTTCGTATCGGGAATATAGTCTCATACACGGAGCGTTTATACTAGCCGTCAATAACTTATAACCGCTGTACAAAGGATGCAAAATAGATGGATGTTGCTTGAGGCGGCTAAGTGCAACATCATCGGTAAATTACGACGGTCCGAAGTAATTTATTCGTTTGAATGTCGTCCGAAGAGCAACGCCTACGCTGGACCAAATTTCGCATAGCTTGTAAGTAACTAGATTACAGGCACCAACTGAAGAGGAACGCTATTGGGCATGGGTTAGTTGCAGATACAGACACTTTACGAGGCGAGACTAGAAAGCGTCAACTTGGAGCTAGTATTGGTGAGCTCATGTGTAATGACATCATTTTCTTTTTAAATTTAATATGGAGTTTCGCTAGAAAAAAGTTGAAGCGAGCGACTGGTGCGGCACAGGTGTGGCGCGCCTAAGTCGCAAAGAAACAAGTTAGATTTTTTCGCACGAATTGCGCAGTTTTCACTTTTCTACGTACTAGCTCGGGGCTGTTATATAATCTAAGTGTGTAAGTAAATAACATCGCCGCTTAATTTTTTAACCCGTAGGCGGATGACAGGCACGTTTACCAGGTAGGAAAATCCAAATCGACCTCCGTAAAGTTGCCTAGCAGGAAGCAAGCCTTAGCCTATCAAGCGGGAAACCCACCCGTTTTAAACTTCTAGGGAGGTCCGAACCCTACGAGCAATGCTGCACAAATCATCTTACCATCGTGGAAATCAGTAAATTACCCACAATGGTAAACAGCTCCAGAAACACAGAAGCAGTTTGTTTTCCACACAATATCGTGCAAATGTTCCGATTTTGAGGTCAGATTTGCCGAATTCGGCGTCGTTTTTGAGATATAGGCCGTTCAAAAAGTGCTCTCGAATGCTCATTCTCCTGAATTCGTGTGCGTCTGACCTCATTTTTGTATGAAAACTGTAATGGGTCTACCTTGGCGCACTACTACGGCTTACACGTATGCGCACGTGTATGAGGAAACGTAGGTTTCTTTTACTTGAGTTAAGTATACTCGAGATCCACGAGTATACTTTAAACAAGATAAAGACTCCAAGTAGCGTGTTTTGGTAAAAGATGAGAACTAGTATACTTTAAACAAGATAAAGACTCCAAGTAGCGTGTTTTGGTAAAAGATGAGAACTGCTATTTTTGTTTTATGTTTCTGACTTCCTCTTAATGTAATATTCTAAACTAGGAATCTGCCAACGGCTGGTTGGCAGGATTCTGCTAACATGCAAGTCACTCATCGGCTAAAAGATGCTGCTTTCAGCCAATAGGAATCCTAAATGTGTATGGACCACCCGTCGTGGTGGTCGTAAATGTATGTAGCCATTGGTGTACCTTACACCAAGGTCGAGGAAGTGTTCAAACCTCTAACAGACATCGCATCTGTTAGAGTAACAAGTGACTGTAGCCACTTGTGCGTGTAACCCCGTTACAAAAACTTTTGCGTTTCCTGTGCGTCTGCGCGCACGCGAATTCTTTTTGCCCATTGCGACCTTTCCATACGAACTGCTGTTACGCTGGGAGAAATGCAGACTCCTTACAAATTTGTGTGCGTCAAACGCACAGAAAAACTACTGTGAACCTCGAAACTCAATACCACTCCATACTGATCGGAGCAGTAAGAGTCTTGCTGCAAGACAAGCAACGGGATTAATCGCTAGATAGAGACCTCTGGGGGTGCGCGCGGATGGTTGTGGGCTCTATCTCGAGACGACCGAAAGCGTTTGCCGTGCTCACAACCCCCAAAAGTTTATAAAGGGCATACTGGCAGCCGTGTCCTGCATTAGCGCCCAGCCGGCGTCGCCAGAGCGCAACATCAATCCTTGTGCTATTGCATCCACGCTAGGGACGGCACGGTCGTAACAAGGATGAAAGTTAAGACGAGTTGAACTAGGATGAAAGTTAAGACGAGTTGGTAAGTCTCTAATTACCGGCTCACACCTGAGGGGAGATTCTGGCTGCACGAGGAGCTTGCGGGTGGTTTGACTCATACCACCATGTGAGTCGCACGACGGTGCAGAGCTTGCTGAAAGCATTACTGCGTGCCGACAGCCTGCGTATCGAGCTAGAGCACCCCTATTAGCGACCAAGGAGAATGGCAAGAAGGGAGACGCGAAGAAGCGCATGTTCAGTGCCGTCGGACATGTACACGCAGGATGGGAGGACCGTGTGTGGACGTTACCACTTGTTGGGCTGCAGCAGAAGCAATGTTCCTCAAGCTGAGACGCAAGCTCGTGAGCGCGAAGTCGTCACAACTCCAACAACTCCACCGCTCGCACGCACTCGTCCAGCGAAGGGCAAACGACCAGGACGGTGCTCCCTCGTCCGGAGTGCTTGCCCAATGGCAAGTTCGCCGCCTCGACCTCGCCGCCCAGCACCACTGCTGGCAACGTCACCTCATGTCCAAGATTCAGATGCGTCCATGTTCGACGACGCACCGTCGGACGACACCGTGATTCCCGACAACGAGCCTGTCGAGTCCGTGTACACACCCAGTGATCATGAACATGGTAGGCTGTCTCTTATACTGTCCCTTATGCTGCATTGTATGCTGAATGTTATGATGAATACTATACTGAATATTATGGTGAATGTTATGCAGTATTCTGCTTTATACTGCTGCTTAACTGTAGGCGACCACGGCGACGACGAAGAAGCGGAAGCTGGTGCATTCGGCAAGGAGCTACTGACCGACAGCACGGACGCGTTGAATGTTGTGGCGGATGGAGATAGCGCGCCCCAGTTTGGTTCCATGGATTCTGGCGATGAAGCAGAAGAGGATGATGTCGAGACTGGCGAGTACGGGTCAGACGAGGATGTGGACGCTTCGTGCGCCCCTGATGACGTCGTCGACGATCCCGAGTAGACCGAGCAAGAGATCGCAGCGGAGGTTCTCTTCGCGGAGAACTTTCTGTCGCAGTTTGGTGGGAAGGACGAAGTGCTGGCAGGTAACCTGAAGAACGCTATCTTGCGGGACATGAGTGCGACGGGTTGGGAGGACATCGTTCAGCCTGACACCTACGATTATCTCATGACGCCTTACGAGCCTGTCAATGATGCCGGAAGCTACCCCGCTCTTCGTCAAGGTTACTCGGAGCCTACTGCTGAGGTGCTTCGAAGGGGCGACCCCCCATCGCTCTATTCTTCTACTTCATGCCCGTCGTGCTGTGGCAGCACATTACTGCCTGTTCAAACGAGTATCATCGCGAGATGCTCCCTCTTCGAGCGGACGAAGCCTATCACCACCATCGAGCCAATCGACGACTCAACGACAAGTTGCCGAAGAAATCACGGCGCGACATCCAACACGAAATGGAAGGTATGAAGCCCATCTTGCCACATGAACTGGGTCAGTTTATGGCCTGCTAATTGCCAGAGCTATTGCGCCGAACCGCGAGAAGCTGGCCAACCACTGGAAGACCACGGATGAGGGTGATATCTCGCGTGGGTGCTTCGGGTCGGTGCTGCCACGGGATCGATTCATGGAGATCTTTCGTAGTCTACACTTCAACCCCAACAGCGACCCCAGAGCTCAAACCGACCGCGCCTGGAAGACACGCAAGGTCGTCGAAGTTCTGCAACGGACCTTTGCGCGTGGATACGTCGCTCCATCGCACTTGACGTTTGATGAAGCAGTGCTGCCAAGCCGATCTTCGTTCAACAAGATGCGCGTCTACCTGAAGGACAAGCCCCACAAGTGGGGCACCAAGCTCTTGATGCTCTGCAGTGCAGTCACAGCGTACTGCATTCGGTACGGATTTTTTTTGGTTGTGTAATTTCATTACATTGCATTATGCAGTTTAATCTTACAAATATGTCTTGTTTAAACTGAATATCGACGGGTTTGAGATCTACTGCGGCAAAAAGCAGCACGCGAGTGATGCAGACATGACCGACATGAAGCCTGGACCAGCGGCGGTCGTGCGAAATCTGCTGGAAGTGTTTGGACCAGAGTCAAAGAAGCAGGGTATGAGGCTGGTCGTGGTTGACCGCTTCTATACATCCGTGGCCTTAGCGATTCAGCTCCTGCTCATGGGGTTCTACTGTGTCGGCACGACGATGACGAGCCGACTCGGCTACTGCAAGGAGGTGATCGAAAAGAAGAAGACGCGCCCGACGAGATTGCGCGGGGCTCATTCAAAATTGCAAAGTCCAAGCTGGTTCCAAACATGGCTGCCATCAGCTGGTGGGACTCGCGTCCTGTGCATTTCCTGTGCACCGGTGGCAGTCATGAGCTTGATCGTGTTGCACGGCAGGACGGCGCGACGCAGGTGGAGGTGCCTTGCCCCCGCGTTATCAAACACTACCACGCCTTCATGGGGGGGGGGGGGGCGTGGATGTCAACGACCAGCTGCGCCTGCAGCGCTACTCACTGCAGCGAGCCCTCCGCTTCAAGAAGTACTTCAAGTCGCTTGTCCTCGCCCTTATCGATTTGGCCATCGTGAATGGCTACATAGTTCACAAGGCATATCACAAGAACAAGTCGTCCCGCCCGCTCACGCATGTGAAGTACATGCAGCTGTGCAATCTCGACGCCACGGACATGTAAGAGGACAACACGTTCGGCACGCAGCGCCGCCCGGAGGCCCCCTCGTACGAGCCCATTTCGACTGGCGGAGGCCAGACGACCCCTCACACTGCTCGCCAAGTCGATGAGTGGCACACCGCAGATACCCAAGCGAAGAGGCGACAGCGTGCTTGTAAGGTGTGTTCGGTGGTGCGTACGGGGACACAGCAAGCCTCGACGACTACGTACTTCTGCGGCGACTGCAATGGCGCCGGCCCGATCTTCCTCTGCATGCGAGCCCGTCGCAAAGTGCGGAAGTGGCTATGACTTACTGGGATATTTGGCACAAGGAGTGGTCAAACGGAAAACTGATTCCGGTTGACAACGCGAGAAATATTCAAGTGAGATGTGGAGTAGCGCCCTCGCAGAAATCTCGCGAACGCGATCTCGCACAAACTCGGCGCGTCTGGATAGCGGTCGCGCCGAGCGAATTATTCCCGGTTGTTGGAGTAGCGTATCTTCGAAATACAGGCCCAAGTCTTCGCAGGCTTCGGAGTTGGGGGGTTCTTGTGTTGACGCTTGTTCCTTGTCGTAGGGCGTCGAGCCTTGGGCGTGTGGCGTTATCGGGCCGGCGTTTCCTCGGCGTTCCCGTCGGGCGTGCGGCGTTATCAGGCCGGCGATTCCTGGGGCTTGTGTGGCGTTATCGGGCCTACACGGGGGGTCTTGTGCACGGCGGTTATCAGGCCAGTGCGGTCCTTCGCCTAGGCAGCGCGTTATCGGGCGCCCACCCAAACGGTATACGTTTAACGTGTTTGTTCCAGCACGGGTCTGTGGGGGGTGAGCACCCGAACCAGCAAACGACGGGGGGCCGCGATATCGAGGCGGCTCTACTTGCCGGCGCTTGGTGGTTCCCCTGGAACCTCGGAGAAGACGGGAGGTCTTTGTGGTTCAGAGAAATTTCGGCACTGAGTCCTTACCCTACCCAATGTCCTTGCTACTGGCTACTCTGTACTACTGCTTGCTAAGCCTACCGTTCTGTGCCTATCCTTACTTCTGTCGTGCTTGCACTACCGTGCTTCAATCTGATTTACGTGGCGCAATCAAGATCTTACCTCGGCGCGTTTTGGTCGGCGGGGGTTACGGTCGGCGCGTTTTGCTCGGCGCGTTCTGCTCGGCGCGTTCTGCTCGGCGGGGTTTAGGGTCGGCGCGTTTTGCAGAACCGGGCGCGCTGGTCGACCCGTCGGATGATTACGCGTCGCACTGGATTCTGGCACCGTGTCTCACGGCCCATCATCCACGCCGACTTTCCCGTCGAGCTCGGCCCTGCGTCGCGCCCATCAATCCGCGTCGCGTTCCATCAGCCGCGTCGAGGTCCATCACTCGCGTCCCGGCGCCTTCTTCCTCCGGCGCCCGGCGCGCCCACGTCTTCCGTGGGGTACTACACCACAGTGACGCAAGCCAAGATCGGCTCCACCGGGCACTCCGTCGTCCCCTGGCATGCCAAGCACTCCTGCTTCAACCAAGCAACGCAGAACTAGTCCACAGGCCGTAAGCTGAATATTAGGCTGCACCTAAAGCTGCATATATGCATCATTGACATGATTACTTGTTTTGCATTCGTAAAGCGCAGGATTGCGTGTTGCTATTGCACATCTTGACATGTATCATTCGTGCCTTTCTTTTATCACCAGTGTGCTGCTAGACGTGTGTTCAAGCATATGCTCTCACTGTCTATTTCTTTCATTTGGGTTTTGTATTGACACTGATTGCGTTAGATGCAGAGGTGACACACCATCTTTCAATAGGCAAGTTTGTATGGGAAGTTTGAATTTCTGAAATTTTGAAAAGGAGAATGCTGGGGTCTGTCGGTTCTGTTCGGTGGATCAGATCTGTTGCCCTGTTCATTTCAGCGCTAAAGTGCATAATGCAACATGGGGTAGCTACTCAAAGCCACTATATGCAGTTTATATGCGAGTTAAGCACATCTTTGTAACTGGCCTGCTGCTAGCCACAGTCAGCCCTATTGCAGCGGGGCTGCCGTAGCTTCTTGCGTAGAGGAAGGCTTTACGACTCAAAGAGTCTAACAGGATCCTATCCGAGGACCCACGAAACAAGTCAAAGACTTCTTGGTAAAAAATGAAAACTGTCTTGAAAGCTTATTGCGGCAGCGCCGCCTACTCCTAATATCTATGGCTGACTATCTAGCAAGTCAGCCCTACTTGTATGCAGATGACTGGCCCGCAGACCATGGGGTACTCTGTACCGTACCCACATGGTACACTTGCAAGTAACCCCATTACACCTATCCCATCATATGCAAAGGACAAGTCTAATTAAGCTGGATACTGCATATGAAAACATGAAACTTTCTAGGCTCCGGTTTGGGGGGGCTAATGTATTAAGGCCTAATTCTAACCGCGCGCCATACCATGTCATGTCATAGGGCTAGGTACCAACATTGCGTGGCACTTCGTTTCCGAATGAAATGGCATGCGCCACGGCAAGATGAACTGGTGGTATACGCGCACAATTTAGCACCCCGTGGACCATAAGCGGATTACATGAGTTCCTAATTGGTGTATGAACTAGTATATACCAGCAGAGCAAAGTCGGACGCCCGTCGCGAGCAATTTCCCCATTATGACACATGGCACGACCAATTGCCATGGCACCAAAGCGTGCCATGCATGGCACTTTCATGGCACCAGTTACCTAAACCTTAGTAACTCTCGTTCAATGAAAATTGACACGGGATGGCATGGCACGAATGGCACGCGGTTAGAACTGGGCCTAAGGAATCGAGTTGTATGCATGCTGTAATCGACCTGGCACAGCTAAACGAGAGCATGAACAGTACTTTCGAGGCGTCGACATACCAAGTCCTGCTGCGTTGGCGACGCAGGTTCTTCCGTTGTACACTCCGAGGGCACGATAATAGCTATGGGGAACATTCGAAGGATGTCCCGGTTCCCGGATAGCTCATTCTCGAATTCGCCCTCGATCGATCAAGCTTCCAGGCCTACCACTGTACTCTCGCCTCTTTGCCATTTTCTCAAACAGCCATTTCGACTCCAACAGTTATTGCCGGAACGATCGCGTATGTCGGCCCTTCACAAGTGCCAGCCCTGGAGTGCTTCTCGTACTTATTGGTCGTCAAAGTACAAGGTGCTTCAGCGCTGGTACGGGTCACGGGCACTGACCCAGCGATAGCAGCCCGGAGTTCGACATGAAGACGTCAGTCTTACGCCACCGCATCGGGAACGAAGCGTATGGCCTGGGTCGTACATCGCTCACCCAATCGCATTTGTGCAGCCATCAGGCGACTCTATCGACCAGTGGGCGTATGGACTTGTGACTGGCTACAACATGGACAGTGGGGTGGCCAGCCACCACATCCGTACCGAGAACGACAGCCGCCAACTCGGACTGACCGGTCCGTCGACCGTCATTGCGGTCGATCGCCTCAACTATACTCTTCGCACAGGAGCAACGGTGAACGCTATGGTGCTCAACGCGTTGGAGCTGATGGACCGACACAACGAGGTGACAGTCGCGTGTGGCAAGAGCAGATCAGGACTCCCAGCAAGCGTCACGACAACAATACTTAGATGGCATTCACACCGGACGAACGCGTCCCGTTAATTCGACCGGACACCCTGGAAGTCGGCACGTCAGGCGTCTGCATGTTGTGGACTGCGAGCTCACTGTTCGCGGAATCAACCCTTCGGAAGTTTTCAAGGATTTGTAGTACACGACGTTCCTGACATCAAAGCTCGCACTAACCCGAAGGCTGGATTAACTAACGATGTAGATCTAACCTTTAGTGACTCAGACGACGAAGGTAAAACCGAGTCAGCCCCGGCGGAGCAGGCATACATCGAGCTGGTGCGCTTAGACAACCGGTCTCTGCGCAAGCGGGCCACGATCACCGACCCAAGGCACCAAGACCTGCAACTACTGGACGACGTCGACGTCCCAGGTCGAGAGCCGCTCCGATGCCCACAAGCCCGCGCTTCTGTCGTCGGAAATCGAGCAGTATGTGCACAATGCTATCGTGCACCCATCCTTCATCGGTAAGAAAGCTCAAGTTGTGCTCGAATCCTCGCAGCAAGGACCGCGGACCAAGTTTCTCGGCTGTCACGTCTGTCGCACGACCTCGGTTTTGGCGTCCGAGGGCTGTCTCGCATGCATTTCCGCCGATTCTGTCAAGAACTCGAGCAACAATCGGCCGTGGACGCGGTGGACATGACCAACTTTGGCAGGTCGAACGCACTCCAGCCCGCTACGCCACCGAATAATATCGACGAGATAGTCGACGCATTCAAAACGCTGCTGTATTTTGCGGAAGGGTTCTACAACAGCACAGTCTACAAGTTTATCAAGTCCGGTGCCGACTTTATGAAGCAGTACGCGCTGTTCACACGCCCCGACGCAGCTACCTGTAACATGCTGGTCTTCTGGACCAACTCGAAGTTGGGAAAGTTTCGGACCTGGCGACGCGCTCTTCGGACGGGAGTTCACACGGAATGACGATGTAACGGGGTTACACACTTTCTAACCTAAATCCGTAGGTGAATCACTACACGGACTCAGAGCCACTGATTATGCATATGACTAGGGTTCACTATGCTAGATGGTGAACCGGATACATTTATACCGTAGGCGGCTTGGCCGCGCTAAAGGGAAATACATTCAGTTTGAGATTTACACACTTAAGAGTTAAGCGTTAACTCTTGGAGTCCGTAAGGTGTACGGACTCGTACGTTCTGGTGTTAGAATGATCTATCTTAAGCTGAGACTCTGTGAGTCTGTTACGTCTTCCTCTGACGCTAAAGCTACGGCAGCCCCGCTGCACTTGGTAGCACTCGTAGTCAATCCGACACTTGAGTCTGCATAGACTGGCCCTCTGTGGAGAATGGAGCAGTTCGCTCACTTGCCCCCGAACCAGCAGGATGTGCTTAAAACGTCTATGTCCTTGCTGGGCCCGGAGGGCGGACGCAACTTGCGCAGCAAGGCCCCGATGCGGTGAACGCGCGTCTCGAGGCGTTTTCAAGCTACGAGAATGCTCTTCTAGAGCACCACCAGCAGAGGATGGCGACTGCCGCGGCGCCCCTTCGTCGTCCGACGCGGGAACAAGACCCAAGCCGCTCATGTTGAGCGTGAAGACCTTCGAAGGCAAAGAGGGTGAAAACTTGATGCTTTGGACCCGTGAGGTTGAGATGGCTATGAGCTCAGCTCTACTCCGGACGGAGCCAAAGCGCATGGCACTAGATATCTCGAAGCTCGGTGGGCGAGCGAGAGAGTGGGCACTAACGTCCGGCACGTCGGTCGAGGTGGCCTTCCCGATGTGGGACCAACTGAAACCGCAATTATCCCGAGTGTTCGCTCCGCCTAACGAGGCGTATCGCGTGCGCTCACGCTTCCTGGCGACCAGGCAGAACAAGAAGGAGTTGATGGACTACGTCCAAGAGGTGAGAACTCTCATTGCAGGGATGTCTGCTGACCCGTTGCCAGAGGCAGTCACCGTTACGGTGTTCATGGAGGGCCTCCGCACTGGCGTTGCCAGGACGGAGGTGTTCCGAACCCACCCGAGCTCTCTTGAAGAGGCTGTGAGCGTCGCATTGAATGCGGAACACAACTTTAAGTCGTCGAGACTTGGGTGGAATGCGTCTTACGCTAGCGCGTCGAATGGTCCGGAACCCATGGACCTCAGCTATGCTGAAGACGAAGAAGCCGAGCTTCGTGCTGCTGAGCAGCGTCGCGGTATCCGCAGATGCTTCATCTATGGTGACACCCGTCACCTTCGTGCTGGGTGTCCGCTGCGCCATCAGCGCGAGGCTTCGTCGCTTCGAGTTCGAAGAGCGGCTTGACGAAGGGCTCTGGTTTGTCTCGGTGAAACGAGAAGTCCCAGTAGGCGCGGAGCGGCCTACTGGGGAAGAACGAAGTTCTATTGAGCCTCGGCGAGGTGGAGGTCGACAGGACTTAGCCCCGAAGAGAGCCGTACTCTCTAACGCGGAACGTGCATACAAGCCGGGCTTGTTAGTCGTCCAAGCGTGGGTGAAGGGCTTTGCGAAGCCATGGACGATTTTAATCGATTCGGGAGCGTCGGGTAACTACGCCTGGCGTTCCACGATGGTCGGAAGTCAGCTTTATGCTGAGGCGCTGGTAGCGCGCGGGAGTGACATCGTCACTGTTCGTCTCGCGACGGGCACTCGTGTCACGGTGCCTAAGGTCTCTGTGGACCTGGGCGTGAAGTTTTTGGATTTTGATAGCGTGGAACGCTGTCTGGTCATAGACCTCGATTCGAGATATGATCTCATCCTCGGTATGGCGTGGCTGGAACGCCACGAGCCTTGGATCGATTGGAGGTCGAAGACCCTTGGTCCTACGCACTTCTCTCCTGGCGGAGCATTGACGAGTCATGAACCCACCTCTGCTAGGAAGCAGAAGCGCTTCTGGCGCGAGCACTGGACCGAGTCGGTCAATGTGCTGGACATCGGAGCTTCCGAGTTGGTGGACACTAAGTGTGTCGAGAACGAGCGTTCCGAGCGTGGCCCGCGGACGGCAGGCGGAGCGGCACTAATTCCGCTGAGCGGGCGTGCGTCTGAGGGCGACGCCCTGCTGCGTGCCAGCGACGGTGCGGTCGGCACGATGCCGGAGAACAAGGGGCTTTACCCAGATGAAGATCGTGGAGTGGTACGTAATCCACTGAGTGGAGGCTGCGGATCGTGCAGCTCTTCGCTGAGTGTCGGTAAAGACACTGGAGCTCCTCTGGAGCCGAACGAGGTGGTGACACCTGGCATCAAGATGCACGCGAAATCACGGAGATCTTCAGGGCGGACGGTGTCCATGAAGAGGAGGCAGCGGCGCAAAGCGCTGGGTGAGAGACGCAAAGCGTCTGCGATCTCACGAGTCGAGAAGGGTGTGTCGAGCGGTGAGGCTTCACGCGAGAGCGAGCAGCTCTATACACTCATGAATGGAGTGGCGGGCGACGTCGACGGAGGCATCAACCTCGACGACTTGCCCTCACTGTCTGCTCTCCTGGAGCTGGACGAGATGTCGTTGGCCGAGGATGGCGAAGCCTTGAAGGCTGGAGACTTGGCTGAGGTAGTGGTCATACGACCCGAAGAAGAGTTGAACTCGTCCTCGCTTATGGATAAAGCTGTCCTGTAAGACACCAAGAAGGCACTGAATGCGCGGAGCGGATCGACGATCCTGAAGGACCCGTCGGATCCCTTGTATCAAGTGGTAATGGATTACCAGGACATAGTCTTGAAGGAGCCGCCCTCCGGATCGAGGTGTTCGACTCGGTCTCGTTCCGGGAACGAAGTACTGCGTGACGAGGCAGTGACCCTTGCCGAAGGAGCAGTGTGACGTCATTGACGCGTTCTTCCGTGCGAAGCATGTGCGTGAGAGTAAGTCTCCACACTCTACGCCGACGTTCTGTGTCAGAAAGCCAAATGGCAAGTGGCGTATCGTGCATGCTTTCAACAAGCTGAATGCCGCTACCATTCCGGCGCAGACGCCGATTCCTCGGAAGGATGTTCTTCAGAGCAACATGGCATGATGTACGATGTACAGTGCGCTCGACTTGGTCGATGGATATTACCAATTGCTCATGAGGACGAGCGACATTCCTCTCACTGGGGTGAGTACTCCGAGCGGCATGCTCTGGGTGTGGTTGGTGATGCCCCAAGGGCTTTCGAACGCGCCAGCGACGTTTAATCGTCTGGTGACGCAGCTTTTCAGGCCCCATCGGGCGTACGCGCAAACGTACTTCGATGACATCTTTGTCCACAGTCGTGCGGAGCACGGAAAGACTGATATGGAGAACCATGTGGAGCACCTGCGTGCTGTGCTCGAATGCATGCGCCAAAACAAGTTGTACGCCAACATTGACAAATGCAACTTCGGAGCGGAAGAGATCCCCTTCTTAGGGTGCTTCATCGGGAAGCGTGGCCTGAGGGCCGACCCGGTCAAGGTCAAGGCCATTGTTGACTGGCCGGTTCCCAAGAACCAGAAGGATCTTCGCAAGTGGCTTGGCTTGGCCAATTACTTGCACAGGTACAGCGAGAACTACGCTGAGATGGCTCGGCCACTCTCCAATCTCCTGAAGAAGGATGCGGAGTGGTGTTGGAACACCGAGCATCAAGATGCGTTCGCGGCCATTAAGGACAGTCTCCTTCATGCGCCTATTCTGCCTTTGCCAGACCCCGCTCGTCCGTTTAGTGTCGTCTGTGACGCCTCGGACTTTGCCATCGGCTGTGCCTTGCTGCAAGCAGACACCGAGGGACGCGAGCGCGTGGTAGCGTTTGAATCTCGCCAGGTGAAGGCTGCGGAGAAGCACTATCCTGTCCACGACAAGGAGCTACTTGCGATGAAGTATGCGCTCGTTAAGTTCAGGGTGCACCTGTTGAGCTCTCAGCCGTCCGTAATATACACGGATCATGCGTCGTTACGCACTGCGACTCAGGCGCCTCATCTCTCGCAAAGGATGGCCCTTGGCTGTCCTTCTTCGCGGAGTACAACTTCGAGGTGAAGTACAAGCCTGGCAGGCATAATGTCCTTGCGGACGCGCTGTCGCGCAGGCCGGATTATGCGTTGGCTCAGGTAACGAAACGTGACTTCGTCATTACCGGATCAGATCCGAACGACTTATGCCAAGGACGACACTTATGTCGCGTTGCTGAAGGCTCTGGGGAGCAAAGAGTTCCAAGACTCGGACATGGAATTGTCCGCGCGGCTGCGCGCGCGGCTACACCGTTATTCCCTCGATGGAGGCCTGTTGTTCTACAACACCGACCCCGAGGATACGCCCCGCGTGGTCACCCCTCATGATGAGGATCTGAAGTACCGCATCCTCTATGAGGCACACGACGCGCCCTTGGCTGGCCATCTTGGCCGTGAGAAGACCTACAGCTCGGTGAGCACCTACTACTGGTGGCCGAAGATGTACAAGTGGACGAGCACTTATGTGCGCACGTGCGAGACGTGTCAGCGCGTAAAGTCCTCACCTCATGCTGCAGCGCCATTGGCGAGTTTGCCTGCCCCTTCGAGCTGCTATCAATCCATGAGTACGGACTTTGTGTTTGGCCTGTCTGCGGACGCGGCGGGTAACACCGGAGTCGTGGTCTTCGTTGACCGTTTGAGGCTGTGCCGGATACCATCGATGGTAACGGTACGACAAGGCTGTTCTTGGACCGAGTGTTTAGACAACACGGACTCCCTGAGTCGATTGTCTCGGGCCGAGACCCCCGCTTCACAGGCAACTTCTGGAGCGCGGTCTTTGCGGTGTTTGGCACCAAGCTGGACATGTCCACGGCGGGCCATCCGCAGACCGATGGTCATACAGAGCGCGTGAATCGCGTCGTCGAGGACGTGCTCCGAAGCATTTGCGCCAAGACGCCGAAGCGCTGGAGCGCCATGCCCCCACTCGTTGAGTTTGCGTTGAACAACGCCGTGCACGCCTCGACAGGCTACACGCCGTTCTACGTGAACAGCTTGTCTCATCCCCGCGTCCCGCTGACGCCGCCGCGTGGTGGCCTCGGGCTTGGTGGAGGAGGAGAAGCCGACTTAGCTGATCGGCTAGCCGATGTCAGCCCGGCTACTGTTCGAAAACAGGGTGACGCTTTCATGTCGACGCGTCTCAGTGTCTTACGACATGTAATTGCTGAAAGCCAAGACAAACAAAAGGAACATGCAGATGCCAGATGCAGAGGAAATGTTGAAAGTTATGAGGTCGGGGACCTGGTGCTGTTTAACGCTAAGAACCTACCTACACATGCAGTGTCAGCCGTCTTCAAGACGAAGTCGCGCCCGCGCTTCATCGGACCTTTCAAGGTTGTGGCCAAGAAGGGCACTCAAACTTCCGAAGAAGATGCAGACACACGCCGTCTTCTACGTGGGCTTGCTCAAGCCGTACCAGGACCCGATGCAGGTGCAGACGGAGGCACCAAGGGTGACGAGGTCACAGGCGCGGAGGTCGCGGTCGTCGAGGACGCAGTCGCAGGCGTCGAGGACGCGACCATCAACGCGGGCACCGCAGGAACAGGCGAAAGAATCGGCATCGGAGGTGCCGCGGGCACAGCGAGAGCCGCAGGCGCAGGAGGCGCAGCAGTCGGAGCCTTCATGCGGGCCAGGAGGTCGAGCTGACCCTGAAGCACAGCCTGCTGACGCTGTAGCTCCCCGAGCTCCTGGCCACGCTGCTCATCGCGATCGCGATAGTATCGCACCCAGCCTTCCAGGCCCCCAAGGGGTTTCCAGACCTCTCGAGGCACCTCGATCCATCGCGTCCGCTCGGCGAGCTGGTCGAGTTCAGTGACAGTCCGGCCCATATGCGCATCAACGTCATGGATGTGATCCCGAAGGCGGGCCGCCTGCTGCCGCGCCTGCAAGAGCTCATCTTGAAGCCCCACAGCGGCCTCTACCGGCTCTGCTCGATGAGCATGGGAATCTGCATTACCGTGTGGAGCGCCTCCTGGCGAAGCGGCGGTGCCGGGGTCTAAACCAGTATCTGGTGAAATGGCGAGGGTACCCTCACTCCGAGAACTCATAGGAGTTTGAGGTGCCCCTCCGCCAAGACTGCCCAGACGTCGTGGACGCTTTTGATCAGCTTGATCACCAGCGCCCCGAGGGCTCAAGGCCGGCACGCCGGCCGTCCCGCGCTTCCCGGCAATAAGCCGGGGAGATGCTGGGTCAGCCACATTGCTCCGAAGTTGACCCTGAACCACAGCGCTCACTCCCTCGTGGAGAGGAGCGGCTGGAGTGCTCGAAGGAGCGGAGCGCGCAGCGCTAAACTGGGCCTGCGGCTGGGCGATTGCCGAGAGGCTGCTCTTGGCTCGGACCTTCGCAAAGTCGAAGCGGAGCCTGCGTTCAATGCGAACATCCACTTCGCTGAAGCTGGCTCGGAGAGCATCTGTGGTGTAGTACCCCGCGGAAGACGTGGGCGCGCCGGGCGCCGGAGGAAGAAGGCGCCGGGACGCGAATGATGGACCTCGACGCGATTGATGGAACGCGAAGCGGATTGATGGTCGCGACGCAGGGCCGAGCTCGACGGGAAAGTCAGCGTGGGTGATGGGCCGTGAGACACGGTGCCAGAATCCAGTGCGACGCGTAATCATCCGACGGGTCGACCAGCGCGCCCGGTTCTGCAAAACGCGCCGACCCTAAACCCCGCCGAGCAGAACGCGCCGAGCAGAACGCGCCGAGCAAAACGCGCCGACCGTAACCCCCGCCGACCAAAACGCGCCGAGGTAAGATCTTGATTGCGCCACGTAAATCAGATTGAAGCACGGTAGTGCAAGCACGACAGAAGTAAGGATAGGCACAGAACGGTAGGCTTAGCAAGCAGTAGTACAGAGTAGCCAGTAGCAAGGACATTGGGTAGGGTAAGGACTCAGTGCCGAAATTTCTCTGAACCACAAAGACCTCCCGTCTTCTCCGAGGTTCCAGGGGAACCACCAAGCGCCGGCAAGTAGAGCCGCCTCGATATCGCGGCCCCCCGTCGTTTGCTGGTTCGGGTGCTCACCCCCCACAGACCCGTGCTGGAACAAACACGTTAAACGTATACCGTTTGGGTGGGCGCCCGATAACGCGCTGCCTAGGCGAAGGACCGCACTGGCCTGATAACCGCCGTGCACAAGACCCCCCGTGTAGGCCCGATAACGCCACACAAGCCCCAGGAATCGCCGGCCTGATAACGCCGCACGCCCGACGGGAACGCCGAGGAAACGCCGGCCCGATAACGCCACACGCCCAAGGCTCGACGCCCTACGACAAGGAACAAGCGTCAACACAAGAACCCCCCAACTCCGAAGCCTGCGAAGACTTGGGCCTGTATTTCGAAGATACGCTACTCCAACAACCGGGAATAATTTGCTCGGCGCGACCGCTATCCAGACGCGCCGAGTTTGTGCGAGATCGCGTTCGCGAGATTTCTGCGAGGGCGCTACTCCACTCATCCATGGAGCTGAGCTTCCGGCTGTGCTCGACCCAAGACTCGAACTGAGCTTCGTACTCAATCGAGCCTTTCCCCGGGCAGAGTACCACCGGGTACGTCCGCATGGCGGACACGGACTTCTGCTGGGCTTGCCGCCGCAGCCTCTCGCGGTACTCTACAACAGTCGTAGACTGTGGAGTGAGGAGTCGCTCTCGCGAGACGTACGCAGTGCGAGCTCCTCCGGAGTACGGGCCGCGGGCCCAATGGCGTGCAGCGCGAGAGACTGCTGGAACGCCTGGCGACGAGGCGGCGAATACCGTGGCTAGTGAGCGCGCGCAGCTCGTAGAGACCGGAGGAGCGTTCAGGGAACGGGCATGGAGTCCGCAGCGGTGGCCGCGGCTCCTCCCGCGCCGGCGCAGCGCGCTCTGCAGGTGGACGGCTCGGCGATCGCACAGAAGACGTGCGCGCGGGGCGCTCTTGATCGTGACGGCTCGGAGAGCCAACTGGGGCCGACGAGCCTTCTTCACGGCGTGTCGACGGCGTGGGCGAAGCGTCGCCGCGGCTTGGGGAGCGTCGCGTGGATGGGGACGCAATCTTCTCGGATCGGAGAACCCTCCATGGACTCGTCCACTTCGCAAGAGTTCCCGGGGATCCATGATCAGACGGGTTGGTGCTCGAGGGGAGCTGGGGCTTGCGCGCTGCGAGCTGCGTTTCAGGCGTTGCGCCGCGAAAACCTCGAGCACCGAGAGCCTGGAAGGCGTCGGGGGTGTGCGCGCGGGCGCTGGCGTTCGCGAAGGTGCGGGGGCACGCAGTGCAGCAGCACGAGAGGAGCGAGGCTCCGAGGCGGATCTGTCTGCGGTCGAAAGACCAAAAGGCTTTATGACTTGAAGTCATGTGAGGGCGCGTTGCGCCGAGAAGTTCTCAGAAAAGTCCACGCGATGTGGATTGACTCGTTCGAGAATGAGGTTTGATGGAACAAGACCCGGAGATTGACCGTTAAGCGTGTGTCAACGGTTTAGTGGGGGAGGGTGTGACGGGGTTACACGAGAGTTACCCGAAGGGTTACGAAGTGGATACACAATGTCTAACCTAAATCAGTAGGAGAATCACTACACGGACTCAGAGCCACTGATTATGCATATGACTAGGGTTCACTATGCTAGATAGTGAACCGGATACATTTACACCGTAGGCGGCTTGGCCGCGCTAAAGGGAAATACATTCAGTTTGAGATTTACACACCTAAGAGCTAAGCGTTGACTCTTGGAGTCCGTAAGGTGTACGGACTCGTACGTTTTGGTATTAGAACGAGCTATCTTAAGCTGAGACTCTGTGAGTCTGTTATGTCTTCCTCTGACGCTAAAGCTCTGGCAGCCCCGCCGCAGACAATCACCTGATGGACACGACCGACAAATGGTCTCGCTGGTGCCGCTCAAATCTAGCCGAGCACCTTTCAGCAATAACACGACTCAGCAACGGCAAGTACGAAGTCAGAAAGTGTCAGCCGTCTCGCGTGAGCTGCTAGCACTGTTGCCGAAACAAGCAAACACGTCCATGTGTATGCGCTACCTGTCGAAGAAGGGGTGCATCTGTCCAGCGCCAGGACAATGCTTTAACCCGAGCAGGGCCCACTTCAAGCCTCTCGCTCTTCCCGCCGACACGAAGCAGTTCATCGACACGAATTTCCTCGGCCTGGCTACAGAGTTTCAGGACTTGTGACGCCAACAGCCAGTGGCAGCACAGGATAACCCGGGAGTTCAGAATACTCGTATCCATCAACACGATGGGCCGGTGACTTCAGTTCAATATTCATATTTTAAACAGAACCAGCGTGCTGCTCACTCACTTTTCTATAAGACTCAACTCGGGCTGCATCGCACAATGACCGCTGCCCGAGAACTCGGATATCGGAATTTTGCTGCTCGACACAAGATGGAGCTCCTTGCGCAGCAGCCAGTGCAGGTCGGCCAGCTTCACGTAGACCGTGTCAATGCAGACTCCGAGCTCACCCGACGCTCAGGTCTTTCACTGGCTCAATTTGTTCGTATCTATCGCAATCAGATCTCGGATGACCCCAGGCCTAACAAGGATCTATTCGAGCTACGCATCCCAGCCTTCGAGATCTGACGGCACGATGGAATTCAGTCGTTCGCGACGGCGTCCAACCAAAATGGAAAACAGCAAGCCCAAGACACAATAGGCTCGACTATCAAACCACCAGTCCATGACGAATCACCACCAGGACGTGCTCCACGACATCATCAAAGGTCAACGCGGTGGGCGATACCTGGTGGTCGAAGCAGACCTGCTGGATCGCTGGACCAACATCTTCGTCAGTCCGATAGGAACGGTGGAGAATACCACTGGGAACAGGCACGATCAAGTAATTACAAGAGTTGCCAGGTTAGCCCTAGCCATCAGGTTGTTCAGCGCAGCATGCACAATCTTCTCGCTCTCGTTAACCAGCGCTCTCGTGGTCTCATCCAGCACCGAAATCTTTGGCTCGTGTATAATGGCACAAGCAATAACACGCACTGCTTCTCCAGCGTGACGTAAGGAGCGGTGAGCCAGTATCGCCCAACGCGTCGCTGTCGAGCCAGCCAAACGCACTCGTCTGTCATTCACGTCGCAGTGCATAAATACGAGTGTACCAATACTACACGGGCGTTAACTCGCCGAACCAACTGTTGCTCTAGTCGTCAACCTCGACACTGGAGCGGTTAGAGCAACAAGGAGGTTGCACTAAAGGGCAACTTTAGTATCGTTTTTTATAACTAAAATATATCCTTTGGTTGGTCGTCGTCATCGTGAACCTAGTATAGTTAGGGGGATTTAGGCTTTCTGCGGGCCCGGGTAATGTCAAATATAGCACAGCGTACGGACGAGAGGGAAAGAGCGGGGAACCAATATAGCGCTCGACGCGCGTCGTCGTACTCCACCCGGCAAAAGAAACCGAACGGTAACCGGCCGCCTCTAGCCAGCCGTATGTCAAAACGTCTTGGTTGATCAAGGGGGTGCATTTTTTTGCCTTCCATTTTGGTGGGTTTTACATGATGAAAGATAATTCACCACTAAACCTGTGAAAAGAGAGCAAAATGCACTCAAGCTCTGATGGCTAGCCTCGAAATCATGTTTCAGCCTTTCGTGTCAAGTTGTACAGGCTCAAAACCATGAGCTTAGCAAGCATCTAGCTAGTAGCATTAGGACACCGCTCGGCGAAGATGAAAGCCATGTTCTCTAGGTTGCCTAGGAAGCGTACGATTGGTGCCAGCACGTCCAGTTTGCGCTTTAAACACGGCATGCAGCTCTTCTCGTTGTTGAATCGAGCGGTCAATGTTGAATCGCTGTCCCAAAAGCTTCGCCGCGAAGCGAGGTACCTCTAGAGATTTGGAAACGTGTGCTGGTCATGGATAACAATATAACAATTAAACAATACAAATACAGGAGATGCTCGCCGCGAACTACCAAACTGTTCCAGCCTAAGCGAAGATCCATTATATTACAGATGTAGTTGTCATCGTCCCAAATGATGTCCAACATTTTTGATATCCTGCTACGGAGCATGTGACTTTTCTTCCTCCTCATCCGGAGCATTTTGCAGCATTACATTGCGTGGGATTCGGTCAGCTTCGCTCTTCCGTTGGTTGAGTTGGGCGCTGGCTAAGACATCTGCTCGGAGAGACTGATCGACATATCTTCAGCGAGCCAGCATCTTATCGCGTCGCCATACTCTTTGTACGTATTCATTTGGCCGGCCGCCCAACCCGGATGCGTCCGTCAGGAGCAATTTTACGTGTCGCTTCTAATTCCTAGGTACAAATTCTCGTTATGAATTTTGTTTCGTTCAATCAAAATTGTAGGTACACGTACCGAGTTTCTTTCGAATCGTCTGCGGGCAAGTTCCAAGAAAAAGAAGGCGACATCTTTTCTTATGCTGATTTCCGCTTCCTGGTTCTAGACTCGTCTCGGTGCAACCCTAGGATACGGTATCAAATTATGCTTTCTGTGTACTCCTGCAGTAATGCGGTGCCCAGCACGCCACCGGAGACGATCATCTCGCCGCTCAGGAGATCTTCGACCGCGGCGCGTGGAACACAAGGCTGCGCCTGACCGGTCGTTGAGGGTGCGCGCTGAGATCCAGGTCGGTAGGCTTGATCGCGAGCTCTAGAAAAAAGGACTGAAGGGAGGGCGCGCGCCGCGTGTCGGCGACTGGTATCCACCAAAGTTTTAATGGGACGGACGGTGACTGCCTATTGGCTGTAGCGAGTTTGCTGCTAATTGACCGATACGATAGTCAATAACAGGCACTGGGGGTGTTAGTTGTAGCTGAACGGCTTCCAAATGTGGTCCCTTTGCGTGGGCGCCGGTAAAAATTAATTAATTGCTCGCATTGCTCACGGACCAAAATGCATAAAATTATCGTTTTCCTCGTCCAATGGTCCCTAGCGGCGACTTCCTCGCAGCTATGAGCATCGCAAGAATATTGTTATAGGTTACTAAAGCACTTGTATAAGCCACATTTGCCGAATAGGAAATATTGATAGTCACAAAATGGACAGGTGAATTTGAAGATAACTTAAGCAGAATGATACTTTACGGCACAGCCCCAGTAATAAAGACACCGCACGCATTTGAATCTATGGGCATTGCTAACGGCAGGAAATTGTTCATCACCTACCAGCGGTATCGCACTCAACTTAACGGAAAGCAAAAAATAATTGGTGAACTTTTAAATCCCAGTCAATCTTGAAGCCGTGTTGATGTAGCGAAATGTTACAGGTAGGCGTGGGTAGCCTATTCAACAGTTTGTACAAGTCGGTTTGTTTCTACGATGCATGGATCCACATTTAGTAAAGGCTCCGCATGAGAGATCTTGTAACCTGGTCAATAGGGTTGTGTGTGTGTCTCTCTCTCTCAAATTTGTCCGTTCTTATTGGGTCTTACAGCTCTAGCCGATGCGCCTTTTCGAGTGCTGCACTGCGGTTCTGGCGGTGCCTCGAATATTAATGTCATATAGCACATGAATGGAAGACCCCCAGAAGTTGCACGGACACGATCTATATCTCATGCTCACCACTCACCTGATGCAAGCTTGCGCGTATCTGTGCTTGTTGTTAGCTTATTGAGTGAGCTGACAAGGATATCCTCTTCTGTTCTGCGCCGCGTCTCGCCATACACGCGTGGAACCGTAGAGATTAAAGACCTCACCACATCCGCTTGGTCTTCGTTTGAGATGTCTCGAGAAAAACGCAATGAATTTTTAGTCGAGTATAGCGAGAGTAATCCGGTATGCGACATTGTTCGAGCGCGCCACACCAGCTTATCATCGGGCTAACAGACCGTTGCAAACGCCTTACAGTTCTATACTCGCTTTGACAGAGTGTGAGAAGCTGGGGGAAGTGGGCCTATCATTAGCTTGTGTCGCAACGTCACGTCCTGCTGATTTCAGCATTGTAGGTCTCCCCCGGATTATTTCTAGTGCAATCTCTCATGGCGTGTGAAAGTACTGCCAACGTCGAACCCGTTGATTCAACCAAACTCTTGAACAATATTCAGATAGCTACTTTAGCTCCTTGAGCGCTAGCCCAAGTTTAGTATAGCGCTGGGCCATGGCATGGGTACTCGACCACCGGGTGCCATTACGTAGGAGAGATGACAGTTCCGTTACACGGCGAAGAATCGCGCGATCCTTAATGTTGCGCAGCTTGGTCATCAGCGCATGAATCCTCGTCAGGAGAGTCTCGTAGCCGGTCAGATAGTCGGATCCAGCCAGATGAAACCTGTGCGATGCACAGTCGACCATAAGAAGAGCACCTTCACGGCTTCCAACGTACTGGTTCACGCTGTGGTTGTCAGTAACCATGAAGTTCACAGCCTCATACGGCTTGTTGTAGCGTGAGAGCGTGTAAGCGATGAGATCAAATAGGCGTTGCACCCCGAGATTGACCACCACGTCAAGAGGACAAAATGCTAGCAGCACAGAGCGGCGAGTGGAGCAGTCGGTGTCGTCGTAGTAGTCGGACCCATTCCTAACCTTCGTCCATGGCACATGTCCGGGTCTTTGAACACGGCGAAGTGGAGATGTAGTGGCGGCCGTTAAAGGTGGAGCCATCGATTACGATGCCGAGCGTGGACGGAAGCTCCTCAGCAATCCTAAACCCCACAGACTGGTTCACTCGCATCAAGTACGTCTTCAACGTGTTTTCGCTAATCAAGGACAACAATATTGTTTTTCCTCGTCATCTTGCGCTCGACAAAATTCAGAGGCAGCCGGTCCAACACGACCCACTCGCGCCAGCGGAAAATGGTACGCATGTTGTCGTCGACAACTCGTAGGCGGAGTGAGTTGCGCTCCTTCGCGGCTTGAGAGGCGTCTTCAAGATAGGTCGGGTGATTGGTGGGGAGATGCGTGATCAGGTTGGTGTAGCCATGAGCACTCGTACACGTCTTCGTGCAGGTCAAGCACATAAACCCTTCCCTGGACTTCTTGGTGAACCGCAGGCTGCAACCTAGCTTGTGAGATAGGGGTTTGGGAAGACACCGAATGCATTGGACTAGGAAACTCGGTGGCTCAGATTGGCCAGTTATTTTTTTTACTTTCGCTAGCATCTAATTGTTCAGAACATGAAGTGATTTGTATTTAAGTAGTATACCGAGGTCAAGTGCAGTGGAAACCATTGATTGTCACCATGAAGCGCATTGCAGAGATAAGCCAAGGTTCTGGAACAGTGCTGTGATGGCGTGTAGTACACGTTTCAATCTGCTGCGATGGAGGAGCTCCGTGCCGGTCAACGTCGCAGCTCGCACGATGTATACGATCATCTGAAACAGACGGTGACCATCGCAGAGCTGAGGGAGGGAGTTCGGTGCCAGGAGACTGATGTCGAGTAGCTAAATGATGTCCTAGCAACGTTAAAACAAGAACTCCACAAAAAGGAAGAAGAGATGGAAAAAATACGCCAAGACTCAAGACACGTATTTAAACAGGAACTCAAGCTTGGAATTGATCGCAGAGAGGAGGCAGTACAACATCAAAGCCACGGTAACAGTAACACTGACTGGCAGTAACCAAGCAACAACTCCATAATATCATGTCCCAACTACAAGACACGAAACGACTGTTTGAACATGTCAACGCCAAGAATGAGAAGGTCAACATTACAGCTGTCGCAACGGAAAGAGGGGTTGCCCAGCCAATGGTTTGCAGCCTCGGAAAGGTTGGAGGTGACCTCGTCATACGATGGCTGATTGTATGCCTCGTTAAAAGCATACGTCACCCAGTGCTCCTTGGATATTCCATTCAGATACTCCACGGCTTGAGGTCGGGTGTCCGCCAACTTGGAGCTGTAGAACTTGTAGTCGTTTTCGCACTCACTTCTCGCCATCTGGAACACGAGGCCTTGCTCAACAGGAGTCAGCGACGATCCTCGCTTGGCAATGTTGGATATGATGTGCCGGACGCAGAAGCGATGGCCGGAGTCCGGATACTCTTCCGATACTGTGGCAAGTAATCTCTTCTGTCGGTCTGACACGAACACCGGTTTCCATGGTAGCACTGATCGCCGTTTTCATGTCCGAGAGAAACCATTTCCAGTTTGCATAACCCTCCTGGCTCACTAGAGCGAGTCCCACCACAAGGATGTGATCATTGAGGTCCTTGGTGGTTGCCAGAAGGAAGACGCCGCGCTTGTTCATGTCCCCCTTCAAGTGTGTGCTGTCGACGCCGATGACATGCTTGCAGTGCTGCATGGCCTTCAAACAAGCGACCAGGAAGAAGCAGGCACGACTGAAGACACCACCACCTCGTTTCTCAAACCAGTAGCTCGAGGTAGCGTTTGCGTCCGTCGCCATCCGAAGGCGCCTCCAGCTTCTAATAGCTTGCGAGGACGTCATCACGTAGAGACTCGAGGAGATCCAGCTTAAGTCGCGAGGCCGTCTGGCGGTTAGTTATGATCTACCTTAACATGAGGAAGTCAGCGATGGCCCTACCAGTCACGTTGGCCCAAGTTTCGCTGTAGGCCGGCAACATTTTCCGCTCCAATATCCCACTCATCATGCTATACGGGACATCTCGTTGGTGCTGTGGCGTTGTATCCGCTTGCAGATTGCCCTCAACAAAGGTTTCGCCTTGGAACCCAGCGTGGCGGTAGTGGTTGTGCGCCAAGCACATCTGGGTGGCTTTCCACTCATTACGAAGCCCGTACACCGTGAAGAAGCATGGGCAGGCTGCCTTGTTCCCTGGAACCAGCGGTTGTTGCCCCTTCAAAGGCTTGCAGGTGTACTTGGCGTTACCCTCCCGAGTGGTTTTGCGCCAGCTATTGTTGGCAACTCGAAGCGAAAAGCCCTGACGCCTGGCGAACTCACGACAGCGTTGCTGCAGGACCGCCCTCGACTCGAACGTTGCCGGCACGAGATTTTGTCCATGGTCGGACACGTTCTCGTACGTGCTGGGAGAAGCGCTATCCATAGATACTGTCATCGCGGAGAAGACCCAGTTCCCGAAGTTCCTCGAGGCTGACGGTCTCCACAATGCTGGAAGCGGTGCTGGTAACAGCCATCCCGAGTCGAAGTTGGTGGTTGGGTAGCCAGCGAGGTTAGTCGGAGTGTTTGTAGCGAATGTGAAATGGAAAATGAGAGAGAGGCTCAATCGAGGACAGGTATAAGTTTCGAAACCAACCAAAACCACTAGGTTGCAGTGGAGTAGATATAGATAGAATCCATTGTCGTAGTTGGAAAACGGATATAAAGTCACAACCGCTCGTGTTGTATCCTACTGGACGAAACGGATAGTGAAGCCACATTTGTAAAAATGACCGAGTCGTAAGGTTTGACGCAATGACTGAATCGTAAGTTTTGGTGCAATGACCGAGTCGTAAGTTTTGGCCTGCGTTAAAATTTACGCCTCGTCCGTTTTACCCTAGGTTAACTAATGGGAGTTGTACTTTGTGGTTCGCATAAAAATAAATGCGAGGATGCGTATATCGTAAAAAAAACGAATCGTAAATTTCGCTTGTTAAAAATAAATTGGAAATTTACCCATTCTTCGGATAAGTAGATTGGACGTTGAATCTACTTATAAGTAGAGCATCAATCTACTTACGTTTGGACAAAGGGGCCCCAATCTCATTGAATTGTTTAATTGCTCCTTATTTGGCTTATGGATTTTCTCTTGTACTGAACTGGAACCCATATAATACTTGTAGGCATAAACAATGACCTCTCATGCGTCTCGAATTCACGACTACAGTATAAATTTTGGTAGGAAGCTTTGAGGCCTTCAAGATCCTTGACCCCCTTTCTACACACCCTTGACAAACATTAGCTTCCACCCCAGTGAAGTCGCGTACATGGTGTCCAGAGGTGATGACCCTCAACGAGGCCACGATGGCCACTGAACGTCGGTACATGGGGCAGTTCTGCTTTCCGCACCCAAGTGCAAGCGCTGCAAGACGAGTCCGTCGTCGCGCTGGTGCCTGGATAAGGGCAGGCTCAACTACCTGTGGTCACCGTTCCACGCCTGCATGTAGACCAGTCAGCACCAAACGCTATGAACAACAAGGGCGAGAAGCCGCCGACGAAGGCATGCTACCTCACGACTGCAAGCTTCCCGGAAGGATTGAAGAAGGCGAAGGGCGACTACAATCCGCGCCCTCCGCCTTCTCCCGGAAGGATTGAAGAAGGCGAAGGGCGACTACAATCCGCGCCCTCCGCCTTCTTCGATCCTTCCGGGAAGCTTGCAGTCGGCCCAATTGCTGGTCGCGAGTAGGATACCTCACGAGTTCAGTGCAGAGACAGGCAAGTCCCTATCCGTCATATCTGTAGTGTTGTGGATGGGGGTAACTAGAGCCGGAGCGACTCCAGCTGTACTGACGGCTATCTTCAGTGGTCGGCTGAGCTCGCGTGGCCTTACGGTGATGCAGTTTAAGAAGACGTCCAAATGCCTACTGTTATTGGAAATGAATCGAAAAGCTACTGACTATCATATATTCATGTAAACACTTTTAAGACAATTGGAGTTTACATGGGACTTAGTCGGATCCGTTCATATCGACTTCGTGGTCGCCATAGCTCTCAACGAATTCAGAAGCCAGCGAAGAACACCTCCCCGGCGACTCGTGTTGTAGAGAAGGTGTTGGTGTTGGATCGTGCTCAATGCCGTAGCTGCCAAGCCGATGCATGGGTTGCTCCATCGCTTCAATTTCCTCGTCGAAGACGAGTAATTAGCCGGTCTCGAGATCGCTCTCGGCCTTCCAGGCAACGCGCAAGAGCGTCCATGTGCGTTTTGTTGTCTTCGTCGTCGTTGTGGAAGCGGCGTCGAGGTTCACGTGGCAGGGTAAATTGCTTTATGCCATGCCAGACCAACCTCGCAAGGTAAGTTTCAGACAAGTAGCACCTAGGTGCAAAATATATGATGGCGACTTCTGTACTTAAATTGCGATGAACCGGCCCCCAACCTGCCCCGAACCGTTAGAGTCCAGAAATGCTATAAATGACGCTAGGTTACAGGGCCAGAAACTGGTATCCATAGAGCCATTCTAATTATTTTGGTACAGCGTCGAACAGTTAACTCTAGTAGACTTGAACTCAAAAAATGTATCTAATGTATGTAACTGCCTTTTCGAATGTACTAAATGCAATAAATCCATCGGAAACGCGATGTGTCTGGCTAGAATGCAATCTATCCCAACTAAACAAAAAGTAGCCGGCGAAAACAAATCTTCCAGTACCGGTGAGTAGTACCCTCAACCTGTACCATTCAGGCAGCCAGCTGGAATAATGAAATTGCCAGATATAATTTCGAAGAATATTCCATGACATGTGTATTTTGACTTTGATTACTACTCCCAAGTTTGCATAACCTCAACATCCATCCATTTACTAACCAGCCAATTAAACGTTTCAATATACGTTCCATGTCTCATGCGACATGCCACCAACGCAACCCGCTTCGTTAAATATACGATGCTAAAGGAATCTAAGTCATCCAAACATAAAATAGGTAGTTTGCCGTTTAGTAAAATCGCGGTACTTCGTTGCCGGACATACCATCTACGATTATTTCGTGTTTTCATAGTATGGGAAGCTACATCCATAACATCAGGATTATGTCAGCCATTTTTTATAATTGTAAAAGATGGAATGGAATGGGGAAAGGGGGGGGGGGTCTATCTTGACTTGTAAACACATGAAATGGCGAAAATGCGCGAAAGGGTAAAGACGAGATAAACTTGGAGTTTGCGTACATGATTTCATGAATAGCCTTCCGCATAGCTGTATTTACCTAGAGAGCATGACCATGCCAGGAGGCATTGATGTAGTCATTTTTTGTGCGGTTCATCAAGCGACTACGGACCTCTATCGATCGCGCCGTCGATGCCATCGACCACCTTCAACACGGCCTACTGGGGGTGGAGCGCATCTTCGAAGACGAAATTGCCCGGCACAATACGGGCATGTCGTGGGCATTGCGCCAAGTCAGCGGCTAACCACTATTCGCCTCGCCGGACAAGGGCAGAAAGAGCAGTGACGATCCATCTGGGTCCCAAACACCACCATTTGACGGAAATTTTGACGATCTCGAGATTTTTTCGGCCAATCAGAGTCTATGTGAAATGACTTCAGCCAGTCTAATCGGCTACTCGGCCCAGGTGACGTCATGATGCAAGAACTGAAAGACGCCCATATAACCACCGCAAAGAAGAAGGATTTCAATTTGTAAAAATGGGTGAGCCTGAGCGATTTCGAGTTTTTCCTTTCCTAGATCGCGTCAGCTGAGCTCCGGGTACACGAATTCAATGTGCGTTCAGGGCCTTGGCGAGGCGGGACACCATACACGATACGTTTGTGCCGGCGTTTTCGACGGCCTCAATGTATCAACCCGGGGCGGCCTGGACGGATCGAGTGCGTTCAGGGTTTCTTATCTGAACGCAGTCTTCGAGACCTGAAGGGCCCATCCTAGACTTGAGCGCACTTCGCTCCGCGGAACACAGCCGAATCCCAGCTCAGATCGTGCCGCACGGTGTGGTCCGGGTTCCGTCTCGGCCAATCAGAATGGCGGATTCAGTCGGGTCAGTAGACAGGTGATGACCGGTTGAGGCAAAATCTCGCTCAGTCTCGTCACAGCCCTGGGCGCGTAATAACGATACCGGTACATATTTGGTGCAGCAAATGGGAGCACACCATTGATAGCTGGTTTGCTGACTATCATAGCCAGTAAGCCAGCAATATTTGCCGATGAGTTCGATCGTGAGCTCGTCGGCACACAAATCTATGTACGACGCAGGCGACAAGCTAGTACGGGGTCTCTCAGATACATGTGCTTCTGTCGAAAACAACTTTTTAAGCCCGGCGGTCTCAGCCATCATCAATTCACTTCGGGCAATGTGAATACCGCGGCTCCCCACCCCCACCCCACCCTAGAGGCGCATTCGCCAGGACCCAGGAGGACGACGAGACACCGAATAATAACAGCACTCATGGATATACCGTGAATCTGTAAAGAGGGCCGCAGTTACCGCTAGCGAGGTCAAGAAGGGTATGTCCAGCAACGATGCTATTAGTTGATCGTGATTCCACTGACACGTGTGCACAGAGGTGTCGAGCGTGTTTCACGGTTTTCCTCAGAAGCCAACGCGCCACGAACGAGGGCCCCATCAAAAGAAGAAGTGCCCGAAGCGCGCCAACACTTCTATCAAAAGGAAAATTGGCGTGTCATGCCAAGCACTGCAAGGGCGAGTAGTCAGCGTTTGTACCTGTAGACACTTTTTGAACGTACTGAATTTCCAACATTGGAGCCTGAGGTTCATCCAGACGTGATAGATCTTCAGCCTCCCGACATTTCGACGAAGGCAGACAATACGCTCCGTACAAGCAAAAATTATATTACACGATCGCAGCATCGGAAACCCACCGACAAGCGATTTATCACGCTGATGCCGAATAACAATAAGTGCTTGGAGAACAGAACCGCCGTTGGTCCTCGCGCGTATGACAAGTCCAACTTCAACAACACCACAACAAGTTTCGAAAAATCATAGATAAACTCTCGATGCGTTGTAAAATGGACCGTGAGACGTCGATGTGAATCTCGACAACACCGAAGGGTAGAAGGTGTTTCGAGATGCCCAAGCTTTCGGGTTTACGGAGCGTTTGTCATACTTGGATTGTCGGCGAAAGCGCAAACTCTGCACGGCTCTTCAACTGCATTGTAAAGTTGGACCATTATCTTTATTGGCAATTCAACACCCCACAATGCAAGTTGATGAGTCCTGCGTACATCTAGGTACCGGACAACAATAGCTATCATATGATAGCCGAGACCCCGGAATAGAATAGAAGCGCTCCCAAAAGGTCCAGATATGTTGGATTACCTGAATGGAAAGTCGAAAACGCGGATGCATGTAGTAGGAAAGGGTATACACGTCAACGCGTACAACAACCGCCCCCCCCCCTCCCCGACATAAAAAGGAATATTACGGCCAAACGATCCAGAATGACATTAACCTTGTCAGCCCTGATCAGTCATAAAAAAACACAATGCAGTGTACAGTGTACAAGTACGAACCTGTGATTATCACCCTTCTGGTGGAGCAGGCCAAGATATATGGCGAGTACACCTCGATAAGCAGCGTTCACCTGAAGGTAACCCAATCGAGAATGTCGGGGCAAGATGGCTTCACTTTTCGATGGGCGACAGTACAATCAAGGCAGCCAAAAAAATAAATTGACGCTCAAGCAATTGCCATAAATATTATTGCATAATTTATGAGCAGCGGCCTATACCGTACCATTATTTATGATACCAGATTACTATTCCAGACTGATAATTTATGATACTATCTCAAAATCATACAAGCTGTAGTATGCGAACAAAAGAAAGCTTATACTCATACAGCAAGCCATATGCATATTTATTAACTGTCTGGAAGCCAACCATTTGGCAGGCATGACAAGCGGCTGCCAGCTCAGCTCTAAGCACCATTGTGCAACTTTTAACGGCACAAGAACCTCCTCACCTCAACAGGCATGCTTCGCGCGCCCCGCACTCGCCCATCCTTCTCTAACGCGCAGGTCTCGGCGTACTTCTTCACGCCGTGCAGTGATGAGTACGGCGAGTCTGTACCCGACTACTACCGCTGCCGATGCGGTACCGTGCGGAATCAGACGAGGCACAACGGGTTTATTAACCTGATGCAGCACGTCCGCCGAGAGCACCCGGGCTTCGAAGCCAAGATGCGGGCTGCAACAACAGCTGAGACCGGCTCACTGATTCCCTACGCTCGACGTACGTCGGTGAACCGCTTCGGCTGGCTGGAGTGGGTCGTCAAGGTTAACCTGCCCCTAGTCTTTTGCGAGAACCCACTCACAGGAAGGTACGCTCAAACTACTAGTGTTATACTATTTACGAATACTAATTATGAAGTACTATTTTTGCAGGTACACGAGTGTGGCCCCTGTTTCGGTCGAGACCCTAAAGGCACTCATGGAGGCGGTCGCCCAGTTAGTGGGGTTGGAGATCGCGGCGGAGCTGCCGGATCGTTTTGGTCTCATGCTGGATGGCTGGAGCCATGCGTCGGTGCACTATGTCGCAGTATTCATATGCTACGAGATCGACGTTGTTGTTAAGTACGCCCTCCTGAGCATGGCGCCAATCATATAAGAGCCGGACGATGGCCTCTCGGCACGTACGCACCGAGATTTCCGTCGCTAGTCTGCTCGTGCGGTTCGGCAAAACGCTGAGTGGCTGCGTTTACATGGTCGCAGACAATTGCTCCGTAAACAGGCGCCTGGCTACCATCATGCAGGTCCGTCTGGTTGGCTGTGCGAGGCACAGGCTGAACCGGGCTGTGCAACATCACCTTGAGCAGTACGAGGACGATTTGGCGGTCGTGTAAGCACTCATACTGAAGATTTGCACGCCGAAACAGTCAGCCAAACTTCGGTAAGTCTTGTTTATTAAAGGGTTAACCCTTTTGTTGCAAAACGCTGCATAATGCAACGTTTTTACGATTTTGCCCAATAGAACATAGGCGTCATATTTTGGGCCAATAGTTTCGCTACCGGAAAATGTCGCAAAAAACGATGCATTATGCAGCGTTTTTCAAATATCTCCAAAATGCTATATCCATTTCCTCTATGTTGTTATATTAGGGCTGCCGGAAAAGCGTAGTAAACCGATGCATGATCCATCTTAATTGTCTTAATTAACCCCTTGGACGCGGAGGGTTGGAAATTCACCTTATGCTGTTCTGAACAGCATAAGAAACACTTCATTTCACTATACCTCTAAATCCGCAAAAAGTGATTATCGTCCCTTCCCATATGTAGCTTGAATATCATTAGTCCACGTATCTAAACATGGTCATTTGATTGGGCATCAAGAACATATGACTATCAGGGTAGTTGAACTACCGCGCACAAGCACGAACCATTTTCAGAAAAAATCAAGCATCGGTTCCCCTCTTGCTGCCGCCACTCATTCTTCATTCGGCGCAGCAAGAGACAAAGTGGCATTTTGGGATGACATCGACGCGGTGGGGTCACTTCCGTGCAAGCCCCAGACAGACGAGAGGCTCGGTAAGTGCGCTAAGTATCTTGGTATAGGTCCCAAACTAACTAGTGCGACTATCTCTTTGAAGCGCGAGCTACTTGAAGTCTGATTGTAAGCACCGCGGCGAAAGCACTCCCTTATTTCGTGCTGCTTGGTACGTATGCGCACAACTTCTGAATACATGCTAACCACTTGTGTGTTTACTATTTGCTAACAGAACTGTATGCGCCGTCTTTGCCTAGCGCGACTGTGCTGCGAAGAATCGTCATGGGTGTTGGGACGCTAGAGGTATGCGTTGCATTGTTGGGATGATTGCTGCGATTGGACTAACCTTTGTTGCCTTCAGTAGGCGGTCGTGGTAGGATGGGGACTCGAGTATCTCCAACAGGCGTTGGTTACCGTGAATGTCCAAGGCTTACTATATGTGCTTTATGCCGACGGAATGGCTTCTACTGATTGAGATTGGTTTATGCTTATTGAAATGTTTTACGAAGATGTATATGGTGCTGGCTGTTGGGACGACGACATGTCTACATGAACGACATGTCAAGAGCAACATCGCCTCCAGTGGCAACGTGATAAACGTTTGAGTACTGCCCAAGAACGGATCCACTAAAGACGAGCTGAAGGAGCCCGCTCCGCATATTGAGGGCCGCTGAAGTAAGGAATGTTGTGGGCTTCAAGTTTTACATTCATGATGAGAGGACGCCGATTTCGCGTGGAAGGTATGGGTGAAAGTTGAATTTTACTTGAAAGCTGACTCGGTCCGCTTACAAGTTTGACTTTATGCAGACAGGATCAGGACAGGATGCCTTCTCGCTTCCAAACCAAGTCACATCCTCCACAACCATAGCAATGCCGAGTTGAAAGACATCGAGTCTGTATCAAAGGCTCTACAAGGCAGTGATGTTACTCTCTTTGATGCGAGAGTGTGGTTCGACGGGCTGATCGCAGCGCACCCGGCTATTGCGGACTACATCGGTATGTACCACCTTATTACTCTGTGATATTGCTCATTAATACTAATTTCGTTTCTGCATATCAATTAAGGGCCGCGCGCAGCGATCGTCCACAGCCCTGATTTTGAAGCGGGTTGTCTGCGTGTCCTGAAGGACAGCAGCGTCCGACTCACCGCCGCAGAGAAACGGGCGCTGCGTGCGTTAGCGTGTAGCTCGGCCATCGCCATGAACGATGCGGAAGACGACGGCGAGGAGCCGGAGGGTTCGTTTGTCCAGCGTCTTGAGAAGCGTCGCCGGCTCGAGGCGCGAAAACCCCACTACGACCTCATCTCCAGCATCCCGCCGACCTCGAACAAGGTCGAGCGGGTTTTCAGCGTGGCGCGTACCACGTTTGCTCAAGAACGCAACAGTCTCCAGCCCGCTACGCTGGAAACAATTTTGTTTCTGCGCGAGAATGTTGACTTCTGGGACGTTCCGACAGTCGATCGCGTCAATTAGTGTGAGTAACAGTACGTCTAATACACGTTGAAGTTGCACCACATTATTTGATTTATTGCTTGAATACATTACATTATTTATGCAGGTACAAATGACAAGATCCTTCCATTAATTATGAGGAACTATCTGCGCTAATACATAAAAATACCATATTCGGTAGCCCTGAGTACAACTCAGTTACAGAGCGCGAGCTGATCTGGCGATCGACTGAGAAGTAGAGCTTGCAACTCTTCGTTGAATCGATACCCCACCGGTGCCTTGCGGTAGTTAAGGCGAAGGATGGACTGAAACCTGTTAACCATATCTATTTTATTATTGTAGTTGGTATGATTGACGAAAAAGGTGTCTGGTACTATTTGTGTCACAGTAGCCAACATTAGTTTTTTTGTATGGGAACCCTGTCAAGGAGCCCGATATCTCGCATCTCGAACGGTAGTGATAATTACACAGAATTACACGAAAAATACACAATTACAAAATATATATGTAACCCCAACGGTGTATTGATAAGGCATCAAAAGTAACGCCAAAGTAACAACCAAAGTGACCGTTCACTATGAGTGAACTGTAGGAAATAGAAAGTGTATAATCACTTCGTGTCCCTACGAATTGCTTCACCAGTCCCTATCCAGTCGGCACGCAGTGCAAGCTTTCGCCATGCCATACGCGACGCTTTGGGACGTCGAGGAGGACGTGCGCTTGTGCAAGGCGTACATCAACATCTCAGAGGATGGTGCGACTAGCACGGATCAGAATGTGACGGTTTTCTGGGACCGCATTCACATAAAGTACACACAGCTAGCACCAAGAGGAGCTCCGATCAGAGGGCGAGCGGCACTTCAAAGTCGGGGGTGCGGGCTCATTAGGCCAGACGTTGCTCATCATGTTTTGGCAGTGGTAGGAGTTCTACATTAAGTTGATGGTCTTCTTCCGATACGAGTTGCTTTAGTATGTCTAACGATACGAGTTTATCTGCTATAGGAAAAGGTGAGCTGCGCAGTGGCTGGAGGGACCAAGAGTATATTATTGAAGCCTCCAAACGGTTTACAGCAAAGAGGGGGCAGTCAAATGCCAATACGTCTCGTGAGTACAACGAAGGAGTTAAGGCAGGGAGAATTAACCCAAAGACGAAGAGAAAACCGCGTCTGAGGCCAGAGATTTTCCGACTTCACCACTACTGCGATGTCCTCAGCGACAGTGTCTGCTTTGTCAGAGACACCTCGTAAACGACTGTGTCCACCCTCTGTCTCAGAGGAAAATGGTCTCGTGGATCATGAAGGTAATGTGTTAAGTTGTTTTAGGAAAACGTTTTACCCGTGCAGTAAAACTCTACCAGTATTTATTTGATGATCCTTGAAATGCTTCCCACCAGGAAGTGGGGCAGTTTTCCATTGCCATTTCATGCAGTAGCCATACCAGGGAAGCCACGAGCAGCATTGACTTCTAGTATGTTGGCGATATCTTCCTCAGTCGGTAAGCGCAGGTGATGGGCCCCATAAATTGCTATTATTGCCTCTGTGAACTTGTCCAATGACTCATGGACTGTGACTCACCAATCCAAAGTACCTCGTTTAGAGAATCGGCTGCACAGCCGTAAGCCAGCATTCTTAGCGCTGCTCTGACTTTCTGAGCGCGGTGAACTCCGTATTTTCCTGTGCAGTCCTTCCGCCACGTAAAGTAGGGGTCGTGCTTACCTAGGGCTTCCAATAGGTCGAGGAAACAACCCTTTGCTCATCCGAAAACGGTGTCGAAATTGCTCGTCGGTATACATGGACTTCTCGTCAAAGTACATCTACCAGATGCGTCCATACGCAGCAACATGGTCGTGTTTGACATTAGCACTTCGCCCACGTCTTGACCCCCGTGTTGCTTCTTGCGCGACCTCCTTCGTCGTATGTAGGCCAGTACCAAGAACTAAGCGCGCTAGCACTTGTCACGTTCATTTTCCTGCTGCTGGTTTTGAGCGGGCCCGCTCTGCGAATACTCACTATGCAATACGACAGTTGGATCAACCGCCAGTCCCAAAACAAGAATGAAGCGGTTACCACTGCAAGAGTAGATCGGTTGTCGCTGCAATAAAAACCAACTGATGAGGTCGCGCCAACTCCGTGTAGTAAGCACCGATTTCGGTGGGGGCTCTTTCTCTCGCTCTCTCCGCCGGGACCTTAGGCGTTAAACCAAGGTTGAATTTCAGAGCACGGCATATAGTAGCAGTAGAATTGTCTGGTAGTGCAAGAAAGGCTGACTTTAAAGCTGGTTACAGCTCCTCGATTTAAAAACAGGGATATTCTTCAATACTGTAGACGTAGTTTAGTACGATAGATAGATAGCCAGCGCATGTCAATCAAAGCAATCAGACAAAGCGAGCGAGTTAGAATTAGAATGTCAGGGCCGTAGTATTGTCGGATACACTCCAGCCATTCAACGAAAATGAGCAGAACTCAACGTTAGCTCGTTGTCTTAGCAGCTATTCTATCTTAAATCGACGAGTTAGCCTCCTAGTTCAATGATGGGCTAATCACCGTGATTTGCTAAAAACAACGAATTACGTCGTTTTTAGACAGAAAGCATGCAAGGCACTGTAATAGTCATCCGTATTATTATCGGTATTTGTATTTAACTAGGTTAATAGAATACAGGACAATTAGAGCACTTTTAGAATACAGGACAATTAGAGCATTTTTAGGTAATATTTTCCGCTGCTACCCTCGTAAAAAGCGTAAAATCTGTAATTCGATTGTTTTTATCATAAGATTTCCAATAATATACAATAAGCTTAAGTTAATATTGGAAAAAATATGTCTGGCCGTACAGCCCATTTTTCGAAATAAGGTTAGGGATCAAAACATACTAAAACCAAGTAAGATCTCTAATCATGCTTCGGGGCTACGTTTGCTGGTTGTCCATGCTTCTCAAACGCCAGTGATGCCGAATTGGTCTGTGCATCACGATAGAGTTGCGGGCCATTTCACCCCCTCCAATCCGAAAACATGGGCTGTACATTTTCCGAAAAAAGATTGCCCCAAATAAAATCGGGAATTTTGGGGATCCTAAAATGGAGATAATTTGTTTCAGACCGGTGTCACTTCCACGAGTTCTTAACATTCGGTACAACGCACGCCGCTATGCATTAGTTCGGTTAAATCGCGATTCGCACTAGTGCTCTGTGGCCGGGCTAACTTACACTTGTCAGGCCTGTGTTGCCCTATGTTAGCTTTGCTCTAGCGGGCTCTTAAGAAATGACACGGCGGCGACGCCATACTCAGGGAGGAGTTAAATCGGAAATGGGCCTCGATGGAAATCATCATGCAAAAGTTCAATACATGCGTAGCTGGTTATGTCCATATCACTTCTAAAAGATCCACAGGAACCGCTTGCGAGGAAGCTGCTCCTTGAGTGCGATCTTGCGTTCCTCCAGGGCGGCAATCTCCTCGTCCGCTTCGTCAATGTCGCGTCCCGCGTACTTGGACTCCTCCAGCGCCGCCTGTTGAGCGCGGATCTCCTCGATCTGCAGACGGATCTCCTTGGCCGAGTCCACGGGCTTCTTGTTTTTCTTCTGCGCGGCTGCAGCGCTGCCCCACGTCACACGAGGTGCGGGCGGCCAGGCCTCGTGGGCCGTGGGCGCCGCCTGCTTGGAAGCAGAGCTCTCGTCTTCAGCCTCTCCTTCTTCAGCGAAAGTGACAGCGACCACGCCGTCGTTCTCGGGCTGCGCCGACTGCTTCAACGCGAGCTTCTCGATCTCCTCCTGACTGGCCGAGCCCGACACCTCAAAGCGCACCTTCTCGCCCGACTTGAGCTCCGCCACCACCGTCACCGCTGCAATAACACAAAGAAGAAAACATCAATAAACTCCTCTAAAATTCCGCGTTCCTACATACAGCACAGTCCTCAAAGCTTACTCTCGTTGATGAGGTCCTCCGTGGATCCGATGGGGCCAATGTCCTCGCGGCTGGCGAGCTCCAGCAGCGCCTCGTTCAGCGGGACGTACTGGTTGATGGCGTCGATCAGGTCCGGGTACCGGTCGTTGAAGTGGTTGTAGAACTCGTCGTCCGTCTGCAGGTTGTACACGAACACGCCGCCCACTGCACCGGGGATGCCGATCATGATGGCCGTCGTGTACCAGAAGTAGCGCGCGAACGGGGGGGGCTTGGGCTTGGAGGACGCAGCCGTGGCAGCAGAGGAGAAGAGGCGGGGAGAGCTGCGCTGCAGCGTGCGCAGCATCGGCCGGAGGAGGACCATCTTGACTGTGACTTTGATGCACAAAATCCAATAATGACCACCACAGACGTCCGCAATGATCTGTGATTGGCTGATTTAGTGGCTGCATATTTTAGAGCATTTTGTGCCAATCAGTGCCGGATTTGAGCATGGACGACGCGGGGGTGACGGTGTCGTACGCCTCGGGCGCGTACGCGACTGGCTTCGTGATCCTGCTGGTGGGCGTGGTGCTGCCCATGGTCTACATGGTGCTGCAGAACAAGAAGGCGTTCAAGGCGGTGCGGAGAGACTGAAAGTCGCAGCCCATGACGTCTCAAGACCAGGGAGATAAAGCCACCTACATGTACGCCAGAAGAAGATCGCGTGGTTGAAGCGGAAGACGAAGCGGCCAGGAGATGCAACTCGGCGTGCAATTGAGAGACAACAAGAGGAGCAATATGCAACGGTTGCGGCGTTATTTGGACGGGAAATGGCAGTGAACGAGATTTTTTTCTTCTTCTTTAATGATACATTGGGCTGTTGTTGGGGTGGTGTCAGTTGAGCTGCTGAGGGATTGTTGGGCGGTTGCAGGGGAAGAACAAAGTGCATCCTTCATCTCGCTACGCCACCTGGCCGCTGTGCGAACTTTTCGTGCCGGATTCGCTCCAAGTTCTGCTGTTGCTGCAGCTCCGCCTTGACGTTCTGGTACCGCTGCAAGAGTCTGGAGACGGTAAAGAGTTAAAGCGGTTGAAGATTGAAGCGGCAAGAGAGGGAAGAGGGACCTACCGTTCGAGATCGACTTGGCGCTGTTTCTTCTGTTCCTCTCGCCCGGATTGAATGCGCTTCTGAAGCGCGTCCAGGTCCTGCTTCTGCCGCTGCTTGAAGGTCACCTCGCGCTGGAACATCTCCTGCTGCTTGAGGTTGCGCCACTTCTCGAGCTCCCAGGCCTCCAGCGCGTCCGACTTGAGCTTAATCTTGTGTGCCTCACCGTAGCTGCATACCAAGACAAGAAGGTGAGCTCATAGGCATGGAATGGGGACTGTTAGCCTAACGCTTACTCTTTCTGTCGAGCGAGGTGCTCTTCGATGCGCCGCAGATTGAGCAGGTCCTTGGAAAACTTTGGCTTCTGGTGCTTCTCCAGCATCTTCTGCTGGAACTCGAGCAGCTCCGACTTGTGTTTTTCTCGCATATTGACGACGAGCTCTTCCACGTTGCGCTCGTACTCGTCCATCTTGCGGTCCCAGACCTGGTTGAACTGCTGGAACTCGAGCATGTGGGCCTCTTCAACCCCCAGACGCTCGGCGATCTGCCGCGAACGCATCGCCTCCCTCCGCCGGTTCTCCTCATGCACCTTGAGCTCCTCCAGGCGGTTCTTGGCGATCTCAGCCTCCACGTACTTGCCCTGCCGCTCGCAGTTCTTGCGGTGCTCCTCGAGGATCAGCAAGAAGTCGTTCACCGCCGAGTCCTCCACATCCGTCATCCTGGTACCGCTGCAGTTGCTGATCTATCGAGCCAATGCACTGCAAATACACGCAGCGCCTCGCGCTTCGATGCTCGGGGTCCGCGCCTTCCTCCCCTCTAGCCTGGACCGAGTTAGCGTGGCCAGAACAATCTCGACCCAGCCCAATTATAAATGCAGCCTGCAACTGCCATACCGTTGCTCCCCAAGTCGCAAATTAGCTCAACATCGCTCCGCTAAGAATACCAAGCATGGACTTGCACGGATACAGGGGTATCCTGCATTCGTTTCGTTCGTGAGCAGCTGAACCTTCCTAGCAACATGCATCTAGGGCACCGAGGTGGTTGGTTACTTTCTCACTTGGTGTTCCATTTTTTTCTATTACAATGTGTTGTTTTGTGTAGTTGTGGAGCCCAAGCCTCCATGTAGAAAGGAAGAGGGCTACCCTTGTGCCACCGTTGCGAGAGAGCAGTTCGCTCCTCGCTTAGGGCAGCTTCTTCTCCATGACGGCGTTGCCCGCGGCGTCCTTGCCGTGGATCTCGATGTGCTGCACCTTGGGCATGCCCCAGGACGTGGTGGAGTACACGAACACGCGCTCGAGCGTGCAGCCGTCCTGGCCGTTGATGGAGCCGCGGCCCACGGGCTTGCCGTCCACGATGGACAGGTAGATGACGCGGTCCTTGAGCGACGTGAGCGTGACCTCGAACTCGCCCGGGTGGCCCTCGCGCGGCTTGACGGTGGCCCCGTACGCCGTGTTGCGCTCGATCATGTTGAGCTCCTCGCGCGGGGCGCCGTCCTGCTCGAACATGATCCAGTACACGTCGAGCGGGTTCTCCGGGTTCAGCGTGCCGTCCTCCAGCAGGTTCACGGCGTACACGACCACGTTCTTGTTCTTGTTGCGGTACACCACGAAGGCCACGTTCGGGTTGTGCTTCTCGGCGATGAGCGGCACGGGGTTGTTCTCCACCTTGGAAAAGTCGAGCGACATGGCTGAGGATTGAGAGAGAGGAGAAGTTTCTTGCTTCCTTGCTGCTTGCGGCGGACGCGACGAGACGGAGAATGAGCGCACGAAAGCGCCAAGCACGCACAGATAGCTCCACGTGGAAGGAAGAGATTCCTCTACAGCCGATTGAACAGCCGTTACGTCGGTGTAAACTTGGAGCTCTTGCTTTTTGTATGCCTTCGTGTGATCGTCAGTGACTGCTATGTACCCATGCACCAAATACCGGTACGGACAAAGACCCTACCGATATACCGGTTCAACTTCAAGCAGACGATGCACCAGCTGCTGCACACATCTTCTACACCAATACAAGGTGAACCACACCAATACGAACCTAAGCCGCACTTACACCCCTAATAAAAAATACCTGCACTTGCACTACTTGCGCACTAACTTGTGCCACCAATGCTGTGGCCGCGCGAGGAGTTCCACGCCGCGTACGGGCAGATCAAGCACGACGCGCTGCAGTCGGGCGGCAGCTGCAGCGTGCTGGTGCTCGTGGCGCTGGACGTGGACGCGCTGTGCGCCGCCGAGATCCTCACGCGCCTGCTGCGCGCCGACATGCTGAGCTACTCGCTGCTGGCAGTGCGCGGCTACGAGGACGTGCTGCAGGCGCGCGAGACGCGCATCCGTGGGGCCGACGGGACGCTGCGCGGCGGCGGCGAGCTGCGCTCCGTGGTGATGCTCAACTGCGGCGCCATCGTGGACGTGGCCAAGCTGCTGGCGCTGCCGCCGCACGTCAAGTGCTACGTGCTGGACAGCCACCGGCCCATCCACCTGGCCAACATCTACGACGAGCACCAGCAGGTCGTGGTGTTTGACGACGGGGCGCTGGCGCTGGAGGATTACCCGGCGTTTGGGCCGGATCTGGAGGTGGAGGACTTTGACGAGGAGGAAGAAGAGGAAGAAGAGGAGGAGGAGGAGGGGGAGGGGGAGGAAGAGGGGGGAGAAGAGAGTGAGAGCGAGGGAGAAGCGGAGGTGGAGTTCGGGACGGAGGATACGCAAGACACAGAGACAGGAGAGGAGAAGGAGGAGAAGGAGACGGAGAAGAGGAAGAGAGACGAGGGAGAAACGGACGAGGACATGGAGAGCAGCCCCAAGAGGAGGAAGGAGGACGGAGAGGGTGACGGTGAAGGTCAAGATGAAGAGAAGGAAGAAGAGAAGAAGGAGGAGGAAGAGGTAATTACAGTCGCTCAGGAGCCGGGGGAAGAGAGTGCTGTGATGGCGAAACGACGTCGTCGCGAGGAGATCTTGCGCTACTACCGTGGTTCGTTCCACGGCGCGCCTGCCGCGACGGTGGCGTTTGAGCTGGCGCAGCAGGTGAACAGCTCGCAGCGCGACCTGCTGTGGTTCGCGATCATCGGACTCACCAAGCAGTTCGTGCTGGAGGAGATCGACGTGGACAACTACAACCTCATGGTGGCCAAGTTCCAGGACGAAGTACTGGCCATCGATGCACCGACGCCGTCCAGCGGGCCTGGAGCAAACGGAGAGGAGGACCGACACCCGGGCTACGACGACGGCAAGATCAGCTTTGAAGAAGAGTACCGCTTCATGTGCTACCGCCACTGGTCGCTGTATGAGGCCATGTACTACTCGGACTACGTGGCCTCCAAGCTCGGACTCTACCATGACCAGGCTCGGCGCGTTGGCGCTCGCAACGCTTCAGGTGACGGTGGAAACAGCGCGGGAGACACGGAGCTGCACAGGTTCTTGGCCCGCATGGGCTTCTCTCTCAGGCAGAGCCAGCAGAAGTTTTCGTACATGCCTCTGGAGATGAAGCAGATGCTGCGCGAGAAGACCCAGGAGATGGCGCCAGAATTTGGTCTGGACGAGCTCTTCTACGGCTCGTTCAAGCGCACGTTCGCCTTCCAGTACCAACTGTGCGCTGCGGATGCTGTGTACGGCCTTCAAGCTCTGTTGGAGGCTCCCGAGAGCTACGTTGGCGCAGTTTTTGAGGCTGAGACGCAGCACCAGCAGCAGAATTCCTTGACAAGACTTTTCTCGCTGGACTCGATCATGTCCTCTACCGTTGAGGTTGCTGAGAAGGATGGCAAAGATAAAGACGCAGACGCTGCCGAAGAATCCCCTCAAGATGACTTCCGGCAGCAGAACTTTATGCTAGCACACACAGCTCTCGCGTGCCAGTCGGTGACGTCCAGTAAGCTGATGGAGAGTGGCATCAAGGTGGCCATGTCGCTCAAGCAGGCCATTGTCCGCGTGGGGCTGTCGATTATGGAGCGCAAGCTGCTTGTGCGTGTCAAGCACTTCCGTTACGTGTGCTTGAACGTTCCTGAGCGGGAGCAAGAGCTCTTCGCTAACGCCAACGTGCTCACCCAGCTAGCACTCTTCTTGCTCAACGTTCACCGTGCAAGCGGCAAGTGGGGTGGACCCAACGCTCCCGCCCGGAGGAAACCGCAGGGTGAAGACGGCGAGAATGGCGAAGACGGCGACGCAGAGGAAGAGGCTCCGGTGGCGAACAAGAGCATTGTCCCGTTGTTACTCATCACGCGCAACCCGGCCCAGAACTGCTTCCTTGTCGTTGGACTGACGTGCCCCTCCACGCCTGGTGAGATCCACCGAAAGTAAGTGTTTGCTGGCATGATTGTTCCTGTGACGTTCAAGTGCAGTGCTGACTTATCTTGTTGATTTGATTTTATAGCACGCTTGGTACGGCGTTCAAGTTGGCTGCGGGTGAAACAGGCGCCAACTTCCGACAGGACGGCTTCACGAGCGCCGTGATGGAAATTCAGATCGACGAGATCCAGTACTTTGTCGAGCAGCTCCACAACGTGCTGGACGCTTAAGGCGGATAGCTCGGTGGTAAGGTAACTAAGTAAATAGATGCAAGGGATGTTGAAGGGTGTATTGCATTGTATTGTATGTTTCACTTGTTCAGATGTCTATCACAACGAATTTGCTGTCTCTATGATGCTCTATCGAATCGCGCGGAACGAGTGCGACGTGTGCAACGCCTTCGGTCCCGGGATCTCCGAGTCGCCAACGATGCTGACCCCGCGCCGCTTCTTGTGAAATTCACCTCGGACAAGCGGGACGAAGCACACGGGCATCAGTTTGCGGTGGATAAAGCTGGATCCACGTCGAGTGACGCCAACAAGAGCTTGACCTCCGCGTGGGTCGTCAACAGGTACGACAAGCTGTCCACCGTCAGCTAACTGGTCCAACAGAGCCTGCGGCGGAGAGGAGACGGCTGCGCCGACGAAGATGAAGTGGAAAGGTGCCTCCGCGGGTAGACCGTGCCACCCATTGTAGCAGTGGAGAGACAGCACACCACTCTTCATCAGATCAGGGGCTGCGTTTAGCACGTTCTTGCGTGCAGATTGAGCAAGTGCCGGCAGCAGCTCGAGTCCAAACACGCGGCCATCCGCGTCGTCCACAAGGCGGGCAAGCGCAGCAGTCAAGTATCCGGATCCTGCACCCACATCAAGTACGCGCGGCTTGAGTACACCTGCAAATGTGGCGTGGGCCAGCTCCAGGACGTGCGCGTGCTGTACACGCATTGACCGAAGTTATCTTGTGGAACAGTGCAGGCTCGCTGCAGTGGAGTATACTTACCATGTGAGGCGCCGAGATGGTCTGGTTGAAGCCGATGGGGCACGGTGAGTCCTGGTATGCCTCGTCTTGCACAGCTCGCGGGACGAAGAGAGCTCGGTCGGTGCGCTTCATGGCGTCGAAGACTGCGTCGGAGCGGACGATACCTTCCTTCTGGAGGTTCTGCACTAGCCCTTCGTTCGTGGACGAGCTGCAAGGCCAAAGCGGCAACATGGGCGCCATGGCCTCCCCTCTTTTGGTGACGAGCACGTCGCGAGGTTCACAGCTTGGCTGGCGAGGGAGGGGCCAAGGCGACAGGAAAGTCTCAGCTTGGCTTGGCAGGGGGGGTTCTAGAATGGAAGGACCCGATACTACAGCCAGACCCATGCGATTGCTCAGACCACCAAGCCTCCAGCAATTCAGCAGTTGCCTCGACATGCGACGAGCAGGCTTGGCTTCGAACCTGGCCCGCGGCCACTCACTATAAATATTGAGGACGATTAGTACACGACCAGATAAGACACCTGGAATAGCCGAAGGAATGATGCCATCTCTGTTGAGTGTAGAGGAAAGAGAACACGCGAGCTCTTAAGGCGATTAATAAGATACTTGCACACGAACAGTGACAAGCTCAAGTTGAAGTTGTGGTCGAATTCTTTTGTGGTTTAGATACGGTCAAGCTAAGCGTAGAAAACTAATGGATGGTCAACACTTTCTGGGGCTACGGTACCACTGCAACTCCATGGGTTCTCGGGCCCTTTCAATCTCCCGGCACCTTCCTCAGCTGAGCTTGCGCTCTCTCACGAGCGGCACGTAGCAGACGCCAAACAGTCGGCGCTGCGAGAAGTTGATGCCATGTCGCATGATCTCCACGAAGATCTGGCCGCCGCGCGGCTCGTCCAGCGGCAGCACGAGGCGTCCGCCGTCCGCGAGCTGCTCCATGAGGTTCTGAGGCGGGGATTCGGCTGCAGCGCCCACGTGGATGTAGTGGAACGGAGCTTCGTTCGGCAGTCCGTCCCACCCGTTGTGGTAGCGCACGGACACGATCCCTCGATCCATCAGGTCGCCGTCGGCCATCTGGATGTTCTTCTTGGCGAACTGCACGAGCCCCGGGACGATCTCCAGTCCGAACACGTGGCCGCCTCTGTCTTCCACCATGCGACCCAGACACGCCGTCAAATAGCCCGAGCCAGCTCCAACGTCCAGGATCCGTGGGTTCTTCACGTCCTTGATCGCCGCGTAGCCGAGTTCCATGGCGTGGCCGTGCATGTGGGGAGCTGAGATGGTCTGGTGGTAGCCGATCGGGTGCGGGACGTCTTGGTACGCTTGCAACTCGCCCACGTGGCCTCCGTCGGGCGTCTCGATCTGCGCCAGGTACTTGGCCCGATCCGTCTTGACCATCGCATCGAACACAGCGTCCGAGCTGATGACGCCCGTGCGCTTCAAGTTCTTGACCAAGCCCTCGTTGCTCGACGAGTTGCACGGCCAAAACGACATCTCGGGTGACTGCGTGCGGTACGAGAAGCGGCGGGTGGTAGTCACTTTCTTGCTGAAGCGGAGCGTCCTGCGAGCTTCTTGGGGATTCCAGGCAAAAGCCAAAATGGAGATGGAGACGGACAAGACCCAACGGGATCCCTGGAGTCTTGAGTCTCGATCCGACAGTTGAGTCTTGCGCAAAGTATCTCAGTTCTCCATCGCCCGTTCCCAATCAGCGACAGTCTTGAAGCTCAGCTGTGTGCTTTGGTATCCGCCATCTTGCACCAAAGTGATATCGTCCAGTCCCAACTGTATCAATAAATATGAGGCTCTGCTCTATGCAGCGCTGATTTCGTCCAAGAAGAACTGGAAGAGGTCCACCAGCTTCTTGGCTGTTGGACGCTTCTTCGGGTCGCTTTGCAGGCAGTCTTCAATTGCACCTGATAGTTTGTCGACGATTGCGCTTGAAGAAGACAATGATACAGTCAACGAGGCGGCAGAAGACGTCGGCGTGGTGCCGAAGCTGCTCTCGTCTGCTTCGGCATCTGTACCGCCAATATTCGCCAGCATACGCAGCTTGCTCATGAAGTGATGCATCGCAGCGTTGTGTAGTTTGCCCTTCTGGACGGCACTGGCAGTTCTGGGAAGGGACGAATCCTCCTTGCTTGCACCTGCACTCTTTGATTCGTCCTCGTGGTTGTCCATACTCAGCGTCAGCTTCTTCGGTCGACTGCGCACCTCGAACTCATCGTTTGGTCGGTCGTTCTGGAAGAAAATGTACGAGTGGAACCAAAGTTCCAGTAGGAGGATGCCAACGCTGTAGATATCCACGTGGAGGTGTCGTGAGTTGTGATGCAATACCTCCGGCGCCACCAACGGGATCATCGGCCCAGCCTGCTCTTGAGAATTTCTCCTTTCGGGCTGCAGGAATCGCACGCCTTCTCCTTCCTCCTCGGAGTCGGAACTTTGCACCGCGGGGGCATCAACTAGGAGGACGTGGGTAGCATGATGCTTGTCGTCACGGCTGTGGTGACGAGCATCGCCAATCTTGCAGCGGAGCAGCTCGGTCACCATCACGTTCCGACTCCGCAGGTCGCTGTGGGAAATGCCCTTGTTGTGCATGTAAGCGAGCGCCTTGCAAATGTCCAACGCCATCTGGAAGCGCGTCACCAACGCCCTCTTCGACATTCCATAAGCTGTAGCTTGGGACGGGGTCGAGTCGCTATCCGCAGATGAAGCGGATGCTTGGGACACCGAGGAATTGCTGAAGTTGGGGCGGTCGAGTGCGTCAACTTCGAGCACAGCGGCGAGATCGCCGCCCTTGACGTATTCAGAAATGACGCACAAATGTTCAGGATCCGACCACATCGTGCCCAGGCAAGCGACGATGTTCGGGTGGTGTAAAGCGCCCAATAGTTCCACGTCCTTGATAGTATCCGCGAGCTCCTTGACCTCAAAACGCAGCGTCATCATCCGCTTGACGACGACTTGCGTACCGCAGTAGTCACCCAGGAAGATCTCGCCGTGGTAGCTGCGACTGAGGATGCGGTGCATGTGGAACGTCTCCCACTCCACGTCGTTCCACTCACGCGTCGCCTCTTGCTCATCCGGAGGAAGCGCACGCCAGCGCTTCTCCTTCCGGATCTGGAAATAGTCGCGCAAGGTGCTCAGCACCAGGTCCTTGGTTTCTTCCGGGAGGTCGTAGATGCGGAACGGCAATTCGCCACGATCCGACGCATCGTCGTCAATCTCATCATCGAGGAGCGAATCGCTTGGGCTTGTAGGCTCGGCTAGTTGATGCATCATTAGGCCCATCCGCCAGTCGTTCATGGCTTCTTGCTCCTTGATGTCCATCTTGCGCGTACGCTTGGAGCTCTTCATGATCAGGTAGAGCAGGAACTTGCTGCTGAAAATGATCCCTGGAATCGCGATCCCCATCGATAGCGTGAGCCAGCAGAGCATGTTGCACTCGAAGTCTCTGCACATGGTGCGGTCAGATTCCAGGTCTGACGAGTAGGGGCAATACAGACACGCTATGGCGCCATCTTCCTCTGAATACGCACGAGACGACACTTCGCTGCATGCCACACATGTCCCGGTCGAATTGTCGTGAAAAGTGCCCGCAACGCACTGAATGCAGCCGTAAAGTGCCACGTCGGATCCTGAAGAGGATGTCAGGTTAATCTCTTCGAAGATGCTGCCGTTCGGGCAATCGTTGCGCATATCCACGTTTGATGACCATCCAATGCCCGGGTTGTTCAGTAGAGTTCTTCGCAGTCAAATAGCCAAACAGAATAGAAGCGTAAGCGTATTGCAACAGTAAAAGCGGTGCAAAACACAAGCTCGTACATGTTCGTAAGCAGCTTTTTGACGAGCGCAATGAAGTTGGTACTGGGGATAGATGTAATCAGGTTGGAGTCGAAATTCCTGGAACACATTTAAGCTAACATCAGCAAACCAATGACAAAACATACATACAAGTTGCCTTCGTACATGAACTCGATCGTAGACATGATTGGATCAAAGACAGCGGAGCTGAAGTTCACGATCCGATTGCTGCTAAGATCTCTGGAAGTATTCAGATCAGACCCCACGCGAGAATATCAGTGAAACAACGTCGGCTAGTAAGGATACAATGACACATCAAACTTACAATGTCTCGAGTCCCGTGTAAGGTGCGAGGGCATCATTCGTCGAAATAGACCACAGGTAGTTACGGCTCATATTCCTGTCACGTCAGACGGCATTGTCAGTAACAGTACATGTCAAGCAAAACACTATAAGTATGACTAAAAGATCACGCACAGGTAGGCCAGATCGGAGGCTAGAAATTGGTCCGGGAAGTCAGGCATGAGGTCGAGCAGATTTTCTTGGAGCTCTAAGACCTCCAGGTTGGCTGGAACCGAGGACAACGTCAGCCGATGGATGTTGTTGGCGGCTAGCCTCAGCTCCTGGAGTCCGTCAATATCTTCGAACGCGTCCTCATCAATAACTGAGATAACGTTGTCGCTCAAATTCCTGATCAGTAGTAAAATACCTTGTCAGAACGATCGTATTTACATTAAACCAACTCACCCGGAGAAAGGAAGCACGTACAATTTCCTCAGCGCCGACATCCCCGAAAATGCCTTGGAATTGATGGTGAAAATGGCGTTGGATGCCAATCGAAGCTCATTAATCCCTGAAGCACCAGCAAAGGCTCCTTCATCAAGCTCCACGAGCTGGTTGTAGTCGAAAGAGCTGCATTCACACAAACATTTAAGTGAGGAGAACGTCACAAAATTCACAATATCCTCACACTCGCCGCACATGTATCCTTCCGCGACGGCATTCCGAATTCCAGAGGGCACGTCCAAGATGAGGTTGTGGGAGAAGTCCAGGGCCTTCCACGACGAAGACGCCGTCAGCAGCTCGTTCGGGATCGACTGCAGCTCGTTATACCTCAGGTCTAACGTATGCAGCGCCGTCAAATTCACGAACGCGTCTCCATAGATCTTCGACACGTTGTTCTGAGCCAATAAACTAATCAAAACAACTCCAGCTTAGTCTGCAACATTTCACAACAACGACAATAAACAACTTGACCACATACATGTATTGGAGCTTGGGCAGATTCACCAGCGCTTGTGACTGCACCGTGTGGATAGAGCTCCCATTGAACGAGACCGTATCCAGCAACGGACAATTCATCGCTAAACTTGTCGGTAACACCGCCACCTTAGTATTGGTGCAACTACACAAGCAAAAAACTCAATAAATTTGCAAACCCAACCATTAAAAACGAAAACTTACAGCAGAGTCTGGAGACTTGACATGTCGACAAAAGACTGCGTTTCCAGCGCCGTCAACGGGTTGTTCGAGATATCTCTGCATAACAACACACAAAACCACCATTCACCAATTATTTTGCAACCCCTAGCAATATTACCAAAAAGCGTAGACTCACATGGAGGTGAGGCTGCTGGCCGTCTGGAAGAGCGACGCCGGGATGCTCGAGAGCGAGTTGTTCTGCAGGAACAGGGTCTTCTCCTGCGCGAGTTCCGAGGCCGAGAGCTCCGACACCACGGTCCCATCGCTGTAGAAGGCGAAGGACAGCGTGGATCCGCTGCCAGAAGCCGTAACATTTGTGAGCTGCCGCCCCGAGAGCTCCAGACTGCAATAACATACATAAATGGACAATATTAGTCGATAATAACAGATAATTGTCAATTGCGGCGTCAATACGCAGCGGTTGGCGACAAACAAGGCTACTATGGATAGATAAGACGACGTAGATGTTGATGCAACTGAGATTCGCACCATTCCGCGCTTCCTGCCGCCACCGCGAGCGCTGCAAGTTGGAGCACGCGCCTGCAGAGACGCCTCATGGTGTCGCTGTTTTTTCGAACTGAGCCTCTTGACAATCAATAACCAATTTTGCAATTAATTCCAATTTATTTACAATTCTAGTCTTGAAGTAAAGATGGCACACTGTACCACTTCAGCTTCGAGCTTGCGTCGACGCCGGATGCTCAATAGCAGAGCGGAACCCTCGGCGCCATGTTCCTGCAGCCGCGACACACGCAGACGGAGCTCCACGGCTACTCGGTGCGCGCGTTGACTACAGATATCTGCGATGTGTCACGCAAGAAGCTCGCGCCTAACGTCGTCATTGCCGCCAATATTGGGCTTTATTTAATCAATTAATTGATCAGGTGGAGTTCAGCCCCTTCGTGGACAACTTAGTGGCGGTCGGCACGGCGCAATACTTCGGCATCGTGGGCAATGGACGGCAACACGTGTACGAGATGCTGCCGGCGGGGGGACTGGCTCCGGTACGTTGAGGCTGTTCCAGCGGTTAAGGTGGAGTGAGGTGCTGATTGGGTGTTGTGGGGACAGGTGCGAGCTTTTGACACGCCCCAGGGAGTGTATGACTGCGCGTGGAGTGAGAACCACGGGCAGCAGCTGGTGAGCTCCTGTGCTGATGGGTCCGTGAAGCTCTGGCACCTGCAGACGCGCGACCAGTTCCCGATCCAGAACTACCACGAGCACAAGCAGGAGGTCTCCGGGGTGAACTGGAACTTGGTGGCCAAAGACTCGTTCGCGTCGGCGTCGTGGGACGGCAGCGTCAAGATCTGGAAACCCGAAGTGCCGCACTCGGTGCTGACGCTCGCGGAGCATTCGAACGCCGTGTATAACGCAGTGTGGAACACGCAGAACAACTCGCTGGTCGCGTCGTGCTCGGGGGACGGCACTGTGAAGATCTGGGACCTCAACAGCGCGCGCTCAGTGACGACCATCGCTGCGCATGGCAATGAAGTGCTCTCGCTGGACTGGAACAAGTACAACCAGTTTGAAGTCGTCTCTGGGTCCGCCGACTGCACCATCAAAGTTTGGGTATGTACTGTACTGTGCCGTCGAGGTTGATAACCGTACATCTAACACTCATTTACATCACTACAGGACATTCGGAACCCGGCTCGAGAGGTGCGATTGCTCCCAGGCCACAGCTACGCCGTCAAGAAGATCAAGTGCTCGCCGCACGACCCGGACGTGATCGCCTCGGCGTCCTACGACATGACCGTGGGCATCTGGAACACCAAGTCGCCGTACCCGCGACTGCAGAACGCGCAGCACCACTCCGAGTTCGTCTTCGGCTTCGACTTCAGTCTCTTCGTGGATGGTCTGGTGGCCTCGTGCTCCTGGGACCGGCATGTGGCCGTGTGGAACTACTTCGGGGGTCCTCCGCCGTCGCCGCCGCGTTAAGTTCGCACTATTGCAGCTAAACCCTCCATACTTAATAATACGATCGCGTTCATCACTGTCAGACATTTTGATACCACAGCAGACAGACATGGAGACGCCCAAGAAGACAGGCTTCTGGACGCAGCACACGGACCCAAGCAGCGGGGTAAGCGCTTGCATCTCCTCTATCGACTCCGCTCTACCACCTGGTCGTGTTCGTTCAGCTAACGGATGCTTTTACATTGCGAAATTCGGTGTCAAACTTTGACCATGAACGCTAGAGGACGTACTATTACAACATGGCGCTGGGTCGGAGCTACTGGGAGCTGCCGCCGGAGCTGCAGGCTCAAGTCAAGAAGCCGACGCTGGATGCACTGCGTGAGTGGGATCCAGAGGCTGCGGAGCGCAAGTACGGCGCTGCGAACCAACAAGTAGTCGGCGAGGACGAGGAGCTCCGTCGCAAGCGGGAGGAGGCTCTGGCCAAGTCCCGCACGGAGGCCGCCGAGGCTCAAGTCGCATCTACAAAGCTCTCGCTGGACGAGAGGATGGCTCTAGCTGCTCAGAAGCGGAAGGCGGCGGAGGTGCAGAACAGCAACCGAGCGACTTCATCCAGCAGCAACGCTGAAGGTTCCAGCGAGTACCTGGAACTGGTGCGGCAGCTGCAGCAGAACGACGACGGGGAGGAAGGAGCCGGCGGCAAGTGGCTAGTCAGGTAGACGACCGAGAGACGAGAGCAGATGAAGCCAATAGTTTATTCCTGAGCGCTCGCTGTGATGCCTGGCCGCTCGTCTCCGTTCTTACAGTTTTTTCTCTCTCTTTCTCTTCTCTAAGAAATCCTTGATGCGTGCCGCTTCTGCAATGGGAAATATATATAATGTTTTGAGTAATTGTTGCAATGTGCATGAGTGGGTTTTACTGCTGCCGACGCACCCGCTTGTAGGCCTGGTACCGGTCCTGGAAGGAAATGGACTTTTCGTCGTGCGCCGCCGACGGCTTCTTGGGCTTGAGGTCGAACAGCTCCTGGACGAAGGGCATCTTGGCCAGCACGCACTTCCACACCACCAGCCAGCTGATGGTCAGCGTGAACAGCACGATGCACACGGCGCCCGATACGTACGCGCCGGTCACCACCAGCTCCTCCAGCCCCATGGCGGTCTCCCAGAGAGTGATTTTCAATACTGGGCTTCTCTCGAAAGTGCGTACTTAGGCACGCTAAGTTCGGATCAACATGGCTTCAACTAGACTTGATGGAGGGCTTCGAAATGCACGTAAGAGCTTCAGGCTCGAGGCGAAGAGCCTCTGGATAATGGTACGATATGTAAGTATCTATTTATTGTATGGGCGGCCACGTAGGCCGCAATACCCGATCAAAAATGCCAAAAACTGAGGACAGACTTGTCGTCGTTCATAGTGTACGCCATTCGCTCACAATGGCACCCGGAGACATTCCACCGCTGCCCCGCTTCAAGAAGCTGCGCTTGAGTTTATCGTGGGCCTAATCAACTAGATCAGAGCTCGTGGTAGCAACTTCAAAACAGCAAGCGGCGTCTCGAGTGTGCACGCATTGCTCCCGGCCTTGCCCCCATGTACTGCGACGTCCTCCGACAGGTCCACTCCAGCATACGAGCGCACTTGGGGCGAGCGCGCTTTGCCCCAGTAACCCCCCTCGGCGGATCCTCCACCACCATGCGAAGCTTCTTCCTCTGCTCCATCTCGAGCTGCTCCCGTGCTCGTTGCTGCTCTCGCTCCAACTCTCGCTTGGTCTTCCGGAATACCAGCGGCTTAGCTAGTGGCTTCGCAGCAGGCGCAGCTCGTGGAGGCTCCTGGATCTCGATCGTTCTTCGACTGGGGCTGCGCGCTCGGGGCATCTCGCTTATCAACCGAGTGCAAGTCTCCTGGTGCTCCAGCGTCGCCAGCGTGCTGTGCAGTGCTCGACTGTGCAGCAGCAGCCCTGACATGGAGTGCCACGACCTCCTGGGCGCCACCTTCGATCGTCTGTGTTCCGTCATAATACTCTAGTCTATGATGATACGCTTGGTAACCTTGAGGAAGCCGGAGGCAGCAGCAATACACAACGATGTCAGTCGAGCTGGATAGAAGCAGCAAGGAGGAGCAGCTATCGCATCGTTCGCACCTGTTGCAAGGAAAGCTCAGTATAGCGCCTTGATGGCAGCTCGACTTGAAGCGGCGATAGGTTGGAGAGGTGCAGACTCGGTGGGGTGACTCCGGGGTGGGAGTTTGCACTCTGCAGCTGACACACGAACGAGCATTTGACGTTTTGCGTGGAGCTTTTCAAAGTTCGGATGTTTGAATTCAAATTGAACTGCCCGCGAACATAGGAATGGCGTGGTACACATGACATCGTTGGTGGTCCACATAACCAAAACTTAACGCGCACTTAAGGGAGCAGACCCCCCCCTACTCTCGCCATACTGAACGCCAGATATTAATACGTTGATCGATCGATACGAGAAGACCGAGGATGGAGGCGCTGCAGGACAAGAAGGTGGAGTTCTTCTCCATGGAGAACATGAAGAGCAACGAGAAGGCCGTCGAGTACGTGCACACGTCCATGTGCGTCATCGCCGGCTGCATCGCGGGCATCACGGGCATGACGGGGCTGCAGGGCTTCGCCTTCCTGGCCGCCGCCTACGTGTTCACGGCCGTGGCGCTCTGGGTCTTCAAGCTCGGCATGGACGTCAAGGTCTACTTCAACACGAGCGCCTTCTCCTTCATCTTCGCGGGCGTCATGTCCCAGGCGCTGTCCTTCATCCTCTTCTGGACGCTCTCCTACGGACTCGTGCATATTTATTGACCGATCGACCGACCCAGCTCCAGCTCCAGAGTACCCAAGCTACACACGTGCAACCCCAAGCAAGGAAGGACCCCTACAGATACAAGATAGCAGTGCAAAACGCAGCGTTATAGTGCTGACTCAAGATTTTAATGCCGTTTGGTGCTCCTGCTTGTCGAACGACTGCACCACTAGACCGACCCCACCATTGACGTCTTGCTTTGCGTACTTGATGCGGTGTGATGCTGTGTCCTTGATGCCTACAATTGCGGGGGAGTGAAGCTAATTCAGCGGCTTGAAGGACACCAGCGCAACGTAACGCAACGCAAACTCTTGTTTCTGGCCTATATTGTAGAATTGCTGCAGCTGGGTGCCCCCTTCCATTATCGGGGGGTCTATTTGCGCTGCGCCTCCTGCATCTTCTGCTGCATGATCATGAGCACGGCCTCCAGCATGTTGCGCTTGCCCTCGATGACGGTCTTGAGCTGGTCCGTGTTGCTCTGCAGGAACTCGACTTTCCGGTCCATGAACTGCTCGGCCTTCTCCACCGACTGCTCCACAAAGTAGCCGGTGCCCACGTCCACGAGCACCTCCTCCTTGCTGGCCAGGTGGCCGGGCACGAACATGGAGGCGGTCAGCGGCACGAGCACCTCCTTGCTCAGGTCGGCGGCCGCCATGCTCTGGAGCGCGTCCTTGGACTCGGAGAAGCGCGACTGGGCCTCGCGCAGGCCGCCGAACGACGCCGTGAGCTGCTGCAGCTCCTTCTCCAGCTGCCCCTTGAGCGCGTTGAGCTGCTCCAGCGACAGGTCCACGAGGTTCACTTCGCTCTGCGCGTCCGCCATGTCGTCCCGATGATACTCTGGAAATGCATCGCCCACCAACGAAGAGCGGGAGTAGTATCCTGGTATTTCAGCCAATCACGAGCGTTAGAATGGATTTACAGCCAATGAGGAGGCGTAACGAGGAATTTCGGGCTTTGTTTTTACCAATTACAGTGCGGAACGGGGCTAGTCCGAGTCGCTCGCGTCGTCGCCCTCGTCGTCCGTGCCCAGGAAGTTCCAGAGCTTCATGGCCACCTCAGCAGCTCGCTCACGTCGCTGCTCGTCAGTCAGATCCTGGCCTTGGTCGCGCACGTTGCGAACCTCGGAAATCAGCGCGCTAAACTCAGCCATGTCAATGTCGTCGTCGTCGTCGCCACCTTCACCTGCGTCTTCTGAGCCAGCACCAGGACCTCCAGCAATCTCCAGAGCCTGCAACAGTGCTTGCAACCTCGAATCATCTGCCGACGCGTCCTGCTCCTCAGTAGTTGCAGCAGTAGCCTCCACCGTCGCAGTCTTGCCCTTGTCCTTGTCCTCCACTTGGTTGTCACTCTTCTGCTCTGCGTCAACCTCCTTCTTCTCTGCTGCCACCTCCGGAGCCGCGTCCTTGGACTTCGTATCCTCAACCTTGGGCGGGTTCATCTCCATCGACCGCCACATGTTGCAGTGCAGCGCCTCCAGCACGCGCTCGATGCCGTGCTTCTCGTCGATGACACCACTGTCGTCGTCGTCGTCCACCGCGGGCTGCTCCGCATCCAGGTCCACGAACTCGAAGCCATTGTCCTGGCACCATCCCTCCATCTTCTTGACGCTCTCGCCCGTGGCCGACGCCGTGCTCGCCGCCAGCAGACACACGTCGTAGGGCAGCGTGTCCACCACGCGCTTGGCGAAGCGCTGCACGTGCAGGAAGCTCTCTCGCTGGCCGGCGTCCACCACGCACAGCAGTGCCTCGTAGTCGTGTAGCGCGTGCTGCAGCGCCGGCTTCGGCGCGTTGTCGCGCACCTGGTGCACGTGCACCTCCACGGGCGCGCGGTAGTACTTGGTGCGCAGGTTCAGCAGCGTCGCATCGAAGCCCTTGGCGTCCAGAGACAGAGCCTCGTCCCCACTCAGCTGGAGCAGCTTGGAGACTACCGCCCACTTGCTGTCCGGGTCGGGGCCCAGCACCAACAGCCGGGATACTTCCGCCATCTCGGTTGATTGATACAGTACGTGAGCTCCTCGTGCCTCTTGGCGCCGCTTCAGATTCAAAAGTGATGTGGAAAATAGTCCGGCGGGCTGGATAATTTAGAGCTGGTCTAAAAATTGGTAAAATGCGACGACTTTATTTTGGTCCATTTTAGTGCCACTTCAACTTGAGTTGACAAATTAGTCGCTCGTCGTCTTGATCTGCACTAGTGTTGGGGGACGCACGTGCCGCACGTAGCTAGCTGTTACCTGGGGACGCGACCTCGAGCGGTTAATGTCCGCAGCCGTTTTCACCAGTAGGAGCAGATTCAAGACGATCACGACATAATAGAAGGCAACATTGATATGGGGTTGCACCCTCGATGCTTCCACGTGCGTGACAGAAACAGCACGGCGTGGCAGTCGCCTCCCTGGACATCGGCTTCATCTGGTAACCCGTACTTGGGGTCTCCGACTTGGTCGGCTGGGTCCACTCGGTTGCTGGAACTCATCATTTCCTCCATTTCGGGGAAAACTTCGCCGTCTTCGAGAAATCGCTTGACGTCGTCGTCGTCCGTGTTCAGCCACTTGCCGTTCTTCCGTCTCGCTAGGTAGAGCGTGGTGACTGTCGTAGGGGCTGAGGAGGGCTTGGCTCTGCATCGTTCAGCTCTTCTCACCGCTAGCTGGAAAATTCAAAACTGGCCAGGAGGAAGCAACTACTGCTTGTGTACCCAAGCAAACTTGAACGTGTAGTCGGTTCCTATAAATTACACACACAGAGATGCAAGATACGTGAGAAATAGAATACTATGTCGTACATGTTCGACGTACCCAATTGAGGGATAGTGGTCTGTAGAAGGAGCACGGTAAATATCACGATCTTGCATTGGATTTTACCCCAATTGCTGGAAACCGCGAATCCAAGTTGTTGTACGGGAAAATTGTAGGTCATCTTGTGAAGCGTCCAAATCAATGTTACGAACAATATGGTCTCCAGCATTCCGTAGATCTGAATGTGAGCGACAACTTCCCAGAAACCAGATTCGTCCAGACCATCGAACTGCGGATAGAATCTGCGGTTGGGCCAGTGGAAAAGGATCACCAAGTAGCAGCCTGACACAGAATGTTAGTGGCGGAAATTGACACAATACACTGTAAAAAGTAGGTTGGTTGCACTCACTGTACGCCGCGGGTATGAGCGTTTTCAATACTTCCGTCAGCAAGAAGAATTCCATAAAGAACATGATCTGCAGAACTTTATGAAGCAGGAAATGGCGCTGCTGAGGCGTCATTTGCTCCACAAGTGCTAACGTCGTGGAATCCGAAGCAACGGTACAATTTCTCGATAGTAAAGTCGGAGAAACCTTTCTTTTCTCAAAAGGGCACGTTGGCACAATTCCAGCATTGCCCTCAACCTGAATAGGGGCTACTCGTGTGATACTTGACAACCGCGAGATATAGTTAGTTGCGCTTTCCTTTCTCTGCATCGAAAGCTTAGACGAGCGAAAGATATCCGATTTGGACGGGAAGGACCTCTTAATCAACATGGGTCGCTCCCCCAGCTCCGGGTATTTCAATGCAACCATCAGCGCACAGGCGATGGCTTGATCTGTACTCTCGTTCGTAGCATCTCTGATGCCGTTGAGCATGAGTCTCAGATCGAACAGTGAAGCCAACATCTGCATAAAGTCGACTACAATGAGCATGGCACTGCTTTTAACCGACTGGAGGTTCTGCATGGTTGACGAGATGAATAGCGCGTTAGTGACGTCCACGTTGAAGGTAACAAGCTCTGGCTTGACGTCGTCCTGCCCACAAAGAAGTCGGCAAAGTACGTTCTTCTGAATGATCTTGAACACTGGCACAAGTACAGCTGCAGGGGTCTGCCATTCGGCTGGAACAGTCTGGAAAATCACATTGAAGGCTACGTACACCAAGCCCGTCGACGTTGTCATGATCATTATTGTCGCAAACCGACGTACTTCGCTTAGAACCTTGGGGTTCTTGCGCAGGAATTCGCCTTTGGACAACTTCAGCGACAGTGCCAAGGTCCAAATCCACGGGCCAGACACGAAAATGAGCGTGAATGGGAGCGGGTACCAAAGCAGCAGTATCATACACAGTGCAGATCCCTCGACGGCTATAGCGGCAGTTATTGAAGAAATAATTAGAGTGCGTCTGGAGATCTCCAGCTCTGGCACATACTGACCAAGCATCCACGAGAGCGAGTACGAATCAAAGAGTGTTACCAATACTCCACGAGCCCACACCGTTCCGCTGTGAGCCAAACCGAGATCGGGCGATTCCAGGGGAAATGCGTCAACAACCGCCGCACAAAGTAGAGGAAGTAGCGGAATCGCGCCCAATATCATCAGCGAGCGTCGAACGCTAGTCGATTCACGATATTTCTGCATGGAAATGAACCGCTCGACCGAGTAGCTTCCGTGCAGTTCGACTTGGATAGACTCCCATCTTCGTACAAGCGCACGAACGCCAGCGCCAACTCGAGCTTCCATTGCTGCAACTTGATCGGGAAGACCAACCTTCAAAAGGGGTTATGAGGGGGGAAGTGTGTATTTATGGACGTATACTACTAAATCGGCGGTATAGACCCAAGAAGAGAACGAAAGGAGCACTGAAATTTATTCTGCGCTTCTTTTAGCTTTGCTAAACAAAATGTTCCATTCACTGCAGACAACCGTAGAGACTTTAGTATCTGGGTATCCACTCGAACTTGAACGTGTAGTCCGTTCCTACACAGTTGAAACAAATTAGACGAAGAAGATACAATTTGTTTTGAATCCATGCTACTCGACGCACCCATTTGCAGAATTGAAGACTGGAGTAGCGCTATGATCCAGATTAGCAGTTTGCCTTGGATTTTGCCCCAGCTAATCCTGATGGCGTATGCAAGTTGTTGAAGCGGAAATCACAATAACTAGGAGAGCGAACGACCCCATCTCCAATAATCCGTACACAAGCGTGATACAGATATTTTTCCAGAACTGAGCTTCGTCTACCCCGTCAAACTGCAAGTGAAAACACACACACGCGTTAGCAGTAGTACCACAATATATGGAAGCTTACAGTACAGTACTCACTGTACATCACGGGCGTGAACACTTCAATAAACTCCGTGAGCAAAATGAATCCGTGAAAAACAAGATCCGGAGAACTTTATCAAGCAGCAAGTAGCGCTCTCTCCGCGAGATCCTCTCTATACACGTTGCACTATTGACGCCACGTTCGACTGTATACCTCCCCTTCGGAAAAATCTGTGTTCCAGAAGGTGAACCCGATATGCCTCTGGCATTCTTTGCAACAGGCATCGGTGCTATCTGTGTCAACCTCGGCCCAATTTTGGCTAAAGTCTTGAGGATGTTCCTCCGGTGATATACCGTAAAAGAAATCAGCCTTCGACTGAGTTAAACTGTCGGTCGCTGACCCTCGATCCACAAACTCCGGGCACTTGGTTGCGATTACTAGGGCGACATTCACAGCTTCAGCGGTGTTGATCCGCATCTTCGCAGTTATTCCCTCCAAGCTCTTCAACATGAGCATTAGATCACACAGCGACATCATCAAATGCCCCAGATCTATCATTATGAGCAGGATGCTGGTGCTGATGGACGTTTCTCGCTCCATAGTCGACGAAACGAAGAACGCGCTGGAGATGTTGAGGTCATCTCAGGCAGGACGTCGTCTCTTCCTCGGAGAATCCGCCGCAGCACGTTCTTCTGGGTGATTTTGAATATCGGGGCGAAAAGTGCAGCGGCAGGCTGCCAGCGGACGGGGACACTCACAAAGATAACTTTAAGTGCCGTGTACACCAGCACGGTAGACGTTTGCGTTATCGAAACCACAGCAAACCGACGGACTTCTTGCAAAACTTTGATATTTTCTCGTAAAAATTGTCCTCTGACGTCAGAGGTATAGCGCCACAGCCAGAGTGAAAATCCATGGACCGGACACCCACAGCACCGAGAATGGCAGCGGGTAGCACCACAACATTGCCAGCAACAATACCATACCGTGAATTGTTATACTTGCAACAGCTGATGCCAACAATAACACGCGTCTAGAGACTTGAAGCTCGCTCACATAGTGACAGAATATCCACGAGAGAGCGTAGGACTGGATGAAACCTGCTAGGAACCCTCGAACCCATACTGTCGCACTGCGTTCAAACCCGAGGCTTGGCGACTCCAGTGGAACTGCATCGATAATTGCCGCGCAAATCAACGGAGGTAATGGGGCAGTTGCCAATATCCCGAACGCGCGCCAAGTACTGGTGAGTTTGCAGTATTTCTGCATCGAAGTGAACCGCTCAACCGCATAGCTGCCATGGAGTTCCACCTGGATGGACTCCCATCGTCGTACCAGCGTACGAATGACAGAGCCAACTCGAGAAGGAATTCCACTCATTCACCGCAACTTGATCGATAGGATAGGTAGGAGTTAGGTGAAGAGGAGTATTTAGGGATGTTCTACTTAAATTGGCCAATTCTGAAACTCAAAGAGATACCCATCACGGCGAGTACAATCGTTATTTAGTGTATAGTTTACCCTTCCTTCAATGCTGTCTGTCTGATGCTTCTCGGATAGTCAGGGTACAGACTTAACCGCGTCATGAGCTCACAAATTTAAAGGTGAAATCGACGCCTGTAAGAGTACAACACGTTAGGTACGCCGCCATTTACCTGAAACATTCAAAGTCAAACAAGTATCTTACCGAAATGCGTCACTCGAAAGCACAGCGTGAGCATGCTCCACACCATCAATTTGCACTGGATCAGGAACATCTGCGTCTCCAAAACGAACGCGAGATGATCGATCATTCGCATCCCGCAGTTGCGTTTAATCACCACTGCGAGCACCGCAAACGATGAAACCTGTAGCAGTCCAAACACGAAAACCGAAAGTACTGTAGCCCCCACACTCTCACGCGTGATGCCCGTCAATTCTGCGTGGTATGGCGCACTGGGGAAGTGCACCATCAGCAGCATGTAGCCACTGTAAAGCACCGGAACCACAGCTTCCAGATAGGCAGTGACGACGACGCACTCCATGGTGAAGAGAGCCTCCAGCGCTTCCCACAGAGAACTCTTCTTTCTTGTTAAATGCAACGGATTGACCACAACCGAAGCAATGGGATGGATTTTTCGCGCGTAAGTAGCTTCGTCTTGACCTTTACTTTGACGCTGGATGTTAGCGCGTGCTTCTTTTACAGAGATCTCCAGTTTATCCAAAATTTCTTCATCTTCTGGTGATAGTTGGTGCGGAATGCTAGAGCGTATCCGAATACTCGGGCAGAACTGCTTGTCGTACTTCACATGATCTCTACACACCACGGCGGTGGAGACCAGAAGATTGCCATTCCGCCGACTAGCTTTAGCCATTAACTCCATACTGGTTCGGATCGTCCTGGTCTTGACGTGTAGCCCGTAAATCGTGATAGCAGCCTGGGATAAATCCGCTATAGTCATTGTGGTGATAGCAGCAGTGGAGGACGCACTCTGCATACACGTGGCCACGTAGATCGCGTTGAAGTAGTCCACAGTGAAGATGGCAGTTTGCGGCATCATGTCTTCCAAGTAAATTGTGCATCGCAGCACCATATTCTTGGCGAACACTTTGATAACAGGGAGAAGCAGTATGACCGAAAGTTGATACTGCGTGCCTTCTGCAACTCGAAACAGCGCCTCGTACGCTGGATACGTGAACAAAAGTGTGAATTGTATGGTCACAAATGCCATGTAGCGAATGAGCTGGTCCCGTTGTGAAAGCATTTGGTGGAAGATGCGAGCTCCGGCCACAATGCGGAACACGACGATCTGGACCAGATAATACATTGGACCAAACACCAGCACGAAGAACGGAACGGGAAACATGAAATGCGCCACGATGGGGAGAGTACAAGCCGTGAATATGGTCGACGTACACCCGGCCACGAGAGTTAGCTGGACCTTTGAGAGCGACACGCCTTGGATAAAGTACGGGCCTTGGCCGACGTTGGTTAGATTCACCACGAACGCGACGATGGTCAGGCGGATCCAGAAACCGTAATTTACGCGCCAGCCGTCGGTCGGGTCTTGCAGCGAGTGCCGATACACACAAGGAGCACGCGCAGCAAGGGTGCATTTCTTGTGTACGCTTCGAGTGCCAGCAGTCGGTGGATGGAGTACTTGCCGCCGTGGTAGCTGACCTGCACTCGCTTCCAAGCCAGGAGAAGCCTTGACCCGTAGGTCACTAGCATCGCCCCCATAGTGGAGAGTTTGGAGACAATGCAGCAACGCTTGGACACCTATTTATGGAGGCTAGCTGTTGAGCGTAAAGGCAAATGCGTGCTGAGCTTTCAGGCAGTTAGCTGTCAGTGTTAGATCAGTTGGTTTGCGTTGGTACAGATTCGGGATGAGGACGCGAGAAAGATATAACGAAGGGGCGCCATTTGTTCAGAATATTTTGTTTCACCAAACCAGGTTCAAAAGACCCACTCAGTGTATGTGGATCCACTCAAACTTGAAGGTAGTCCGCTCCTACCGGTTGAACATGTTTTCAACAAAATTTTAGCCAAACATGCTAGGCGTTCGACGAGAGGACATGGAGAAGAGATCGGCCTTCGATTGGGGCAAACTGTCGGATAGTACAAATATTGTTCGGCCTCGTAGATTTGGGTACTTGGTCGACGAGATCAAGAACGCGTTGGAGATCTCAACGTTCAAGATGACCATTTCAGGAATGACGTCGTCTTTTCCGTCCAGAATTCGGCGCAGCACGTTCTTTTTTGCGATCTTGAACACCGGGACAACAAGCGCGGCGACCAGCTGCCAGCGGATTGGAATACTGGCGAAGATAACGTTAAAAGCCGTGTACACTAGCACTGTAGTCGTCTGCGTGAAGAAAACCACTGAAAATCGACGCACATCCTGTAGAACTTTGACATGTCTGCGCAGAAATTCCCCCCTCAAGATTCCAAGAGCCACGGCGAGTGTGCCAGCCCAAGGAATAGATACCCAAATGAGCATGAACGGCAGTGGATACCACAGCAAAAAGGCGAGAGACGACGTAAAAGCGTTGATAGCTACAGTCGTCGCTGTCGCTGCGAACAGTAATTAGCGGTTTGATAGTTGAAGTTCCGTCACATAATCCCAACATTGTCACAAGATAGCGTAGGACTGGAAGAAGCCCACTGCCAATCCACGAACCCACAGCATCGAGTTTAGGCAAACCCGAGATCTGGTGACACTCCGACCAAGCGCCTTCTGCGAACTGCCAGGGTTAACGAAGAAAAAGAAGAAGAAGAAGAAGAGGAAGAGAGAGGACTCGAGTGGCTGAAGAAGTTGGTGCCTCAGGCGCTTCTGAAAAAATATCAGAAAGTGACTCCTCACCTGACGAAGCTCCCGGAGGAGCACGTGGCTAACCTGTTGGCGAAGACAAGACGGAGCTCCGCACAACGACTTTCAGAGACTGGTACAAGGCGGGCCTCGATGCAAGTCACCTGAAAGACGTATTGGGGACGGATGCAGCCTCGATGAAGCTGCTTCGAAGGTACACGAAGTTCCTATCTTCATAATAGGGGGCGCGTTTCGACCGACTGAAGGACGTACTTCAAGTACATTTCAATCCAATGGCAGACTTTGAGTTGAAAAAAAAATTGTAGGGAGAATGTCCTTTTGGCCTTAATGCTTGTGTATCGATTGAAACTTGGAGGTGAAGTCTGTGCCTGAATATTTACACACACACCGCCATTATTATAGAGTACGATAATACAATGTGAACATCAGTCAACGTACCCAATTGAGGAATCGTCGAGTGCACCAGCACTAGCAGCCAAATCACCAGTTTACACTGGATCGTCCCCCAATTTCGATTCACCGCGTACGCGAGTTGCTGCAACGGGGACTTGTAGGCCATTTTGTGGAGCGTCACTATCAACACCACGAACAACACAACCTCCAGTATCCCGTAAAGCTGAATGTGGCCGATAGTAAACCAGACCGCGTCATCGTCAAGACCCTCCAACTGGGAATAAAATCTGCGGTTGGGCCAGTAGTAGAGAATCACCAGAAAACAACCTGACGATAAGCGCAACGGTTAGTTTTCAGGAGCATATTACGGCTAATGAGCCACTTACTGTACATCAGAGGTGTGAGCGCTTTCATGAACTCGCTCAGCAGGAAGAATTCCATGAAAAACATGACTCGCAACACTTTTTGTAGCAGCAAGTGGCGCTTCTCAATGGTTCGAGAACTCACTCCAGCGACACTTTTATCCGATAATAAAGGTGGAGATGGTACGACCCCCATGCTGCTTCCAACCGGTTGAGGGGAAACTTGTGCTCTGCTTGAAAATTTCACAATAGCGTCGGTAGTTATTGCAGCTGTAGATACTCTGAAAACTTCCGCCTTGGATGGACCGGATATTGTGTTTTGTTTTGCCAGCTCCGGGTACTTGGATGCAATCATAGCCGCTCTGGCGATGGCTTGTTCGGCTTCCTCGTTCGTAATATCTCGGATTTCCTTGAGCATAGCCCTCAGGTCGCCCAATGAGGTCAGCATCTGCATAAAATCTAGCACAATAAGCATCGCGCTGGTATTGCAGGACTGGAGATTCTGCATCGATCACGAGATAAACAACGCGTTGGCGACCTCAACGTTCAACGTGACGGTCTCGGGCTTCATGTCATCTTTTCCACAGAGCAGCCGGCAGAACAAGTTCTTCTGGATGATCCTGAACACTGGAATGGCAAGAGCTGCGAGCGTTTGCCACTTGGTTGACACGGTTTGAAAGATAATGTTGAACGCCGTATACACCACCGCGGCTGACGTCGTCATGATCAAAATGGCCGAGAAACGACGCACTTCGCTTTGAACTTCTGGATGTTTGCTCAGGAACTCGCCTCGCATTAGTCTCAGTGATACTGCAAGCGTCCCTAGCCATGGACCCGAGGTCCAAAAGAGCGTAAAAGGAAGCGGGTATCAATGCAACAGCATGAAGCCCAAAGCCGCGATGTGGAGGACTGCAACTGCAGCTATTGCAGTGACCAATAGGTTCATTTTCGACAGTTTGAGCTCCGGAACATAGCGAGAAAACATCCACACGAGCGCGTAGGAGACGAGAAAGCCCACGAAAAGCCCCCGGACCCATAGTGTTGCACTGTGCGCCAAGCCGATAATCCATACGCAAGGGTCGAGAAGATATTTTTCCAGAATTGAGCTTCATCAAAACCATCAAACTGTGGATAGAACTGGCGGTTGGGCCAGTAGAAGAGGATCACCAGGTAGAAACCTGAACCCAGCACTCACAAGGTCAGCCTTCGTATCGGAAAATCCTGAAAACATTGAGCTACCGGTAGCACGGGCGTGAACACTTCGATAAATTCCGTGAGCAAAATAAACTCGGTGAAAAACATGATCTGGAGAACTTTGTCAAGCAGCAAGTGGCGCTCCAGCGTCGAAATCCGCCCGATTGCCGCTGATGCATTTGTGCATCTCTCTATCGGCAATACTTGAGCGACTTGTGGCAGTATCTGCGCCACAGTCGGTCCGGATTTGTTGTTGCTTGGTCTTCGGAAAGTCGCCAAGACCAAGATGTCAGCCTTTGTTTGCGATACGCTATCGGTCAATGCCTTCCGGTCCCCATCCTCCGGGTATTTCGTCGCAATCGTTAGCGCAACAGCGACAGCTTCAGCGGTGGTAATGCCCATTTTGTTAACGATTCCTTCGACGCTCTTAAGCATAAGTATTAGATCACACAGCGACAACACCATGTGCACCAGATCTATCACGATAAGCAAGATGCTCGTGTTGATAGACGCTTGCCGCTGCATGTTGGACGAAATGAAGAACGCGTTGGAGATTTCAATGTTGAAAATGATCATTTCAGGCTTCAGATCATCCTTTCCGCGGAGTAGTTGGCAGAAAATATTTTTCTGCGTGATCTTGAATATCGGGATGATAAGTGCAACGACAGGTTGATACTGGATCGGAACACTAATGAAGATAACGTTGAACGCCGTGTACACCAGAACTGTAGACGTCTGCATCAGCGAAATAACCGCGAAGCGCCGAACTTCACGCAGAACTTTGGTGTTTCCACGTAAAAGGTTTCCTCTGGAAAGTTTTAACGCCAACGCCAGTGTTCCTATCCATGGGCCAGACAACCAGAGTGTCGTGAACGGCAACGGATACCACAGTAAAGTAAAGAGACCGAGTGCAATGACGTGAACAACGGCAGCTGCTGTTGTCGAGGTTAACACTAGAAAGCGTCTGGAAATTTTTAACTCAGCCACGTACTCATTAAATTGCCATGAGAGCGCGTAGGAGTTTAAGAACACCATAACCATCCCACGAATCCACAACGTCCCGCTATGCGCTAAGCCGAGATCGGGTGATTCGAGTGGAAATGCATCGACAAGTGCCACACAGGTCAACGTCGGGAGGAGGGTAGTCGTTAGGCTAACCGGATTTTTAGGTCAATCCTACATTTTGGTCACGGGTCAAATCCTTACTTTGGTCACGTGACCTAAGCGAATGAGGTCACATGTAATTCGCAAACGGTTTGGTTGTCAAGTAAATGCGTTATAGCGATTCTGCTCCTGACAGATAGCGACTTCCGCACCATTATTCCGCGCTGTCGTAGTCAAAAGAGTCGTCTGGACGATAGTCTGCTGTCTCATGATCCATCTCGGCATCGTCGGCCTCTGAACCCACAGCACTAGAGCAGGATCCAGGGTCATCAGTGGCGATGGTAGGCTGCTCTCATCAGTCTTTGCTCTTCTCTGACCCCACAATGTCGGCGGCCTGACGCAGTTGAGGCGCACTCGGCAGCTGGAGACGTTTCCGCCGAGGAGGCCTACCGAGCCTGGAATAGATAACAACGCGCGGTGCCGCATATTCGTGAGAAATACCTTTTCGTGAACTACATTACGCGATGGGGGCCGTCTCATGTTGAAGTGTCAAGCTCGAGTGTCAAGCTCGAGTGCTGAGCTGTGGTGCGATGGGCTAGCTACTTCTAGGCGCGTATAAATTTTCTAAGTGAATACTACAAAGCACGAAATAGAATCCGGAGACGATGTCGAAATTTCATAATGGGTTCCCTGTGTCGACGAAGTTGTTCATGGGAGGGTGAGCCGGTTGCCTCGCTATTACACTGTGTAATTTGTAATAGTTGAGTTGCGTTATTGTGTAGAATGAAAGCTAGGTGCAATTCTGTATGGTATGCGGCTCAAAATATAGCATGGTACTACTAGCAGTGAGATATGGTAGGCAAATACATGATAAGTGCAGTGGAGGTTTCCACAGAAGCGAGCCCAGCCCACTCATCGGGGGGGTCGGTTTGGTAGAAGACGCTGGCAGAAGGCGCTAGCAGGAGTCAGCTGAAACACATACACAGATTACTTTGAAATCAACCTCTTAAGCTAAACAGAGCTTTGGTTTGCTCGGAGCGCTAGCCTCCCTGGTCCTTTATAATAGTGTTCCGAAACCTACTTGCAGCTCTGACTCTTCGCTACAAATACAGTCGTTATGCCTCCGAGACGGCCGAGTCGCGAGGATCTCCCCCGCTTACCGTCGCGGTGGACAACAGTGCTCGCGTCCCTCCAAGCCGAAGCTGGACGCTCGACCACCGGACCTTCACTCTCACTGGCACACCGTAGCAAGTGTGCATATGCTGTCACCTTGCAAGGTAGGCAGAGTGAATTGTAAGCGCTGGAGGATCGGGCATTTGCTAGGCCGTTAGTTAGGCTAAATGACTGCAATGCGCCGCACCTTGAAACGAAACGAGACGGCGAGTCGAGTGTGCGGCCAAATCTGTGCAGCATGCCCATGGCCTTCGGCAACGCTGTGATCCCAGGAACAGCGGGCGGCGGGGTACTCGACTTCGACCTCGAGCGAGGTTACGGGGCCCCACACGTCGAGCAAGACTGAAGGCTAGGTCGAGATAACGCTACGTGACGCTGAGTCCATGAGCTCAAGCGCTGAATGCGAGCGGAGTCCCGTGAGCACGGGTTGGTGACTTTGTACGGTGCTCGTACTGCAACATGGTAGGTAGAATTAGTTTACCCCAACAGGGCTGTCGAATTTGGATTCCGCGGCCATAATTGAGTTGTCCAAGTGGATATTACCATAACTTACCGTAGCTAGCGAAACCGCATGTCCAATCAACTTTTCTTCTTCTGCAAGCACCACCTCCTCTATCTAGGGTATTGCGATCTGCGCTCATACTACGAGCATCACACACGCGTGGTAGCAGCTCACTGTTTAGCAATGTAACTACTGCCCGTGCAACATGCATGGTAGGCGGTCTCTTGCAGTGTAAATGGTAGGAAGCACACATTTTAGCATGGTAAGGACTTGTAGCGCAACATGGTACTTTTACTAGTAGCAAGCACGTTGTGCAAGATGATAGGCAGCCCACAGTGCAGCACTTAGCCAGCTTATACTGTAACACAGCAGCAAGCAGCACGTCGTGTCCTGTAGGAAACCGCGCTGACAGTGTACGAAAGCATTGAGGGAGGTGTCGTGTGTACTGAGAAAACTTGTATGATGTCTGAATTCTTCAGGCTGAAGAGAAGTGGGCCCTCGTCCGCTTCGAAGCTGCATATGCATTTTGATCTCATTCTCTCGCGGGCGTGCGCGCATCTTACCGTCTACATCAATGGGTGTGACCTGTTAAGTTTGGTCACGTGACCTAGCGTCCTGATGTGTGACCTATTTGACCATCATACCCGTGACCAACTGTTAGGATTGACCTGTTTTCCCCTCTTCGGTCGTTAGCACCATAAACACCCACCAACTGCTGGTCGATGTACAGAACTTCTGCGTAACCTTGAAGCGCTCGATCGAATAGCTCCCGTGCAACTCGACTTGGATCGACTCCCATCTTTTTACCAGCGCACGAATACGTGAGCCCATCCTCTGTCGTCAGGGCAACCAGCCTCCAAAGTCAATAGAGATCACAGGACGCGGGTATTTCTGGAATGCCAGCTATGAGCAAGAAATTCACGTTTGACACTTTTAACCTTGATCAAAAGTCAATTCAAAGGTGTAAACTTTGCTATTATTTGTTGTTTTATCCTTTAGTGATCACCTTGGCGACATTTCTGAAGGTACAGTCGACGCCTACAAGAAGCGAAAAAGCAACATGAATGTATAGAATTTGCCATGGGTTCCATCGACAAAGCAAACGTACCGAAGTGAGTCAGTCGCAAGCACAGCGTCATCAACATCCACAGCATGAGTTTGCCTTGAATCAGAGACATCTGCGACTCCAACACAAACGCGAGTTGATACATCGCTCGAATGCCGCAGTTGCGCTTCAGCATGGCACATAATACTGCAAGTGACGCCACTTACACGACACCGAAAACAAAACCAGGCAGGACCGTAGCGCCGACATTTTCTTTCATGATGCCCTTCATTTCCGCGTGATACTGAGAGCTGGGGAGCTGTGCCATCACGAGCATGTTTCCAAGTAGGATGATACGACGAAGCATTCAGCGGTGAAGAGGCTCTCCAGTGCCTTCTGCAAAGTAGTTCCCTCCTGTGGTGAGTCTGTCGAATCCGAAGTTAAATAAAGGGATAAATAAGCCTTTGAGTACAACAGAGCCCAGTTCGGTGCGAGGATGACGTAGTAGTGTTCCTTGGAGACCCGGTGACATCATCTTTCGTTGTTCGATCGGCTTCATCCAGGTTAGCCAACAATTTCAAGTCTGCGGTTGATAACTTGTGCTTAAGGCAGGAATTTTTGTTGATTTTCCCACTTGAATACTGCCTTTCGAGTGTTCCAGGCCCCCTGTACAATGAACTGATAAGAGATAGCATACCGTTTTCCAGGGTTGAATTGGTAAAGCTCCGAAAGCATAGTTGCAGTGCGCCAATATAGGCCGTAAAGCATGGCCATCGTTTGCCCTAAATCGACAGCAACAATCGTTGCTACCGCGCCAGCTGAGGTCGCACTGTGCATACATGTGGCGACGTATATGGCATTGAAGAAATCGACCGTGAAGATCACAGCTTCGGGTACCATGTCTTCCAGATGCTTCACACACCGCAGCACAATATTCTTCATGGTGAATTTCATGGCGGGGAGAAGGAGAATTACGTGAGTACTGAAAGTTGATACTGCGTCCCCTGCGCCGCTCGAAAGAGCGTCTCGTAGGCTGGGTAGGTGAACACGAGCATGAGTTGGCTGGACGTAAACCTTAGGTACTGCATCGCCTGGCCCAAACTGGCAAATGTAAAGCAATGGAGCGAATACCAAGATGAAGAACGGGACAGGGAAGACCGAGTGGGCTACGATGGCAACCACACACACAATGAAGACTGTCGATATGGATGCGGATAGTAACACCAACTGACGTGTTGAGATAGCAACACCGTCAATGAAGTATGGGGCCTGGCCGAAGATGGTGTGGTTTGTCGCGAAAGTTGCTACTGTAGCTCGTATCCAGAATCCGGAGTTGACGCCCCACCCGTCGTTCAGGTCTTGAAGCGGTACGCATTCTTGCAGTAATACCACTGTCGCCATCGGCATTGGAGTCGCGATGCAAACGAAGAGCGCGCGCAGCGATGTTGTGGTTCTGGAGTACGTATCCAGAGCTAGGAGTCGGTAGATGGAGTACTTGCCGCCGTAGTAGATGATTTGACGTCGCTTCCAAGCTTGCAAAAGTCTGGCGGCACCAGTCGCGAGCACAGCCCTCATAGCAATTGTGTCCCGAAAACTATGGACACCATTAGCGTCCAACACAGAGCGCAAGGCAGCGATTAAAATAGTTTTCATTTTTTATTTTGGTGGTGCTGTCAGTATAAAACCCATTGTGGGTTTTATTCTCCACTCCAAATGATGCACGATTCAACCCTCCAACGTGCCCATCGAACTTCCGCTAGCCCCGCAATCGCATTGTGGTGTTTTGATTGTTTCCAACTAATCGCTCTCGAGCTACTCGTAAAATGATGTTTAGTAAAATAATTTTTATCGAGGTAGGATTAGCACGCCCGCGCCGTACAAGTGAGTGAAAATACGCACTCTAGGTGACAGCTCCATTTGAGCCATAACAACCAAATCATAGAGTGTGCAGCTTTCTGTTTGTACCGCAAGTAACGGTGGGTACAGTAAGTACTAAACTTCGGGGCTTCTTCGTGCATTGATACCATAACGCATCAGGCTTTGTGTATCCACTCAAACTTAAGTGTGTGAGTCCGTTCCTATATCAACAACAAATTAGAAAAGTAGTTCATATACGCACAGCGGTTCGCGGACGAATGCGGTATAGCTCCAGCATACTTTCCGACTGGCATTGGGGCTATCTGTGCCGCGCTCGGCCCGCATTTGGTTGTATTTCTGGTCGAAGTCTTTCGGTGAGATGTCTTGTAGCGCTGGATACTTCATCAAAACCATTTGCGCAATACTGACAGCCTCATTGCTGTTAACTCCCATTTTTGCAATAATACCTTCCACACTCTTGAGCATAAGCCTTAGATCCCACAGCGATAGCAGCATCTGCGCCAAATCTATCGCGATCAGTAGGACACTGGCGTTGATGGACGCTTCTCGCTGCATATTGAATGAAATGAGGAACGCGTTGGAGATCTCAACATTGAAGATGACCAGTTCCGGCTTTTTGATCATCTTTCCCTTGGAGTAGTCGACAGAAAATGTTTTTCTGGGTGATTTTGAACACCGGGACGAAGAGTGTAGCGACTGGTTGCCAATAAACGGGGACACTAACGAGGATAACATTGAACGCCGTGTACAAGAGTAGCGTAGACGTCTGCATGAGCGCAAAAACCGAGAAGAGACGAAAATCTTGCAGAACTTCGGGGTGTTCGCGCAAGAAATCTCTCCTTGAAAGTTTCAGCGCCAAAGCCAGCGTACCAATCCATGGGCCAGCTAACAAGATCATTGTGAACGGCAGCGGGTACCACAGCAAAGCAAAGAGACCGAGCGCAAGGACGTGGGTAACTACAGTTGCTGCTGTCGCTGTTAGCACGAGGGCACGGCTGGAGATTTTGAGCTCTGGCACATAGTCGGAAAACTGCCACGAAAGCGCGTAAGACTGGATGAACACCACCGGCAACCCCCGAATCCACAATGTTGCACTGTGGGCTAAGCCAAGATCCGGTGGTTCGAGCGGAAGTGAATTCACAATTGCCACACAGGCTAACGTTGGTAGCAAGGTCGCTACCATCAACGCTAGCGCGTGCCAAATTTTGGTCGAGGCGCAGTAGTTCTGTGTAGACGTGAATCGCTCGATCGAATAGCTCCCATGCAACTCGACTTGGATCGACTCCCACCTCTTGGCCAGCGTACGAATACTTGAGCCCATCCTAGTCTTCGTGGCACCCAGCTTCCAAGTCAAGAAAGCTCAGGACGCGGGTATTTATGGATGTATCAACAAGAAATTCAATGTTCGACACTTTTAACCTTGATCAAAAGTTACATTCAAAGATAATTTGGCTACGGATTTCCTGGGAACATGAATGTGTAAACTCTGCTATTATCTTTTGTCTTATCCTCTGGATATGAACTTGTCGAGATTCTGAAGGTAACAACGACGCTTGCATATAGAAGTGAAAAAAAGTGAATAATACTTCTAAAGTGTATAATTCGCCACGAATTCGGCGCGACAAAGCAAACGTACCGGAGATAGTCGGAATCACAGCGCATGCCGCAGTTGCGCTTGAGCATGACAAATAGTACTGTAAAACCCATTCTGGGTTTTACTCTCCACTTCAAGTTCGAGCCCAAAATGCAGAAACCACACAGCCCAATCTACCTAAACTCGGGCAATCTTCCCTCATTTTACCCAAAATACACACCCTCCACCGCCACCCCAAAAATACTTATCGGAGCTCCTCGTCACACATATTCCTGCGTGACATGGCTTCACTACGAGCACCACCTCCTCCTCCTCCTCCCTCCTCCATGGCCGACGACTGCAGCACAAGCTACGAGCAGCTGTTCCGGTCGCTGGTGCGGCACTCGCGGCTCTTCCCGCTACGCAGCTCGGACGTGGCGCTGCTCCCGTCGCCCTCGGCCTTCTACCGGCAGCTGCTGCGCAACATCCAGCACGCGGAGCGGCGCGTGTCCATCTCGTCGCTGTACCTGGGCACGGGCCAATTGGAGGAGGCTCTGGTGGACGCTCTAGCCTCCAGACTACGCGAACGACCCGAGCTCCAGGTGCAGGTAGTGCTGGACTACTCGCGCGGCCAGCGTGGGGGGCTCACCGCCAGCTCCGTGACCATGCTGGCCCCTCTACTCAAGGAGTTCCCGGACAACGTGGAGCTCTTCCTGTTCCGCGTGCCGCAGCTCTCGGGGATCAAGGCCAAGCTGCCGCCGCCCTTTAACGAGACGCTCGGCGTCTCGCACGCCAAGGTTTATTTAGTGGACGACACGCTCGTGCTCAGCGGCGCCAACTTGAGTGACGACTATTTTACCAATAGACAAGACAGATACGTGCAGCTGACGCAGTGCGGCGGGCTGGCACAGTTCTACCACCAGTTCGTGGAGCTGGTCACGGGCTTTTCGTACAAGGTGAAGCTCGAGACGCTGACGGGGGAGAAGAACGACTACGAGTTGATTGAACCGGTGCTGGCGCACGACTCGGACGAGGCCAAGGCGGCGATGAGGAAGGATATGGAGAGCTTGGTGGACCCGGACAAGCACCACGAGGACAAGGAAGACGAACTTACCGACGCGTGGGCGTTCCCAACACTGCAGTTCACCCCCATGTCGATGGACCATGACGAACGTGTGCTGAGCATGTTCGTGAAGAATCTTCCGCGTGGATCGCAGCTGCAGATTGCGTCGGGATACCTCAACTTCCCGCCGTTTTTGAGTGACCTGCTGGAGAAATGTGATGCTGGACTGGACGTGATCTCGGCGGCTCCGCGTGCCAATGGGTTCTACGATGCTCGCGGCGTGAAGGGAGCGCTGCCGATGGCCTACTCGCTGATTGAGCAGGATTTCTTTGAGCGCACGCTCGGTCGCGAGTTCCCGACGGTGTTGAGGGAGTTCAACCGTCCTGGCTGGACTTTTCACGGTAAGGGCATGTGGTGGAGGCCGCCTCCGCTGCCGGTGACCAACGGATACAAGGCGGAGCTGGGCTTGCCCCAGGTGACCGTTGTGGGAAGCTCCAACTTCGGCCAGCGATCGTACGGATGCGACCTCGAGTCGAACCTCGTGGTGTTCACACGCAACCCTGATCTGCAGCGTCGACTGCAGGACGAGTACGACGCGCTGACTAGAGACTCCGAGGTCGTCACCGAGCAGCTCTGGCGACGACCCGAGCGCATGCTCCACGGCTTATTCAGTTGGAAGGACGGCCACTGGATCCGACCCGTGTCCAAGTTCATTGCCGCGTACCTCTAACAAGCTCCGACTTTAGAGTTCTGGACCAAGTCGATAGAGCTCTACAATTTTTCATTAGAATAGACCTAAGTTTGCCTTGCCGCACATTGCTATGCTATGCTTCTCAGAGCAAGCCACCGACTGTGAGCTGCAAGAAGACACCTGAGAGCAATGGCAGGGTCAAGTTGTCGTCCCACCCGCCGATGTCCAGCAGCTCGGCAGCGGCAGCACTCACTCCTGCCGCCAGAGTGATCGTTCCTGCCACAGCTCCAAACTCATCGTCCACCACGTCGAAGTAGAAGTCCCTCTCCACCATCAACGCTGTAGATGTGGCTGCAGCAGTGACGCAGAAGCAGCCAATGGATCCCTCCAGCGACTTCTTGCCTCCGAGCGTCCCTAGCAACGCCACCAGCTTGTGTCGGCCGTACAGCGTCCCGAAGAACGCAGCCGCAGGATCCCCCACCGACAGCTACAGCACAAGAGTCGAACTGTAAGAAGTCATAAGGTCACAACCTATTCCACCAACCAACTCACGTGAAGAATCGCGAGTCTTGCGACTCGAGGGGGAAACAGAGCGAGCGAGAAGCCCGAGCCCAGTAAGAAGTAGTAGGCCCCAGGCAGCGCCGCCCTGGACACCTCGTACTGCCGCATGATAGAGCGAAAACGCTTGATGTACAGCGTATTCACCGCCTCACTGCGCCCCCTCAACTCGTGCAGCCCGTAGAACAGCACGGCGAAGAAGAGCAGCACCGTGGCGCCCGCCAGTCGACCGAAGAAGCTCGAAGCCGCGTAGATCATGGCCCCCGTCCCCACATGCTGCAGCTTGCGCTGCACGTGCAGGTCTCCGCGGTGCTTGACTCCATTCTGCGCCGCGTCTAGTGGCCGAGCAGACACGAGGTACTGGAACACCAGGATCGCCGCCACGCACGCGGCGCAGGCTCCGAGAGACACTCCGCGCTCCCCATCGCTGGAGGACATCGAGGCTGAGCCGTTATCAACGGATTTGAGGGGGGTTAAACGTATCTCCTGCCGAACCGGCACTACTGTGCGCTGCCTAATGCACACGAGGTGTCGTCAATTTCCAGCGTAGTATCCAGCGTGGTGCACGAGCGAAGCTGTTGTGCTAGATGCACCTGAGTGTGTATCACCACTCGATGGCCTCGTCAATGACGAGGAGAATCCATGGGGTGGAGTGGATTCTCACACGTCACAGATCTTATTCCTGCGACGTGTGAGCAGGTTATTCTCGTCCGGTGCACTGTAGCATTCACCCACTTCCAGCCGCTGGAAGTTTCGTGGGCTTGAAGGTTTGCTGCGCCCAAATTTACGCGTTCCCTGCGAGAGACTGGTGGGTGGGGGTCGTCCCGATCAGACGGCCCAATCCACGGCGCCACGCGTTCTGAGGGAGGTCTCCACTATCCATCTCCGGCCTGAGTTGCGCGTGCGTGCGTGGCGCAGCATGAGTTGCCAAGTAGCGGACTACCGCCTAGTAGACACGGATAGCAGCAGTCCCGACAAGCAGGCGGCTATGATTTACCCCGCGGTGAGACCTTCCGCCACTTCGGAACTTGACATGGGCAGCGACAAGTCCGAGACTTTGATCGAGCGCAATGGACGCAGCGACCCGGAGCTGCAGATGCTGGCGGCCGACGACTTTGAGGTCATCCGCGTGCTCGGCGTCGGCACGTACGGCGTCGTCAAGCTGGCCAAGCACAAGCCCTCGGGCACCAGCGTCGCGCTCAAGGTGCTGTCAAAAGAGCACGTGGTCACGACGCGCCAGGAGAAGCACATCTTGAGGGAACGCGCCGTGCACCTGCAGCTGGAGCACCCGCTGGTGGCGAAGCTGCACGGCACTTTCCAGGACGACGACTATCTGTACTTGGTGCTCGAGTATCTGCCCGGCGGCGAGCTCTGGAGCCTCGTGTACTCGCACAGTGACGAGCAGGATGAAGAGGTGAAGACCACGACGCAGTTGAAGGTGCAGGGATCGATGAAAGACGCCAGTGACGAGCTCCGCCCTGCCACGCCAGTTAGAGCAGCAACGTCGACGATGTCCGAGTCGCTGGCACCTATTCAGACCCGAACGCTGGATGCGGGAGGCCTGAGCGTTCTACGCAGTGAGTTTGGGGGGTTGAAGGAGGAGTACGCTGTGTTCTACCTGGGCTGTATCCTCAGTGCGCTTGAGTACCTGCACGACCAGGGGCTGCTCTACCGTGACCTGAAGCTAGAGAACCTTGTGCTGGACAAAGAGGGGTATCTCAAGATCTTGGATTTCGGGTTCGCCAAGCCGGACGCGCAGCGAGCTGATGATACTGACGACAGCAGCGAGCAGACCCAGAACGCTCGGAATCTTACACTATGCGGGAGTATGGACTACATGGCGCCGGAGGTGCTTCTACGCCAGTCGCACGACCACCGCGTGGATATCTGGTCATTTGGTGTCATTATGTACGAGATTCTACTGGGTAAGACGCCATTCTACCACGAAAACCCACGCGAGCTCGGGCGTAGAATCACCAACGAGAACGTCGAGTTCCCGAACGAGTTCGAGGAGGAGTGTCCGCTGGCCTGCGACCTCATCACTCAGCTTCTAGTGAAGAACCCGGACGAACGACTATCGTCGATGCAGAAGATCAAGTCGCACTGGTTTTTCTCGCGAATGTTCTCGTGTCCTGAGGACTGGCAGCGGTTGCAGCGTCGAGAGTACGACGCTCCGTTCATCCCGGAGCTCAGCGGGCCCTTCGACACTTCTTTCTTCCAGACCATTGATGATGATTACCAAGAGGAGCTGGAGGCGGATGTGGAGCCCTACTTTGAAGATGGCTCCAACATCTTTAGAGATTTCTAGCCGACCAGCTCTCCCAAACCTTCTTCGTCTCCGTATTCACGTGTTAAACTGACGATCCAGCTACGACACCAGCCCCGCACTCCCCGACACTCCACGAATTCTTCGTATCCCCATTAATTTATCTGGTTAGCACGCCAGCAACGATAGAAAGATCAATTCAATAGATAGAACCAACAAATTATACCACGGATCAGCAATGTCATTCCAGCAGCGATCTACGCGTCTTGCTCACATGGATGGTTTTACTGAATCGCAATAAATATACTACCACTACTTGACTCTCTCTACACTACTACTCGCGCTGCGGCGAGTTCACAAAATCTCTGCACTATGCAGCCTGGGTTTCTAGTACCCGAAATCCGAATCGGCGTCGCTGCCGTAGTCTAGCTCCTCCTCCTCCTGAACGCGCACAAAGAGACTGGTGTCGAAGGGGCCGTCCAGTCTCGGAACAAATGGAGGCTCCACCTGCCGTGCCTCGAGCTGCTGCCAGCCCTGCGTCGACGGGAAGTAGCTGCGGAAGAAGGTCGTCTTCCGCACCTCGCCAAACGACGCAAGTCGAAGCGCTGGGTCCTTTTCCAGCAACTTACGGATAAGGGAACAAACGTTGGCGTGTCCTTGCTCATACCCGTCCGGAAACTCCACAGGCGCCGAGATGATGCGGCGCCCTTGTTCGCGATTGTTCGAGTGGTAGAATGGCGTCGTACCGAACAACATCTCGTACAGTAGAATACCAAACGCCCATAAATCCACTCGCTGGTCGTACGGCTTGTGCTGCAGAATCTCGGGTGCCATATACTCCGCACTTCCGCACATCGTCGAGCTGCGTTCAGACGTCCGCGTTGCGTTCGGCTTGGACAACCCAAAGTCAATGAGCTTCGGGTATCCCTCCGCATCCAGCACGAGGTTCTCCAGCTTTAAATCCCGATACAGCACCCCTTTACCGTGCAAGTGTTCGAGCGCGGACACGATACACGCCGCGTAAAATGCTGCGTATTTTTCGTGCAGTCCTCCGTGCGAGCTCCGCAGCTTCTGCTTGAACAGGAAGTTCTCCAGCGTCAAGCTGTTGCGCCCCATGGCCACGCTGCCTCCTCTCCTCTGTCTGCACTGCTCCTCATCCGATTCCGACATGGTCGTCACTGCATCCTCCGGTTCCTCCTCCACCTGTCTGCTTGACCTCCTGCCTTCCTCTTCTCCCTCCGAGTCTTCGCAGTCCTCACCCTCCTCCAAGTGGCCGTCGTCGTGTGTGTACACCAAACTGTAGATCTCGCCTCCAGGACAGAACTCCAGCACGAAGTACAGCGCGTCGTTGTCCTGGAACGTGGCATAGAGCTTGGCCACGAACGGGTGCGCCAGCCCCAAGTGCACGCTCTGCTCCCGCATGATGTTCTTCTCCTGGTGCAGCTCGTGCACCAAGCGCCTCGCCAGCGTCTTGACGGCCACCGTGGCGCCCGTGTCCAGGTGCCGCGCCAGTTGCACCGTGCCGAAGGTGCCTCTTCCCAAGACGTCCAGCAGCTCGAACTCGCCGATGTCCGTGGCGTGCTCGAGCTCCGACACAAAAGAAGGCCTGGCCACGGACGACCGGCGCCCAGTTTTGACGCTCACGGCCGCCAGGTAGCTCATGGCGCTGCTGAAGCGCTTGGCCGCGTCCTGCGCCGAGCTCTTGCGCCGCGTGGAGGCCGAGAAGCGCTGCTGCGACTGGTCCTTCTTCTGATGACGCTGCTGCTGCTTGGTGACCAGCGCGCGGATTTCGCGCATCTTGCTCCACATCGGCGCCATGGACGGCGGCTCCACGGACGGAAAGACCCGCATCGAGTGAATACCTGCGGCCCAAGCAAGGCGAGGTCGAATGGCGTTGAGGCCAAACCGTTATGGCGACTGTGCGGTGCAGTAAATATGGAGTGCAGATTGTGTGGCAGCACCGTTCTACGCACGTTCGACGCGCGTGCTGAACGTGTTTTGCTTGGGGTTTGTATGCCTTGCGCCTGTCGCCTGCACGTGACAGACTTTACCGAATTTCGCCAGAGAGTGTAGCCATCTCATTTAGAGGCACACTGGCAGTGTGCGCCAGCAGCATTGCAAGGCTGCTGGCGCTCACTCGTACCATTCCTGCAGCAGGCTGCGATGGCTGCAGCCGGCGTCACGTGGCTTTATATCCGACGGAGCTGTCCGGACGCTTCTGCATTGTGCACCTAGGTGAAGTGGCGGACACTCTCGAAGGCACGCACGACACATGACACACTGTGTGGCGGTGCAACTTGCTACGGAAGTGGAGAGTTTCAGCGCGCGACCGGCTCCTCGGGGTGACGTTCAAGTGGATGAGCCGGGCCGATCTGAACCAGCGAAATCAAATCCACGTTGCCTGCTCCGTAGTCAATGGGGCGGACCAATAGCCCTCACTCAGTCAAAACTGTTCCTGCATTTAGTTGGCGTAGGCAGGTCGAGCCATTTCCCAGTTCTACTTGTGCAGATATTTACATCATCACCACGTCCTGGCACGCGTTGGCGATGCTCCGCAGCTGATAGTGCAGCGCGACGGCTGTCGGCCGCTCGTCGGCGTTGAACGAGACGCACTGGAGGATCAAGTCGCGGATCTCCGGCGGACAGTCGTCCTCGATCGTGGGCTTGATGGCGTCCGTGCTCACCAACAGCGCGATCTTGGCGTCCGTGAGCGCGTTCTCCTCGGACCGGTTGCTGTTGTACGGGTGGCCGCACGTGTCCATCTCGCTCAGCAGGATGCCGAACGAGAAGATGTCGGCGCGTTCCGAGTACCGCTCGCCCTGCAGAACTTCCGGCGCGATCCAGGCGGTGGTGCCCATGCCCCCAGTCATCGTCGACTCGTCGGACGTTTCTCGGGAGATGCCAAAGTCGCTGAGCTTGGCTTCCCACGCGTGGTTCAGTAGCACGTTGCGGGACTTGATGTCGCGGTGGATGATCGTCGGGTCGAACGAGTGCATGTACACCAATGCCTCCGCTGTATCCAATGCGATATCGACTTTACTTCGAGGTCGGGAGCTCTCCCCGACCCACGAAAAGGTCCGACGACTGCCCTCTTCACTGCGTTTCTGCCTCAGCAGCGTGGTCAAGTCCCCCCTTGGCATGTACTCGACGATGAGCGACAGATCCATGAGATTCGTCCACGCCAAGCCGATGAAGTGCACGATCTTGGGGTGGTCCATGCGCGCGAACAAGCGGATCTCGTCCATGAATCGACGCAGGAGGTCTTTGGACATGGCCTTGGGCAGGATCTGCTTGACGACCACGCGCTGGCCGTACAGCTGAGCGAGATGCACGACACCGAAGCCTCCGCTTGCGAGCTCCTTCTGGATGACGACGTCTTCAATAGGCAGGCGGTACGGAATCAAGTCCTCGTCGTTCCGAACGTCGTTGCTGAGGTAGCCGCTGCCAGACGAAGGAGGGATCGAGACCGTGCGTGTGTCGGAGCCTGTTTCGCCCATTTTGCTCGAGTCTAGAGCCAGGAAACCATCACCCTTGGAGTCTCCTTGTTGGCGTCTTTGCCGACGTCGCCGATACAGGATAAACCCGATGATCGCGAGCACCACAACGACAGCGGCTGCAGCTACACCGGCGATCAACCCCACGTTGGAGCTTGATCCTTCATTGATCGTGACGACGGTAGTTCCTGATTCGCCAGAGTTTTGGGTTGCTGTACTCCCAGTGCTGGTGCCGCTGCCTTCGTTGGTACCGGATGCGGTGCTGGAGCCTGATGTGGACCTGGTTTCGGTCGTGGATCCAGAGTCATCGCTGCTGGTAATGGGGTACAGGCTCGAGAACGACGTGTCTGTGCATAGTAGAAATAGTCAACGATAAGCTCGTAAAGCATTGAGGATGGATGGTTCGTCCTCACCGTCGAGCACACAGGCTGAAATGCTGTCCGAGATGTCCGTGACGGTACCGGATACGCTCGAGCAAGCGTCGGAATCCAGGCTCACCGTGAGGCTGAGCTGCGCGCTCTTTAGTACGTCGACATCGGACTCGCGGATGATGAAGCTAGTCACGGTTGTTCCGCCTACTGTCCTGATAGTCCAATGCAAACGGAGTGTTAGTTCACTTGAAGACAATTCGACACGATGCTGTGAAGTCCGTACAGCTTTTTGAGGCTGGAAGGGAAGGTGACGCCCACGATCTCGGTAACACGACAGTCGCTGCACTCTCTGTTCGTCAGTGGGCAACAGCGTCAGTGAAACAGCAACCAGGATCGAACATGTAACAGCTCAACCGCACAGGTATTGCAGACTGTCGGGGAACACTGCGCCTTCCAGCGTCGCGAGCTGCTGGTTCCCGTTGAGATACAAATACTGGAGAGAGGACGAGAAGCGGAACTTGGCCAGCGAGTCGATCGAGTTCTTGCGCAGGTAGAGCTTCTGCAGGTTCTCAGGAAAGTCTGAAGCCTTCGTGGAAGTGAGCGCGTTCAGATCCAGCGTCCTGCCACCGAAAGAACGAGTCAAGATGCACACAATCCCATGAGCAAATCTACGCCTCCCCATCAGATAACTAGCGAAAAACCTTTCACCAGTTCCTAGGCCACGTACAGCATCAACACGCTCGAGGGGAACTCCAAGCCATCCAGCGACGTCAACTGGTTGCTCGTGATATCTCTGCACCAATATATACACCCGTCAGCATTATTCTACCCAGCCTACTCAAAGTCTACTCAACCCACGCACATTTCCGTCACGGACGTCCCCACGGCCTTGAACGTCTTGATCTTGTTGTTCCACAGGCATCTACCACCAGCAGCACCACAGGATCAATACACAGACTCCTCCCTCCCCCGTCAATGACATCTCAACGTACAGACTCGCGACGGCCGGGTAGCTCTCGACGACCTCAATGTCGACGTAGCTGGCGTTGATCCGGTACTCGCCCGGGTTCTCGGAGCTCGTGGCTTCGATCGTGACTTCATCGCAGTCCGCGTCTTTGACGAGGATGGCCACGTCGTCCGCGCCATCGGCTGCTGCTGCTAAAGTGACTTCTGACGGCGGTGCAATGCCCGACTCCGGACAAGTCGACGCTGGCTGACCTCGAGGCAGCGCTGCCATTGCACACGCCGCCGTCAACGCCAACGCCCACAGCCTCATGTTACTAGTGGGGGTCGTTTCGGAGCCTGTGGACGGAGGTGGGGGAATATCGGAGACTGCGGCCGGCAGTCCAGTCCCGATGGGTAAAAGAGCTCGTGCCCGCTGGTAACGACCGACCATGCGTGCAGTGCAGTCACGATGGGGACAACGAAGTGATCATATCCCACACGGACCAACAGCTGCAGCCATCGTTTGCTGAGGCAAGGTACGTGGTGTATCGATCAGTGATCTCGTCCTGCTCGACGGACGCCACACCGTCCCACTTCACTTCAACTTGTACATGTATATCGATATCGACCGGCTAAACTTCGCGCCATCTCAATAAGCTAAGGTAGTTGACTATTTCTCTCAGTTGTTACAGTGCTCTCCTCTCTCCTCCTTTGACTCCACTCATCGATCATCACACATAATACTTGACGTAGTCTCGGCGCTCCGCAGACAGGATGGCAATGTCATCGTCCTCGACGAGGTGCACCATTGGCGGGGGTTTGCGTCCCCGCTCGGACCGATGTGTGTGGGGCGTCCGACGCGGCGCTCTGCAGTTGTTTCGAGGCATGGGGTTGGACATCCGCCCCGTGATGGCCAGGTCGTCCAGCGCCAGCTCGAGGTTGCGCAGCTCGTAGTGGAGCTGCAGCGCCGACGGGCGGTTGGCCGGGTCCGAGTCCAGGCACTTGTCCACCAGGTCGCGGACGCTGTTGGGGCAGTCCGGACTCAGCGACGGCCGCAATGAACCGGCGCTCACCAGCACGGCGATGCGCGCGTTCGTGTGCTTGACGTTGCCCCCGCGGTTGTCGTCGTTCGGGATGCCCTCGGAGTACGGGCGTCGACAGGTGTCAAGCTCGGTCAGGATCACGCCGAACGAGTACACGTCGGCCTTCTCCGAGTACCGTTCGCCCCTCAATACTTCAGGGGCAATCCACGAGATGGTTCCGATCTCGGCCGTCATGGTCTGGTCCTCCGTGAGCTCGCGACTGACGCCAAAGTCCGTCAACTTGGCCTCCCACCGCTCGCTGAGGAGGACGTTGTTGGGCTTGAGGTCGCGGTGGATCATGGGGCTCTCGAACGAGTGGAGGTAGACGAGCGCCTCTGCGATGTCTAGAGCGAGCAGCGACTTGCACTTGAGGCCTCCTCTTTCGGTTTTATTCGAGCGGAACCAGCCGTACGAGCTGCGAACCGATGGGTCCCGCGTCTCGCGCTTGAGCTGCTTCTGCATGAGCGTGGCGAGGTCGCCGTTGGGCATGTACTCGAACACGGCGGACAGGTCCATGAGCGAGCTGAAGGTGAAGCCGATGAACGTGACGATCTTCGGATGATCCAGCGAGGAGCACGTGCGGATCTCGTCCATGAAGTCGTTGAGCATCCGCGGGTCGCGCGCGCGCTCGGGTAGAAGCTGCTTGGTGACCACCTCCTTGTCGCGGAAGGTGGCCTTATACACCGCGCCGTAGCCGCCCTTCGCTATCAGCTTGCCACGAATGACTTCCTCGTGCATGAGTCGGAAGTGCCGCATCTCCTGATCCGTGCGGATGTCGTTGTCTAAATGCCTGGCTGAGATCACGCGCGTCATGTTGGACGAGGTGGTCGAGCTCACAGTGCTGTTCATGCCTCGGCGCTTGGTGCTCACGATCGTATCCTCCATCTCTGACTGCATTTCCACCTCCATCATGTTCGTATTCAGTGTCCTGTCGAAGAACGTGTGCGCGGTCGGGTTGTTGCTGGGGACGATATCGTCCACAGACCGGAATCCAGAGGTTCTATCCGCCGTGTAGTCCTTAAACTTCTCGTTCGTCCGACGGTGACGGAACACGAGATAACCCACGGCACCTCCAATGAGCACGAGAAGGAGAGCGGCACCTGAGATCATCGCTACCAACATCCAACCCGAAGACGACAAGCTAGTGGAAGCGGAAGTACCGATATCCTGCGAGCCATTAGGCGGTGGTGGAAGGGCTCCACTTGAATCTCGCACAGTCCCGGGGATCACATATTTGCTGTTGTAAACGGCGTCAGGCAGCACGCAGACCGTCACACTCTGCACCACCTCCTTGGTAGCACTCGAGTCGCTGCAACTGGAGCTCGAGACGACGAGTTTAAACGACCCAAGCCCCGCAACCAGCGGCTCCGACGAGTGCGCGATCTCGAACGAGTCCACGGTGCTGCCTGAGAGGTCGAGCGCGGTCAACGTTCCGCCCGATGGCAGCGTCATACCTGACAGCTTGGTTACGCCGCAGTTCTGACACGAATAGGCCTGCAGTTGCGTCGGCATCTCCCACTTGGACAAGTCTTGAATCGTGTTCTTGCTCGTGTCCAGCGTTGCCAGCTTATCGCTGAACGTGAAGGAGGTTAATGCAGTGATGCCGTTGTTCTGCAGCGACAAGGTCGACACGGTGTCCGGGATCTCCCCACTATCGAGGCTAACGATGGAGTTCCCGTCCAGAATCCTATCAAAGACCAACACGAATTAGTCCAGAGCTAGCACCAAACGCAGCCTACGAGTACGTACAGCGTGGTTACACTGCTGGGGAACGATAGCGCGTCGACACTGCTGAGCCCATTCGACGACAAGTCCCTGCTCAAAGTACCACACAACGGTTAGCAGCTCGATCGAACAGCAAAAAAGCCCCACGGTAGCAGCATACAGTGTCTTGACAGTGGCCTCGCTGTCCTCATAGATAGTGGTGACCTCGTTCCCGGAGAGCTGCAGCGTGGTCACGTCCGGGAAGCTGGCGATGGCCTGAATCTCCAAGCCGCTGGCGTCGACAGACGTGGTTCCGTTGCTGGACGAGGAGCTGATCTTGACGACGGAGCAGTTGGAGTACACGACCTCGGCGTTGGACGGCGTGTTGTCGCTCCGTCGCAGGGTGGCGAGCGTCGGCGCTGGTTTCACGCACGCGTTGGTCTGGAACACGCGCGCCACGCTCGGACCCACGAGGACGGCCGAGATGGCGCACAGCGCCGCCAGTGGGCGCTGCTGCAGACGTGTCCGTCTCATTCGGTACGTCCTGCGGCGCCCGCTCTAGCAAACTAAAGTGAAGGCCCCGCTCGGCTTTTGATGCACGCGCGACCGACCGGAAACACAGTCCGCTCCCCATCCGAAAGCGCTCTCTTGAGGCCGGTCCATGCGATTTGCGGATTGTTACATCGGACCGCTTTCTACGGTGGAAACCCCAAGACCAGCGACACCAGGCGGAGCCATGCAACGCGCGGGGTTTCCAGCCGACGTCGCACCTCGCAATGTTCACAAAGCCCCACGCAACACTTTGCTCGAATCGGTAGGCTCAAGCTCAAGAGCGAGAGCACCGGCCTTGGAGTGTAGGCAAGCGCTATGTGTACAGCTGGACGAAAGATGCCTACCCCGGTCGTTTACCAAGGGGACATCCAGTCCATAGTCTACCGCATCGCTCAGCCCCATTCGACCGGATCTCTCTCTCTAAATGGTGACAAGAACCACGAGACAAGCAGTTGAATGGCAAACTCCTTATTAAATAACTTGCATTCTCAGGTCTCGAGCTCGAGCATCAATCCCCGACAGTTCGTTTACGACGACGGACGAAAGGGTCGATGGCCCGAGTGGCCCATGCTGCTGGCCTTGGACTGCGTCCTCGTCATGCGCCTCGCCGACGCGACCAGCTCCTCCTCTTCCAGCTCCAGGTTGCGCAGCTCGTAGTGAATCTGTAGAGCGGACGGTCGGTCCTCCGGGTCGAAGGCCAGGCACTTGTCCACCAGGTTGCGCACACTGCGTGGACAATCTGTGTGCACCTCGGGTCTCAGAGATCCGGCGCTCACCAGCACGGCAATGCGGGTGTTGGATGTCTTGTTGTTGCCGCCGCGGTTGCTCTCGCCCGGGATGCCCAGCGAGTACGGGCGGCGACAGGTGTCCAGCTCCGTCAAGATGACACCAAACGAGTACACGTCGGCCTTCTCCGAGTAGTGCTCGCCCTTGAGAACCTCGGGGGCGATCCAGGACACAGTACCGATCTCCGCCGTCATGGTCTGGTCTTCGTCCAGCTCCCTACTGATGCCAAAGTCCGTGAGCTTGGCCTCCCACTTCTCGCTCAGCAGCACGTTCTTGGGCTTCAAGTCGCGGTGGATGATCGGACTCTCGAACGAGTGCAGGTATACCAGCGCTTCGGCCACGTCCAGCGCGATGAGAGACTTGCACTTCATGTTGTCGCCCTCGCCCACTGAGTGGAACCAACTGTAGCCGTCACGCGCGAACTCGTCGCGGGTCTCACGTTGGAGCTGCTTCTGCAGCATGGTGCTCAGGTCCCCGCGCGGCATGTACTCCATGACCATGCTGATGTCCAGCATCGTACTCCAGGTCACGCCGATGAAGCGCACGATCTTGGGGTGGTCCAGCGTCGAGCAGATGCGCACCTCCTCCATGAAGCCGGCCAGGTAGCGCTTGTCGCGCGCGCGCTCGGGCAGAAGCTGCTTGGTCACCACCTTCTCGTTCTGGAACGTGGCCATGTACACGGCGCCGTAGCCGCCCTTGGCCAGCAGCTTGCCGCGCACGACCTCCTCCTGCAGCAGTCGGCACTGTTGAATCTCGTCGTCTGTGCGGATGTCGTTCATGACGAAGTTGGCCGTCGAGGCGCTCATTAGTCCTTCGGGCACGGAGTTTGTACGGCCAGTGCTTGACATGCCTGACAAGTAGCCGGGAATGTACTTAGTGGCCTTGGAGGACGACGACGCGTCCGGGTCGAACTCGAGATTCTCGGCCTCCTTGAGCTCCTCGTCCCGAGCCTTTTGGCGGCGGCGGTAGATGATGAAGACGGCGCCGCCGAGCACGCAGGCCATCATCGCTCCGAGGCAGATCATGGCCAGCATCATCCAGTTACTGAAGCCGCTGCTGCTGCTGCCTCCTCCTGCGAACGTGGGGTTACCGCCTCCGCTTTGGTCACTGGAAGAGCTCGACCCGCCCACCAGGTACTTGGCGTCGAAATATCCGTCCGTGAGCACGCACAGGCTCATCGAGCGAGCCACCAGTTCTACAGCGTGGCTGTCGCTGCAGTTGGACCCGATCGTGGTGACCACGAGATCGTCCACAGTCTCCAGCACTGCGACGCTGGAGTTGGCCACCTCGAAGTACTCGATGTTGCTGCCTGTGAGGTCCAGAGTCGAGAGCGACATGTCCGTCGGGAAGACCACGCCGGCGATCATCTTGATCTCGCAGTCCTGGCACCGGAAAGACTGCAGAGTGTCGGGCATCTGCCAGCTCGAGAGCTTCGGCATCGAGTTGTCGCTCAGGTCGATGTACTGCGCCTGGTCGCTCACTGCGAAGGTCTGCAGCGACGTGATGCTGTTGTTGCGGATTGAAATGGATGTCACGGTGTTGGGGATGTCGCCGTCCGATAGTCCGGTCAGATCGTTGTCATCCAGATTCCTATGTCCACAAGCCAAAACATAAGTCAGACTTCTGCAGTAAAACGATGTGGCAGGATGATCACGAGCTTACAGGACTGTGACGCTGTCAGGAAGTGAAATGTTGCCCATGTCTCGGATGCCGTTGTCGGATAAATCCCTACGCAACAAATACAAATAAGTCAGCATTTCCTATACACTGCGAAAGTCCAAAACCTATCACCCCGTACAGCGTCGAGATGGAGTTGCCGTCCGATTCCTCGACCACGACGATGCTGTTGCCCGATAAATCCCTGTTCACACATCCAAGCATGCCCACTAAATCACCCGACCACCAGCCTCGTTTATCCCAGCGAGACACTTACAGCGAGTTGACTTGGGGGAAGCTCTCGACGACCTCGATCCTCTGTCCGGAGGCGTCCATGGACTTGGTGCCGTCGCTCTGCGTGTCGGCGCGGATGGTCAAGATGGCGCAGTCCTTGTAGATGACGTAGGCCGCGCTGGACGACGACGCGCTCTGCGTTAACGTGACCTGCGTGGGAGGAGACGCGAGACATTCCTGCCGCTGCGTCTTGAGCGCCGCCAAACTCTCGGCGCTGCTGCCACTGCCCGACGAGTCCGACGAAGATTGAGAGAGTGCCGTCGCCACCTGTATCGCCGCTAGAAGCGCGAGCATGCGGCCCCGCCATCTGCTCGCCCCTGTCATTGTGAAGGTCTCCGATCCGCCTCTAGAGCTCCGATATTCGATGAAACCTGCTCGTCCCCGCCCTGAACCTGAAAAATGGGCCTCGTACTGTAGCGGCGCCGAAGTTTGTCCTCTCCTCTCTCGGTGCAGCGAGCGACTCGAGCGGTTGTGCTGTTGGAGGATCAAAGACTGGAGCGGAGCTGTGCAAAGCGGCCCAGGGTGTAGGATAGCCGTGTCCGCCGGACCAGCTGGAGCCAATCCAGTTCGATCAAAGGCGCGTAACAGACCCGAGTCCCCATCCGAGTCGCCTTCCTCGAATGCCGTCTATGCGCGCCGAGACACAGCAGAAACTGCACACAAACCAACCCACCTCCTCCGCTTGTTGAGGATTGTTGAGCTGCTCGTGCTCCGGGGATCTCCTTCTCAATCTCAATCTCCCCCAAGCTCCACTCGACACTGACTCCTCCTCTTCATGCTCCTAGGGAAAAATGGTCCCGCAGAGGACATGCACGCATGCGCTTCCCCCTAAAAACACTAAACTTCGAAGTACAATACTCGCTAGACTTGCTGTGCGTTGGTATATAGCAATACAGTACGGTAGTGTCGGTCGGGCCCAAAGTTTTGCTGCTCCGTCGATCTCTGGTTCGTGTGCCCCCATTCCACGCGTTTCGCTGCTTCGTTTGTCATGGCACCTGGGGGCATCTGCTGCACTTCAAGCTGCGAACCAACACTGCAAGGTCTGGTGCGGTGTTTCATGTTCACAGAGGCAATTCCATCTGCGGTAAGCTGACCATGACGTGATACACTGTACTGTATTCGTGATCCCAACGGCGGAGTCGCGGCTGGCGGCTGGCGAATTGCAACATCAATTGCCACTGGCAATTGATTCAAGCGCGAAGGAAATCCATGCTGGAAACAGCGTCAAAGACTCAAATGTATCCGAGTACACAGTACATGTATACTAAGTAGTGTGGAGTGGAGTGGAAGCTTGTACAACAGTGCGAAAGCTGCTCGTCCAACTTCGCGTTGCCTGACTTTACATGTACTGGTAATCAAGCCGCGGACCAAGGCGGCCTTAGTCCGTGTGACCGACCAGGTTGACTCGACGTAGAACACGATCTCAAGGCGTTCATAATCCGCGCTCTACAGCAACTGAGTCGAGTTCATGAGTCATGCTTGCCTTGTCGCAGCTTGTAAGTTGCAAGCTGTATTGCATCCAATGGTTAGCCACGGTTTTGCCATGCCCATGCTATCTCCACGTTCATTCACAAACAGTCCTTCTTGCTTACTTTACTGTAGGCACGTTGCACTCCTCTCTCTTCAGAAACATTTTCACGAAATACTTCTCAGCTTTGACTCTTGCTGTCAGAGAACGACGGGATACCCGACAGCGGCGTCAGCGAGTGGCGGCGGAAGGATGCACGTCTTCGAAACGGCTGTCGCTGCTGGAGTTCCGACGCGCCATCACGGTCTTCTGCGTCCTCGGGCTCTGGAGCTGGTCGACGGAGCTTCTGGAGCGGAGGAGGGGGTTGCTGGTTGTTCTTGAACGCCGCAGTCGACTTGTACGGAGACTGCGGGTCGAAGTGTCCACCTCGGGGGCTCCACACCCGCGAGCCCAGAGGAAGCGACTTGTCGAGACTCGGGACGGGGCTTTCGTTGAGGAGCTGGTTGCTGCTTGAGCTGGACGAGTCCGGAGTATCGGTTCTTCGTCGGCGAGGCGACCCAAGACGCGTATCAGCTGCGTTGGAAGGCGAACAACTTGACGTGGTAGTGGACAGTGGTGGAGACAGTGTTCCATACAGGGAGCTGGCATCGCCGCTGCTGTTGCGGTTGGCGTCGTACAGAAGTGTGGAATCCTCACGCGAACGACGAAGCAGCTCCGCTGAGCCGTACAAGTCGGGGGTTGTGTACGACGTGACCGCGTCTGCGTCGTCTTCCTCCTCCTCGTATCCTACAAAATCGCAGAGATCGACAGAACTAACAGACTCCGAAGAGAGCTACTCCACAGCAAAGGTAAGGGTTAATAGAGGTAGACAACCAGCAGCATTTGCGTGGACGTACCGAGGTTGTGACGCGGCGATGACAAGTGACGATCGTCGTTGCTGTGGATGACACACTTTCGTCCGAGGTGCGGAGCTCGTTCTGCTTGACAGGGCTGCTGACCTTCGGCTTAATAGCCTGACCCAGCACGAGCGCTGCTGTTTTCCGAAGCCCCTTGCCATCGCGGTGCTTCATTTCAACAGGTTTCTCTTCAAAACTGTTGAGGCGAGCTCGAGAAGCTCGAATGGCGGCTGTGAGTCGTGGACTCGGTCGTATCGTCCGCTGCTCGCTGATTCCAAGTGAGAGCGTGCGCAAAAGTACCGGGGCTTGAACAGGGAAATCGTCCAGATCGATGTCTGCTGTATTCTTCTTGTCGCCTTTGATAGGGGACAGTGGTGGAGTCGGTGTGGACGACCCAGGAGGATGTTCCGCGACTGGTATCAGATGCTGCTTCATCCATTCCTCCTGTTGCTGCTTGAGCAGTTGCTCCTCCTCGAACTTGTGCTGCAAGATCGTCTGCAACGACTCCTGTTGCTTGAGAATGTCTCTCTGCGCCACGGGCGACGCCGGCGCTTGAAACTCCAGCACCTTCGGTACGACACGGGGCACGGCGGCGTTTCCAGCCGTCGCTGGGGCAGCGGCCGCCATCTTCTTGGACACCTGAATACGAAGATCATCACGTCGGGAGGTCGGTCGAGCTCCTGCGCTGAAAGGCGGCGGCGGCACTCCTGCAATCAATCCTGAACCTGGAGTAGGGACACTAGTCGGCGGCTGCTGGAAGAGATTGTGCCGCTGTCGTCCCGCTAAAGACGACGGCGACACAGACGGAGAGCTCGAGTACTCCAGTGGCGGCGGTCGTGCAATTTTCCGTGCAGTTTCCGTGTCCAGCAGCGATGGCTCTGACCCCTGAACGAACCGAGTCCGGGACCTGTGGAAGGAATTCGGGTGTCCGTGCTGATCCAGGGGCGGCGACGGGGACCTCATAGCTGCCATCAACGTCGTAGTTGCGATAGAGTTCCTCTTCCTCCTCCACCTCGTGCCAGGAACAGGCGACGCCGTATACTCCGGCGGGGCGGCAACCGGCTGCCCGTCACCAAATGATCCAGGCTCGACGAATCCAAGTCCTGACGTCTCGATCCTCGGCAGTCGTTGCTTGGCTGGCTGAGCCTTGGACACCGACACCGCCGATCCCCAGGGCGTCGACGCTCGCCGTCTCGCCATCCTTGCAATGCTCCGAGCACTCAGAGGTTCCGTCTCCTGATTGGTGACGACGTTCTTCTCCTTATCCTGTACTTCTCCTTCTTCCTCTTGTTGTTGCTCCCCATCTTCCGGCCCTCCCTCCGTCTTGTCCACCCTCTCAAAACTCACCTCGACCTCCGTGTGGCCCAGTATTAACCTGTCTCCATGGTGCACCACCACTGCGTCATCGTGCACTGGGAGCTTCCCATTGAGCGTGGACCCGCCGCTGCTGTGGTCGCTGTAGACCCACACGCCGCGGCCGGAGGTGCGCTCCAGCGTGCCGTGAGCTGCGTCCACCTCCGGGTCGTCCGGCAGCTTGAAAGTGGCGTCCGACCCGCTGCCCAGCAAGATTCCGTCGGGCGGAGGCTGCGTCCAGAGCCGGTCGAGGGGCTGCTCGTTGTTGTCGGACGGCCGAAGCACGCGCAGCCTGATCTGCGAAGGAGAAGGAGCGGGCATGCTGAAGAAGGTGGGGGGGGGGAGTGCGGGGCTAATGCAGAGCGAGGAGGAGAACGGAGGAGGAGGAGGAGGACGGCGGTTGAAGCTAACGGCCTGACCGCTCGAGAGCTTCGACCTTTATTGAGCAGTGTGCCGTAAAAGCGGTACTGCATCATACAAACAAGGGTGCGCCTGCTGGATAGCCGGCGCCGGGCAAGCCCACACCGACGTGCGCACCGACGCCCACGCCGCCGTTGCCCACACCGACGCCGACACTCGCGAGGCCAGGCACACCGACACTGACGGCGGGGCCCACGCCGCCGGGCGCGCCGATGCCGACGCCGGGGACACCAAGTAGGCCCAACGTCTGAGCGACCTCTGTCTCTGCGCGTGCGCCGCTGCAGACCGCGGCCGCGGCGAGGCACAGGGCGGAGATCTTGCTGTAGCTGAGGCTGAACATGGATGGTAGTATGGTTGGTTGGCTTCGGTGGTTGTAGGGTAGATTTGAGAATGAGCAAGTGAATAAGCCAGTAGCAGGGCGCGCGGGCGGGCGCGCGGGCGGACATGTAAGCAGGATGGCAGGTAGGCGTGCGGGCGGGCGGGTGGGCAGCCCGACAGCCTGACACAAACGTCAAACTCATGTGACCACGCTGAACGGACCCCTTGCTGTACGAGCCCGCGTGTGCCGCTATGATTACCAGAGATGAATGGCTGCAGCTCGTGGGGTCACCACGGCCGTGACCGGCAGGCATACAGGTGCAGATACAGGGGCTTGCCGTTAGGCGAGCTGACAAACAAGCTGTCGGTGTAAGAATCTCGTACGCAGTGGGCGTACGTACGAGAGGGGCAGGTTTGCCCCCAGCTTGTGAGAAGATCCAGGGGTGCAGGTGTCGTCCAGCGCCGTTTTGCCATGTGGCGTTGGTCCTTGACCGGCGTTGACTCCAAGAGCGACCCTCGATGTCTCCATCCGGCACACCTGTGAAGGGGGTTAGTCCCTACTCTCTACGTCCGTTACTGTTTCCTTATTGAGACGCAATTGGTTGATCGGTCGGGTCATGCAGTTTGCCGAGGCGAGGTGATACTGTACGGTAGTGGGCACCACGTGGTGGGGGCGGGTTATTTATTGGGCTGCCCAAGCTGTCCTTGTGCATCTACGTGTGCAGTACATTCGAATAGCCGTGACAGTGCACGTAGTGCTAGTGCAACCGCCAAACTATTGCGGCCATTGCAGCTCACGCCACCGCCCATTGGTTAGCACAGGTGGCTGGATACTTTTTGCGAGGGCACAAGATATATGCTGAAGTTTGTATGTTCATATGATATGATGGTAGGGTATATTAGATTACTTAGCAAAGCTTGAATCCTAATAACCCTGTAGCCCAGATAACTCCTAAAGCATAAAGTTTGTATGTTCGATATCGTACTGAAGTTTGTATGCTCGTTGTTGAAGTTGGAATCGATGTGCGACCCTTGATAACCAAGATCGGCGCAACACGGTCTTAGCTCTTGTGAACGACGCGCACAAGCAGCACAGTACCATACCGACAACACCGTTTATCCTGCTAACAACGGCTAGGTACTCGCTGGTATACATACGTGCGGCGCGGCCTCTCAGGACATCCAAACACATAATTGATATACATCATAACCAACACGCCAACGGACAAAAACAACAAGTCCAGCAGAGGAAACATCGATTGCATTGAAAAGATTGTAACGGGGCTTTCACAATGGACTGACGGCAACAAACGCTAACGCATACTTGCGAGGTCGGACGAACCAGAGCGGTGATGGATGACTCGGGCGGGCTGGACACACCCCACTTGCTTACTCCACCGAGCGAAGCTGGCGGTACGCCTTCTGAGACGACGTTCCAGCCGTGGCTCTAGTCGACGCACTTGCAGACGCGTCACAGCAATTCCACAGTTCCAAGTAGCGCGTGGATGTCTGGAAAAAAGTCATCAATAATAAGCTCCATGTACGTTAAGGAAGAGTGATAGGCGAACGCGCGTGGGGTCTGATTACGGGTGGTCGGTCATCTCGATGCACCCTTGAGACTGCTGCGAAGAAGCCCACATACCTGTGCAGTTCCCACGTCAGCGAGATATTTCGATTGCAGCGGTCTTAGACAGCGATCAGCATTGACAGCAATTGCACTCACGTTGTTGGGTAACAGGAGAGCTCCAATTCGGTTCCGAGAAGCGCGCACTTCAACGTGGATCTCTTGATGAGTGCCCCGAAATCACGCTTTACTGTATGACGCAATCCCGAAAATAGATCCGAAAACAAAGCGTTATAGGCGCTTTTTTGCACCAGAAAAACGTGATACCAGAAGAAAAATCGGGCGGCGCTGCGGCCAGCGTCAACCCGGCGATAGGATGCAGCACCACGACTAGAGAAATGGTCTCCGAAGGCCCGCCGACACGTTCTCCACCGCACTTGCGCTCATTACGCAATTGGACGCCAAGCACAAGAATCACAACTACAGACAGCTACACGCACACGACACCCAGAACTACAGCATGCTCTCCTCCCAGCTCCTGCACCGCGCTGCCCAACTTCAGAGCCAGGTGCCGCTCGGACGACTGGCGGCTCGATGGGCGCCCGCTGTCGGCGTCATCCTTGCGCGCTCACTGCAAACGTCAGCGCGGCGAGCCATCACCAAGAGCTGCAACGTGGAGGACGTGCACGTGGCGGAGACGGAGAACGAGGCGGCCAACGAGTTCCTGGGCGTGCGCTTCAACGCCGCCAAGATCCGGAAGTACAGCGCCGAGCTCGAGGTGGGCGGCCGCGTGATCGCGGGCGGCGACTTCTGGACGCCCATGGACGCCGCCAAGGCCTACGACAAGCTCGTGGCCTCGCACGGCGACGAGACCATGCCGCGCAACTTCTCCTGAGGGTCGACACAGCAGCCTTTGAGGTACCAGGCCTCAGGCCGGGCGACGAAGTAGACTAGTGATAGCAGGACATATGAATTTGGTCTTGAGTAATACACCCCTCCACTGATTTATTGTATGCCAACCGCTTTAGCAACTTGCAGTGGTGATGGTTTGTTTGCCGGCTCGGGATTCGAAAAGGCAACGCGTTTCTTCTGCTTGGCGGTGGAACCAAAGCCACGCCGGCTTCCGGTTACAGATGGGTGCAGGGCAGCCGGGTGAACATCAGTAGATAACTGACAGTTGCGTGGCGTCGTTCCGATTCTGCGATTGGCCGTGGTGGGCACCTGGGAATAACTTGGTGAGGCATTTGAAGAAAGCAGGATTCGAGAAGCTCACACGCTGAAACGGCCAGACCAAGAGGAAAGACAGGATTGGCGACAAAAATCCCTTGAAAACTGACGTGCCGCGTCAGACGTACTGTGCCGACCGTGACACACACATCTTTGCGCTCGCTGCGGAGCTCGAACCGCCGACACCTTGGAGCGCGCGCTCACCGCAGCACTCCGACATGTGCACCCTTAATCGTCGTGGGTACTTAAGTATGTGGCTTGGTGAAAGACTCCATCGCCTCCGACGTGTTGAATCGTATTGAAGAGACTAGGCCACAGTACCGTAGGTTGAAGTTCTGATCTTGAAAAGACGCGCATCGGTCGAAATTAGATGAGTTCGAAAATAGCAGCGTTTGTTTTCATTTCTGTATGACTCTGATTTCCTTGCTAATTTCGAGCTCAAAGCATTTTAGGTTGGTTCTAACACGCCTTCTTTATTCACATCAAACTTTAGACTTGTATGAGCCTAGAACCCCCAGACGTTGTAGCGGGGCTTGAGGTGCTCCCACACACGGCGCAGCATCCAGCCATCACCAGGCGTGATGGTCATCGAGCTGCCGGCCCTCATGATGCAAACAGGGAAGTTAGAGTTGGGCATGTCAGCCTCCTCGTAGAAGTCCGGCAGGCCAAAGCCATGGCCGATCTCGTGGGCGACAATCGTAAGCTGGTCGTTGTCGAGGGCGGCGAGCATGTTCTCGAGGTTGACTTCCTGGCCCCAGTCGTCACCGAAACCACCGTCCAGACCCTGCTTCGGCCAGAGCGAGATGTCCCACACCTGGTCCTGGCACGAACTGGTGTCCGCCCAGGCGCCCGCGGCGTTGTCGTAGAACCGGTAGCAGCTTTGAGGACACTGCGGGACGCCGTCCGAGTCGAGGTCGCCGGCGTAAATCTTGCCGAGGGAGTCGTCGCTCCAGTCGAGCTGCGACTTGTCCTTGACAGCGAAGCCGACGATCTTGACGTCGATCTGGCTGTACGGCCAGCAGTCGTAGCCGACGAGCCACTGGTTCCACGCCTTGTACTGGCGGTTGAGTATGGCCTGGAACTTGGACGCGACGCTCTTGGTGAGCTTGGTGTCGCTGTCCCAGCGCACGCAGTAGTTGAGCGATCCCTTGTTCTTCATGAGGTGGTCGAAGATCCAGTTCTTGTTGGACAGGTCGTTCCAGTTCCACTCGCTCGGCTTGGCGTTGGGTCCGATGCGGTGGTCCAAGTCCAGTCCACGTCCTGGGTCGAGATGTACGCATTGGGGTTGCCCGTGACGCACTTGTTGCTGCCGGAGGTGATGGTGCCGAAGGTGGCGCCACCGGCGGCGCTCGTGGCGTTCGTCTCGGGCGTAGCTGAAACGACGGAGGACGCTGTGAGACCGACGATAGCGGCAGCCGTGAGAAGACGACGGGTGGACGACGAGGAGCTGGAGTTCGACTTCATGGTGTAGCTGGAAGGAGGCGAATTGGAAAGTGGTAACTTGGTCGGAGTATGAACCTGGAGTCCTTGTAGCTGGGTTCTCGCATGGGACTTTATGTTGGTACCATGGCGACCTGTGCCGGGCGCGGTGACTGTCAGTGTTCATGGTCATGAGTTCTCGACGTCTCGTAGCATCGTCTACGTAGCAAAACCTTTGAGGACGCATTTGAAGACCAAATGCTTATTCGCTGTTCGTCTTGCAAACCCAGCTGCAACGCTAGAAGATTTCGCAACTCTATCTTCCAGCACATTGTGGTTCACTTGACGCTTATAAGTACACTTAGACGTTTAGCCATGTATTTTTCGTTCATCTCAAGCGTGTGAAGACTAAAAAAACGACCTCGTGGATCACGGAGGATCGTTAAAGGGGATCAAAATGATCAGTTCATTGTCGGATTGTGAGATAGATTGACCTGCAACAACATACACCACGTATGTACTTGACGTCAGCTTTTGATCGCACTGATGGATCGTTAGAGGTGATCAAAATGATCAGTTCACTGTCGGATTGTGAGGTGTATTGACCATGACCAACATACTTGGAAGCTTTTGATCGCGCTGATGGGTCGGCATTCGTCGTCACCCAGATGCTTTTAACGCAAAATTTGCGCATTTAATGTGTCAATGATGATAATCTGGTGCTCGTGTCGCAAACGAGCTTGCAGCTGACGGTTGCTCACCGGTCAGGCTCATGACTATCAACTGCTTTCTGTTCATTTATCACTTTCCAATTCGCCTCCTTCCAGCTACACCATGAAGTCGAACTCCAGCTCCTCGTCGTCCACCCGTCGTCTTCTTACGGCTGCCGCTATCGTCGGTCTCACAGCGTCCTCCGTCGTTTCAGCTACGCCCGAGACGAACGCCACGAGCGCCGCCGGTGGCGCCACCTTCGGCACCATCACCTCCGGCAGCAACAAGTGCGTCACGGGCAACCCCAATGCGTACATCTCGACCCAGGACGTGGACTGGACTTGGACCACCGCATCGGACCCAACGCCAAGCCGAGCGAGTGGAACTGGAACGACCTGTCCAACAAGAACTGGATCTTCGACCACCTCATGAAGAACAAGGGATCGCTCAACTACTGCGTGCGCTGGGACAGCGACACCAAGCTCACCAAGAGCGTCGCGTCCAAGTTCCAGGCCATACTCAACCGCCAGTACAAGGCGTGGAACCAGTGGCTCGTCGGCTACGACTGCTGGCCGTACAGCCAGATCGACGTCAAGATCGTCGGCTTCGCTGTCAAGGACAAGTCGCAGCTCGACTGGAGCGACGACTCCCTCGGCAAGATTTACGCCGGCGACCTCGACTCGGACGGCGTCCCGCAGTGTCCTCAAAGCTGCTACCGGTTCTACGACAACGCCGCGGGCGCCTGGGCGGACACCAGTTCGTGCCAGGACCAGGTGTGGGACATCTCGCTCTGGCCGAAGCAGGGTCTGGACGGTGGTTTCGGTGACGACTGGGGCCAGGAAGTCAACCTCGAGAACATGCTCGCCGCCCTCGACAACGACCAGCTTACGATTGTCGCCCACGAGATCGGCCATGGCTTTGGCCTGCCGGACTTCTACGAGGAGGCTGACATGCCCAACTCTAACTTCCCTGTTTGCATCATGAGGGCCGGCAGCTCGATGACCATCACGCCTGGTGATGGCTGGATGCTGCGCCGTGTGTGGGAGCACCTCAAGCCCCGCTACAACGTCTGGGGGTTCTAGGCTCATACAAGTCTAAAGTTTGATGTGAATAAAGAAGGCGTGTTAGAACCAACCTAAAATGCTTTGAGCTCGAAATTAGCAAGGAAATCAGAGTCATACAGAAATGAAAACAAACGCTGCTATTTTCGAACTCATCTAATTTCGACCGATGCGCGTCTTTTCAAGATCAGAACTTCAACCTACCGGTAGTGTACCGTAAATCGCGGCGATCATGTAACGTCGTAAAAAGTTAACTTTGGTTGTGTAAAAACTCTCGTAAAAAGTTTTCCGCTGCCAACATGGGGGTATTTCTTACTGAGCGAGGGGCCATTCATTCCACCATCTCCCCGATGACGGGGACCAGGAAGTTTAGCACAAAGAACGCCGACAAACTGCGTGCCCTAGAGCGCATCGACTCCGGTGAATCGATCGAGGCCGTCGTGAAGTCTTACGGTGTCACACGAGTAAAAATATGGCGTTGGGGGCAGCAGCTGGCGGCGCTGCAGACCGTTAAACCTCTTTATAGGCATTAAGGTTCAGGTAGCGGCAATCTCCGCAGAGAACGAACAACGGTACGGCTACGAAGATTGTGCAATGAGTGCTCCTAATAGGTTTCTAACGTTTGCTGCTCTTAGTTTACTCAGGTGGATTAGGCATATGCGAGGGGCTAAACACTTCTGCATCACTACAGAGTGTATCCGCTACGCTCTCGCATACTTTGACCCCCAATATGTCGAATCAAGAAGCCGCGACGCGGTTAAAATGTACATATTTCGTTTCTTACGCCGCAACCGACTTACTTACCGACGGATCACGCACCGAGGCCACGTTACACGCCCTGAAATGCAGGTAAAACATATTTTAGAGATGTTTTATTGCTGTTTTACTAACTCTTCATTAGATTGTTGCTGATCGTTTCTCGCAGTCAATGCTGCATCACGTTGAAAGCGCTGCGTTCTTTCCTATCGGGATGCCAGATAGATACGACTACGTCTTCAACATGGACCAGACCTCGGTGTGCGTGGATATGAACCCACACAGTATGATTGAGTTTGCCGGAGCTCGAACGGTGGATGTTACTCAATGTGAGTCTATCAATGCGATTAATGGGATTAATTTTATTCTATAGACTAAATCTCTGTTACAGCGACGGCGCCTGACTCCTTCCGAGCCTCGGTGTTCCTGTGTGCCTCTGCGACAGGTCATAAGCTGTGACCGATGATCGTGTTCGCAGGGACACCAGGTGCGATAGTCCTGGAGAAGTTGAAGGAGGACAAGCAGTACGACTGGGACAGATGCTACTATACGGTCCAGGCCAAGGCATATTGCGACAAGAAGGTCATGAAAGAATGGATCGACAAAGTGTGGGCCCCCGATATTCGAGGACCAAGCGTCTTGGCGCTTGATAGCCTCAAGACACACAAGATGGAGTCTATCCGGACTCGGCTCGTGGACCACGCGCACACCAGCGTGGTCTACGTGCCTCCCGGGGTGACGGGACTAGCCCAGCCCATGGACATCGCCGTTATGAAGCCCTTCAAGGGTAGGCTAAGAGATCTCTACACTAAGTTTGTTATTGAAAACGGTACCTTTACGGATGCAGCCCAGAAGCGACGGCATATTGCCGCTTCAGTGCTGCAGGCGTGGGACGAGGTCGACACATAGTCTATCTGTAACGGCTTTCTAAAAGACAGTCTCATTGCGACGGGCCCGCGCGATGAGAGAGGGTTCTTCGCGACACCAACGCCTGCTAGTGAAGGAGTAGTTGACAAAACATAAGAACAATCAATGCAGTCGGAGGTTGGTTGTAAGAAGGGGTGTCACTTTAGGATTTTTTGTCGTCGTAACAAAAAAGACAGGCCGGCATACTTTTTACCATGCAAAGCAATATTACCGTATGTTACATGACCGCCGTGATTTACGGTAGCTTCGGTTCGTCTACCGAAGCTGCTTGGTGTGCAGTCTCTTCAATGCAATTCAAGCACATCGAAGGCGATAGAGTAGCTTTCACCAAGCCACATACTTAAGTACCCACGACTTTCATAGCTACATGTGTCGGAGTGGTGCGGTGAGCGATCGCTCCAAGGTGTCGGCGGTTCGAGCTCCGCAGCGAGCGCAAAGATAAGCATGTCACGGTCAGTACGTCTGACGGGCACATCAGTTTTCAGCAGCGAGCCGGGGATTTTTGTCGGCGGTGCTGGCTTTCCTCTTCACCGCTTTGCTGTATTGGTTTGGCGCTTTCGGCACGCGCATGCAAGGCAGGCAAAAAGAAGGGAATAGCTTACCGATATAGTATATAGAGCCGTCGTCACAAGCATTCTCGTATTTGCGTAAGTTACATAGGCAACCCGGAGCGTTGCTCCGGGAGGGTACCCAGGTCGGCGAATAGTTTCATGGACGATGATAACGGATAACAATTGAGTAAATCCCAAAGTTGTGTTGTTTTTAATCATTTTAAGGATTTTAAAAGAGCACTACCAGCCAAACTCTATAGTTGATTCTAACGTGGGCATCTACTGCGCCTGCTTCGCAGCCGCTGTATCTGCCCAGGAATAACACCCTCGTCAGCGTCCAATGGCTGCGTTGACGCCAGCAACGAGAGAGCTATTTCATTCAGTTTGCAGGTAAGGTATACTGTGCTCATTTAGTACTATGTTGTGTGCTAACGATCAGACGAGAGAGCTAGCGGAACGAAGGAGAGATGCATGGTGCGCTGATCTTGACCTTTTAACTTGAGGGTAAATTGCGGAATGAGAAATACGTTAATGTGCCAAGTCCTTGGAAGTGGGCGCTTCAACGCAGGTAAAGAAAGCCTAATTCAAACGAACGATGCTCGTGTCACTGTCGAGTTGAGCTGGTTGGTTTGGCGAGAGACACGAGGTTGGGCATCTTCGGCTAAGTGATTGAGTATTGAGCAAATTGACATGTAAAAAATGCAGCCTGCAGCTAGACAAGTCATATTGGTCATCTTCAGCTAAGCTTGGTCGATTATGGCGCAAATTGATACGCCTTCAGCGAGGCCATGACGCTCTCATAGTGTACTGGAGCGTCCGTAAGTGTTTGAACGCAGGTTTTGGTAAAGAATGAACGATTAGTATCAACCTTTGGTAAATAATGTGCATAAATCTTAGCATTTATCGACGGGTACCCGATTCCGGCAGATATTAGCTTAAACATTACAATTAAGAAAGAGAGACCCGGTTTGGTACCCGGTTTTGGAAAGTTACAAGTTTTTTGCCGGGGCCAAGCACAGGTCTTCGACCTGTGAATATGGGATTTTCCGCCAAAACGTAGGCGGATTGGCTTATGATTTCCGGAATTGGTGTATTTCCACCCCTTGGAGTACGACACATTGACTGAGGTCCACTATTGGGCAGTTAGGATCGCATCCTTCCGGGAAAGCGTAAGCGGCGGTAGCCAACGATAAGCGGAGACTCCTATTGGTCAAAATAAATCTACCTAAGTATGCGAATAGAGTTCAACGCAATGAGATGCTTTGACGGCCTCCAGGCTCCATTGTGGTTAAGCAACTACTTTCCGAACACAGGCCCACGCCATCCTGTATTTCATGTTCATTATTGTCTCCGTCTCTCGGTAGTCTCCGCAGAGTGTTCCTGCTGTTGGGTCGCGTCGTCGTGCCATTTGTTCAGCGGTACGTCACAGCGTAGCCTCAGACGGGTGAACGTCACCGCTCATGTCCTTGTCGGCCGCCGCGCTCGCCTCCGTGGACGTCACCGTCTTCTCCGTCTCGGCCGAGTCGACGTCGGCAGACATCGTCTTGGAGCGGGTGGCACTCATGGCCGAACCAATGACAGTAGCAACAGTCGCTATCTGCACGCCGAAGGAATGAGTGGAGGGGGTCCACTACTCGGTGGAGTATCATCGGCAGGAGTAGCCATACATAGGATCGAAGGCTCACGGGTACCATCGCGAAAGGTGAGCGCGCTGTGCGATAGTGGCCAAGTAGTAGGCGCTCATGGGTCATGATGACCGCCGCAGTTTGTTCGAACTTTGAACTTATCACACTTCGTGTTTAACTCAAGTCATAACGCGATCCTTTTCCCGATGCGCCATGCTCCGTCGTCGTAGTACGGCTTCAGCTTTTCATGTTGTTTTCGGTTGTCACGGCCCAAACACCTACATTTATCTGGAATGCGTACGCTAATAAATTTGCCGCTTGGATATACATTGCACTTGAGGTCTTTCCGAACGACTTAAGTGACCTCAAGTGTACTTGTACTGTCAGCTAGTGAATCCGTCCCTCTTTCGGTCCAGCGCTAATCAGGTCATTTTAGCCAATCGGAGCGCTCCATTAAAGCGTCGGCGGCCGAGACTTACGTTTTCTCAAGTCAATTCAATCTTGTGACAGCTATTATTATAAATGACAAGCGATGGAATCGAAATGGGTATCGTTGAATTATGATAAAACAAAGAACTAGGGCTCCGCGAAGGCTGGGATAGGAGAATTTTGGTATAAACCCCTTCTTTAATTTTTTAATATATGTGTCTTATTAGCTACGGTCATCTCCTGCGCCTGCTTCACAGCCGCAGCATCTGTCCGGAAATCTGCCAGTTCAAACTGTCTACCGGCAATGCCTTACGAAATTAAAAATGCGAACCTTGGTCGAGATCTGTTTCGAGCTTGTAGAAAATACAAACGCTTACCGTTCGTATTTACTTCATTTCGTTCATACGTACCCAGCTCAATACATACAATGATTCATACCAGTGTAGGAAGCTTCCGGGTCTCGGTCGTCCCTTACTACAGGTAGCCAGGTCTCGTCCAGCCCGACCACCCGTAGTGTTCCGCGTCCACCACAGATAACCAGGTCCCGTCTAGCCCGGTCGCCCATAGTGTTGCACGCGTCCACCACTCGTACAAACACCATTATCGTTGTCGTGTCCACGCCTAGGTGGGCCAGTATAGCGCCGACTGCCAGCAGGTGCGAGGCAGTACAATGATCGACCAGACAGGTACTGGCCCCTTCACCAGGCGTGTCGGGGATAGGGACGGCTGGGAGGGGCAATACAATCAACCTGGGCTCCGGCAAGCCACAGGCGACCCCCACCGGACATGTAAACAGGTCGAACAGCATCTTCGTCACGGCACTCGGGCACGCCCAAGCACTCGAAACCGCTGTCCTTCACGGCCAAAGTGCTGTCAGGAGTGCACCTCGTCCCCCACGGCTTCTCCGCCACCCTACTCAATACATTGCCCTCATCTGTGCACCGCCCGCCACTATCGCTTACCTTATGCCACTTACTCCTGTGTCTAGCCGGCACTTCCCTGGTCGCAAGACACTTCCCTGGTACTAGGTCACAGGAACCCGCGTTTCGGCGCAACTGAGTGTATTACAAGTCTTGACTCGTTACTATCCAGCAACAAATCGCAACGGAGGGTCGAGCTGCCCCCACTTACTTCTAACCCCCGCCGATCTACCCTATCCTATCCACTCGGCGCCTTCTAGCCTACTTGGACCTCTCCCTCTCGGGCCCTCATCTCCTTCCTCGTGGCCTCTCCTCTCTGCATACTCGTTCTCTGTCCTGTTCACAGGTCACCTCGCCTTGCGATCTTCTGCACCCGTCAACTTCAACTGCTACCTCCTGTCGCACGTAACGGTAGCCCACTGGCTCGCTTCCGTCACCACTAGCCGCCGTCCCCACAGTCTTCGTCACCAACTGCTGCTAGGCGTGCCACACCAGCTACTCCGTCAAGTCGATCACGACCTGGACGCTGTTCCGCAGATCCTGCTCGTGTTTCTCAGAGGCGGGACGAGTCACCACACTACACCAGTGTTGTCGGTAGCGCGCCGGTTCGATCTGCCCACGCATATAAACTTTTTGGAGGGTTCTGTACGGCACCGGAGTCGTACCGATTTCAAGAAAATGCACCAGTTAGATGTTAAGAGGGGTCATTGTTTGACTTGACGTACCACGGATATAATCCGATTTGGTCTGCGATAGCAGCACTAACGTTGCATCCTATCCCCGTATTAAGATTGAGTTAGATTATAAAACAACGAGTTAGAGCTTCATTTAGACAAAAATGAAGTAAAGCACAATAAAATAAGCTTTAAAAAATTATCTTGGTCGCCATACTAAGGACGATTGTGATATGAAACCTAGAAAAATCTGCGGTACGCTAGTTAGAGGCTATTTCTTATTTTTTTCAAACTTCGAGAACGTTGTTGCTGGAGTTCGTATTGATTGCGCGAGCGTTCCAATACAGGCGTCCCCGGGCTAGTCCCGGCTGTATATTTTAATGTACCTCGCACAGGAAGTACAAGCAGTTCTCAAGATTTGCGCGCAACTTCTGCAAACATATTGACTTAGATGAGTGTACAGCGAGACCTACTGCGACAAGTGGCACGTTGCGGGATACCAAGCTTGTAGTAAGTCAGTATTGTGAATTCCGGCCAAATTTTCCAAATCGCGGCGGTTTGGAGACCCCGCTCCAATCGCCAAATACAAAACTCAAGTCATTTGCTCAATCTCCGGGCCCAAACCATATGGTCCAAGTGCCCGCATGTCAAGACCAATTCGTACTTAAACGGGTGCCTATAACCAATCCTAGTGGCCACGGAGATTGGCCGGAGATTTGGCTTGGGCGGTTCAACAAACCTCCCGCGGAAATTTTGAACAGAACACACAATACAGAGAGTAGCGGCAATAAGAAAGGGTCAACAACTTATAATTCTGACAACAAACAAATATAGAATAACACAGGGCCTCTATTTAGGTACTGAGTTTGTCAAAGTGATGTGGCACACACACAGCAGTCAAGGTTCCCGCGCATTTACAAACTCCAAGGACGGAGCCACAGTGGCTCCGTGTACACGCAGTGGCTCAACCACTGCGTGTGCATCAACGACCGTTGTGCTTCAGCGCCCCAGTGCTCCCGTCACACTTACTTTCTCGCCCACATTGCCCCGCAAACTGCCGCTAAGGAAGACCATGAGCGCCTGCAGGTTGATGCGGAGGTGTTGGTTGTCCTACGTGCACATGTTGGGTTTGCACAAGCTCAGCAAGCACACCGCCGAGACGTAGCTACAGTAATGTGCGGTGGCCACGGACAAGCAGGGCGTCGTAGTGAGTCGCAGCCAGTGTATTTGAAGGTCGTGCGCCTCAGGAAGACGAGTACGACGAGCCTGTACTACAGGCCCTGTAGCGTCGAAGTCCATCGTCAATCGGGCAAAGTAATAACGTACCTAACGTGTTTCATTTATTTCGTTAAGTCAATACGTTTAAAGCTCCGCAAGATTTGATTTGACTTGATTATTGTATGTACCTTCAGTACTTTAATCGTTGAACCCTTTCTTATTGCCGCTACTCTCTGTACACACTCATCTATGTTCAGACCGCGTGAATCTTGTTGATTCGCAAACATCATAAGTACCACTGTGGCGAATAGGCCGGGGACGCCTGTACCTAAATAGAGGCCCTGTATAATTCAATATTTATGTGTTGTCAGAATTATAAGTTGTTGACCCTTTCTTATTGCCGCTACTCTCTGTAATCAAGTTCCCGCCAGACTGGAATATCTGCTCCGAAATCTATCCGCCTTTTATCCAGATTTTCCCAGCAAATATAGTCCACAAAAACAGGGGTACTTATCCTGGGAGGACAGCTAGAAGAGCTGTATGGACAGCCTCACACAGATTAATTCGTCGAAAAAAAGTTGCTTGTACCTCAGGCAACATTTAAACAACATTTCGCCACACCATACTCACACAATCGTACACCATACTTACACAAATATAGCCATATTGACATCCCGACCGTAGGGACACAAAGCTAATTGACAATGAAATGAGGACAGCGCTAGCGACAAGAGAATGCAGGATGACCAATCAGCCTACAACTACACTGTATTCCATATATGCAGTTCCTAGTTACTGACGGATAACTGAGGACGTCTTACGTCCACGCAGCTAAGCTCTTGGCCTACAAATTAAACCTGTCCGCCTGGATCTCGGGCAGTCTCGCTGGCATTAAATCATCGGCTCTACATAAAAAATGGTGGTCGGCGCTGTAAACGCTTACGTCCTTAGTTCTTGGCCTACAAACTATAAAATCTGTCCGGTAGGCAGCTTCGCCGGCAGTAGATAGTTGGCTCCATATAAAAAAGGAAAATTCCGGAATATGAATTCAAAGTGAATATGAACTCAAAATGAAATTTTGTGCAAAAGGTGATACAAGGCTTTGTGCCAAGTGCATTTGGCCACCGATAGCGGCCAGCACCTGACTGCCATGCACGTCGCTGAATGCACCTATTGTGTCAGTATAGCACTGGGTAAACGCGAAGGCGGTGCCGGTGTAGGCATCGCCCTCTGCCTAATAGTTGTTCTGGTGGAGTATGGTCGCCTTCTGCGTCGCTTAAGCGACACTGCCCACGCTGTATAAAGCATGATTGGATGCCTTACTCCCCATGCCGCCGCTGGAGGCAACAATGTCGTGGCCAATGCCCTAGCAGAACCTGAAATATGTGCTCTCGACACAAATCCTTCTATCACCTTTTGCACAAATTTTAATATTGAGTCACCTTCCTGAAATTTCCCTAAGAAAAATGATGGTAGGCGCTGCAAATGAGGGGCTTCGCCCCTCATTTGCTACTTTGAACATAGTACGTAACCACTGTTTGGTACTGCTAGCGCATGTATTAATGGTTGTTGTTTTGGATTTGGCTTAGCTTTGTAGTGGCACCAAAACACTCGACCACTCAGTAGGCGAAGTATTAGCACAACACTTGACTACTTCGTAGCCAAAGAAGATAGATATCTATTAGTTTCTTCAAAGTGTTCCAGTATGGAAGATATAGTTGTACTCGAGTTGGTAAAATCGAGCTAACGTTAGATACAACCGAGCAGACTTTTTGGAATTTAAAGTAGTCCTCCCAGCCTAACGCAACTATCCTGCAGGCTATCCTGCAGGCTACCCTGTGAACGGCGCTCCGTTGGCCAGCGTCTACAATGCTCCCGCGACGGCTGTCAACAGCGCGCCTGCCGGCACTGGTACCACCTACAGTAACGCCGCGCCTGGACGTGGAAACGCCAATGCCAATGCGAACGACGGCAACAACCCCAGCGGCGACTCGAGCAAGACCGTCACCGTCTTGAACGGAGACGGCACGTCCAACACGGCATCTGTGACGAGCAGCAACGGTGCCGCGATGACGGGCGGCGCATCGGCGAGCGCTACGGCGAGTGCGTCTGCAAGTGCGTCGGCTAGAGCCACGGCTGGAACGTCGTCTCAGAAGGCGTACCGTCAGCTTCGTTCGGTGGAGTAAGCAAGTGTGTGTTTAGCCCGCCCGAGTCATCCATCACCGCTCTGGTTCGTCCGGTCTCAAAATACGTGTTAGCTTTGTTGCTGTGTCAGTTCATAGTGAAAGTCATGCTTCAATCTTATCAATGCAATCGATGTTTCCTCTGATGAACTCGTTGTTTGTGTCAGTTGGTGGTGTGGGTTATCAATGCTTTGTTGAGGTCGCGTGTACATGTATGTATACCCGCGAGTACCTAGCCGATGTTAGCAGGAGAAACTGTCTGTCAGTGTGATGCTGTGCTGCTTGTTTGGTTTGGCGTCGGTCACAAAAGCTACGACCGTGTGTTGTGCCGATCTTGGATATCAAAGGTCGCACATCTTTCCAACTTCAACCACGAGCATACAAACCTCAGTACAATATGGAACATACAAATTTAAGCATAAAGCTTCAGTACAAGATCGAACATCCAAACTTCAGCATACAACTTGTACCGAAGCCCAGAATAACCGACATCCCATCATCGGGTAGGTTAGCACTCGTTTTTGTTATTGAATTGAGCATTGTTGTCACTTAGCTATACGACTACTAAAGACCAGCCCCGCAGATGCCAAACGAAGGTTAGCACTCGTTGCCAAGGCAGTAGCATGGGCTACATGCGATAGTAGCAGCAGCCGCAATAATATACCAATATGCACAAGCCGTAGATTTTTTTAATATTAAAATGGGGTCGTATACTGATCGGGTCGGGGGATTTGATCGGTCTTGCCTATACACGATTGTAGTGTTAACACTTTCGAGAGAGGCCTCAGAAAGACCGTTTGCAACCGCAGCGAAGTGGAGGTCTGCAATGGTCGGCGCGTGGGCCGGAGTAGGTATGTCTAAGTAGGAGTCATCATCTTTTTACCAACGCCTTGCCCGCTATGAGCGAAGCGAAATTGGCGGTGCAAACGGGGAGCTCACCCAGGCGAAGCCCGACCAAATCCACCGACCCGATCAGTATACGATCACATAAAAAGTCAATCGCCAGTCGTTTTGCGTTTAGAAGAGCGGCTCTTGCTACTGACACCGAAAAAAACACCCAACGAAAAAAACACTGGGGCCCTTCCCGGTCTTGCACAGCCGGCCGGGGATGGATCTCACGGCCCTCAAATCGTGAAAACCTCAAAGTGCTCCAGGGAAATGAATGCCTTGAATCCCCCACGAAATCGATGAATCTGGGGTTGGTCTCAATGGAAAGAGGGAGGAATAGCCTAGCCTAGGCCTGGGCCTAAAGCGCACTGCTCCAGGCCACGCTCTCGCTTCACAGGCACCGAAATTGCAGTTTTGGGGAATCTGGTTTCACCTTCCCTCTACCGTCTCTACCCCGGCCTCGGTTATACGAAATCATGCCAGCACACACATAGAGACACCGAAAAACACACAGCTTTCCGGTGTCAGCAGAACTTTTCTAAGAAGAGCACTGGAAAATCGACAAGTTTGTTCTAATATCTTTCCAGGTTTGGGTAAGACCTTTTCCCATTGGAGAGTTGCCAAAGCCAGCCGTACGACTGGATACAGCAAGACTGTATCCAGTCGTACGGGATCCACGAGCCCATAGCACGGCGCTGAGGGTGTACTGAAGTCTAGGGATTCCAGTGGAAGTGCGTCGACAATTGCCACGAGGTTTTAGGTCGTCTTTTCCGTGGAGGATTCGACACAAACGAGCTCTTTTGTGCGACAGGGGCCAACAAGAGCAACGACAGGTTTTTAAGCGGGTTGGGACACTGACGAAGATAACTTTAAGCTTGCGCTGTGAAGTGTCATATTAGTACTGTAGTCGTCTGAATAAGAAACCGACTGTCAAACTTTGGAGTGCCAATACCACCAAGTTCAGAGATTAAAAATTAAATAAATTCGCTAAACTCGGGTCTGGGCAGTCAGCATGCACAGGCTGGGAGGGACGTATTGGGAGCTAAGGTTGCATTGTATTACCACGCAACCATTAGCTTGTAAATCTTCGGTTTACGACTCTACTTCTACGCTTCGAATAGAGAACAGCAGAGCGCGAATCGCATGCGATTTCGGCGAGACCTTCTCAGTTCTGATACAGGTGAAAGGCGTATCCGTTGTAGATACGGTCGTACTTCCCCTTCTGCTTGGGGTCCGCGATTGCCAACCAGTCCTTGATCTTCTGCAGGGTGTACCCGTTCGTATCCCACTTCTCGTACGCTTTCTGCTCCTTTGAAGGGTCCTTCAGAATCGCCTTGGCCAACTTTTTGGCCCCCGCCTTGTTCCACAGCTCAGTCACGCTGAAGGTCCGCTCCCCCGCATCGTCCTCTTCATGAGCTCGAAGAAATCTTCCACCGGCAATGTCGCCGTTCCTGAGCGAGCGACGGACGAGATCTGGAGATTCCACCATGGAGATATTGGTTTCGTCGGAGTACTCAGTTGCGTTGCAGGTCACGACGTAGCCAATGGCCACGACAAGAGAAAGCACAAAAGATAGACACATGGTTCGTGATACTTGGCGACTTGAGGACTTGCTGGCTGGAGAGCGAAAGGAGAAATGTCGTTATTGGGTGGCGGCGGACACAAGTGCTCTCCGTTGTGGTGGTTCCTCTTGAGCATGCACGCCGCCACTTTTGTTCCAGTGCAACAGAAGGACAAGGGATCATTTCCTTGGATGTGCATGCTGTGGATTGTATTATTGTTTTTTTTTTCGAAGGCAACCTCCTCGGTGTTTGATTCTGATCGACAAGAATCAGTGATGGCGTGAAACAGACGAAATGAGCATTTCATTTCGATAATGTATCTCATTTAATGAGATACATTATCGCGTAGCCGAAGGTATGGCTGCGCTAGACTCATCAAGAACAACAGATCATCAAAATACGAATGTATATGA